TAAGTGCATAAAAGATTTCTACTTATTTTCTGAATAAATTTTTAACACATAATGTTTGATAGACAGAACGCTTTTTGATTGCAAACTTTAATCTTCGAGCAGATTTCTGCTCTGTTATACTCAGAATTGCGCCCATGTGTCGAAACGTCCGAGTATTTGGATTGCAATTTAACTTTCAGAAAACTCGCGGTTGCGCTCTTTGATTCCATTTTTTTAGAACTTAAAAGCCTTTGTTAGGTTTGTACATATTGGTGAAATCTTTATGTAAATATGACGTGTTTATTCAGACAAAGTATAAAAGTAAGAGGAGATATGGAGGGTCGAATTATTAGCACAAGTACAGGTGCGCTTAGACGTCAATTCCCTTCAGTTAAAAAATTTATTCCTCGGAGAGCGTTAGGCATCTATGGATCATCGCTTGACAATTGACAATTACAGTTCTTCTGGGGTAATATTTTTATTTTTTTGATTTTTCAAACAGTGATTTTTTATTCAATTATCGTGATTTAGGAATCTTGCTTCACACTAACACAGATGTATAGTGTGCTCTTCTGGTTTGAATAAGCTTGTCTGAATAAGTCGGACCTTGGTCGCCGTAACGATATGGAAATACATTTGTTTTAGTGTGCAGCAAGACTCTTGAATTGCTTAGAATAGTCATCGATAATCTTGCTACATATCTTGCAATATACGTATACAGATCCACCAGCGCGAAGGCATAATGAGGGTGTTTTTAATTTAATATTGCCGACTTTTTTCAAGCACACGAATAGATTTTATCCGATTTCCGAATTTTTTAAAGTGGCGATTGCCCTGTCATTTGAGTTATATTTAACTAACCATCCATGTATAATGTGTGTATATTGCAGGTACCATCATTCTTTATAATAAATACCGTATTTTAGGAAAGTCAATTATCTTTTATGATAATACAACCGTTCGAATCGCGGAATTTTCAATTCAAAATTTGACAACTTTTGAAACGCCAGATTTTTAATGCTTTCTTTGTGCGTTTCCTCACGTACATATAATCTCAATTTTTACGAGGTTGTTAAAGTTACGGAGCAGTAATTCTTTGCGCTTAAGAATTTGTGGGATATACCGTGCCGTTAATAGTAGTTTCAATTTTAATTTAGGCATTTAAAAGTTATCATTACTACCGGTACTGGTAGTATGTGTACCAGGTTAGGGTTAGGCCATAATTTCAGGTACAAATACTACGGGAGTCACTTGGCTATTCCTTGAACTCGTAATAGAAATAAAATGAGGAAAATTGGAAAAAAATTATGGTCTAACCCTGACCTGGTACACATACTACGTCCCGGTGTCCGCCATCTTGGTTCATATACTTCGAGAGTACCAATTAACCTGCATTGCTTACTAGGGTTTGTATTTAATAACGTTACTATTCCATTGAATTTACTCATATTTTTTAAAATTAATATATCAAGAAACATTGTAACCATGTGTTATCAAATCGACCGTATGTGCCGAATTACAAAATATAATTTAAAACGGAAGTAATTCATACCATTGGTACGCATCGATGCGTAAAATTTGTGCAGTCAATCATGAAATTAAATCAGCTTAATTAGCGGCGCATAATTACGCGCTGTTATGTTGATTAGGGTAACTGGTTGGATGTTTCAGCACCGAAGTCGATAAACTATTGCATATTTGCGGTAGAATATGATTTGTTTAGGCATATTATTCAGTGGTCACTTTGCATTCTTGTAAATATGTCCCAAACAGTAACGGATCGACTCCAGCCTCCGCTTTTGACAAAAATTACTTCTCCGACTCCGGTTGTTTAAAAAACTAGAATCAGACTCGTGTAGGCGTACAACATAAATTGACCTTGAAAATTTAGCGTTTGCAAGTTTGAAGTCAAGTCGGCATCTATGATGACTCTTAAGTCCGTATACCGCATTCCTCCTCATTTGTCCACAGTCCACAGCTTAAAATACGACCTCCACTTGTATAAACATGACATACTCCGAAACATCAGTAGTTTTTTGGATTTTTACACTGTAAATGCTTTTGAATCTTTGAACGATTACGGTATATGCTTCGGAGATTTTCTTTAAGTGTTTATATTAAAGTCGTCGGTAAAAGGAAGTGACGTAGTCGTTCAGGAAATGATTAATCCTATTTATATGTATATTTAAGCCTAAAATATGTGGTATTATAACTATTACGTCATATTGCAGAAATATATTTTGAATATAGATGGAGAACGGTAACGCTTTTCGATGCTGTGTAGTATTTCGAGGCGAATTTGTAGAGATATGCTTTACTATTCTAGAATACTACGTTGATTAGTGGCCGTTGCATAGGGTCTTGTTCGTAACGAAAGGTGTTATTAAGCGCCGCATAGAATATTATGTTGAATTTGATTTTTATTTTCGGAATATTTCAATGTATTTCGCTTTTTCAAGAAAGTGTGATTTCCTAGCAAAGATACCAAATTTTGTTAAAATTTAGAGAAACTACATTTTTATTGGGCATTCCGTACAGTTAAAGTTTGCTACGTTTTTAAGCGTGTGGGACTCCTGGGAGTGGTAGCCCTTTAGTAGTAATCCTATGTCGAGGAGGTAATTCAAATAGCTGTCGGGGTTAACATCCATTTCTATACCTATTCTATGAAATGTGCAATAGAAAATAAGTAAAAGAGTATTCTGAGTATGGAGAGTCGGAACTGTGTTGTATGATATATATTTGTCTGATACCATATAGAAAATTCAGGACTCTGCGGTCGGGGTCATTTCCCGCCCGACCTCAGTTTGAATAAACTCCGAATTGAACTGAATTTCGACTCCGGATCCGAACTGCCAAAGAAGTCAAATCCGATAGCGAAAATTCTGGCGTGTACAAAAGCCATCTTTAAATCTTGGCATCGAAGTCTAAAATATTAAAGCCAATCAAACTCCTACTCTTCTCTACGGCTTAACATGTTAATTTGATCGGCAAATTCCCGCGCTTTTTTCAAGAGGTCATTCGCAGACGAACGATTTACAAATTCGATTGTTTTTACTGACGAACCATAAACCGGAAATATGATATAGGTATTATCCCGTCACAATAATGGTTTGTTTATTGGTATTATTAACGTATATCGATTTAACAACGAAGTTTAATCCACGTTTTATCTATGATTTTTGTCGGATTAGCCAGATGGTAGGATTATTTGATTGTTGTTTTTTGAGAAGGCATTTGTGCGCTCATATTCGCAGTAGGAATCCGCAGCACAGTATATCGGTATTGACAATATTAATATTTTGAAATAACTGGTGATCGGACAAGAGGCCGTGATCAGTCATGTCTGTGTGTGTATTCAGACCGAATATAGTTCACAATATAAAAACTTTTTCAAGTTTGGAAGGGTGATAAATGCACCTGATAATATGAAGTGAACAACGTAACTTATCTTAACCTAATTTGAGATAAACACAAAGAAAATTGGTAGTGGAACGATAATTAGATTTTGAAAAATTTGTATTTTCATTGTGCCATAAATTGGTAAATCAATTGTATAGAAAGAAGTAATTTCCATCAAGGATGGAAAATGCAAAGGTAGACCCCATACTGTATTAACTAGATAATTTCTAACCAATTGTGTATTCAATATTCACTCGCGAACGTGCAATATATTTCCTGACTGCGGGTATAATCGCTAGAACAGTCGTTTCGTGATCAAACAGAATTTGGAATGCAATTCCTCACTTTTAAAGTAAGGAGAAAATCCTTTCCTCTCGTATTGATTTTCATGCCGGAAACAATTATGCTTTACATCCCTCCCCGTGTCGCGGTGTTTTGTTTTGTTTTCGCTAATCCTGCAACAGAATGACTGTAATTATGATTATCCGTCTCTTGATTAGCTTGTTCGATTTTAAGTTTATTCGCGCCCAGTCAGCGATGCTGATAGGACGTATTCGCGTTTGTTGTATTGATTTACTAGTGTTTTGATTTAGAGTTGTGCCGTCTTTTGGCAAAACGGACTTAAGGTTGCGCGTCATTTTATATATGTATTTATCAAGGTATCGTTAGTTGGTTTAGAGTAGCATTATCAATTTATGAGTACGGCTAGTGCAAGTATCATCAATTTAGCTGATTCCGTTTAGTACCGTCCCCCATCATAGTGATGCTTGGCTGAGGGTATGATGTTTATCATTTTGATTATGTTGTTCGTTTTTTCGGCATGTATTGTTGTGCAGCATATTGTATGTTTATTAGTGTTATGAGTTTAAAATAAAGTAGATTAGAAAACTGAAACTATTGAAAGTCCGGTATAAAGTTATGGTGTAGTTTGCCTTTACTCTCCAGGGTTAGTAATATTATGTTGAACACTTCAGGTAACTAGGCTATAATTGATGTAGGGAGCACTCTGCTGCTATTGTAAATGGAGCATAACTAGTCAGAATATTGTAATATGAATAAAGAGCCAATGCTGCTGGTTCACGCTTGAATGAATTCTTGGTCGAAATGGGGTCGAATAATAATAGAAATATGAATCGGGGTCATGTCTTTTTCCTTGATCATGTTGATTCTGAAACGCTTACATGAAATTGAGACGTGATACAACACCTTATATCTATAGTTTCAGTAGTTTTTTGTGCATTTCAGTAGTGGTCTGGTATTACTCAGAGATGAGTCTCCCTAATGTGAGTGAATTCTCTGCATTTCTGTCTCAAAGATGAGTTGAGTATCCCATTCTCTGTCAAAGTGAAAGCATATGACCGTACTTTGAGCAAATTCTGTATGAGTAATTTAGTGCAGATGAGTGTCCCATACACCTGAGTGAGTAGGTATTAGTCTGGACCCTGATCGAATACTCCTGAAAAATTATTATTTTGCAACATGACAAACCCAATTTTACGTTTTGGATTTTGTGTGGACTATTTCACTCTGGGAATAGGTGAAGCATAACTTGCCAGCATGAACTCAGATAAATAAAGTGTCAATGCTGCTGGCTCAAACTTTCTTATTTTCATTTATTACAGGCCGCTGCTGCTCTTAGGTGGAAATATACGTCTAGAAATCATACTTTTTCTCATTCTAAAGATAAATGTAATACACAAACGACAACAACAACCAATACTTCTTCTACTGGTGATAATAATAATAAATCGAAAACTGAGAGATTAAAAAGTGAAGATTCTGAAGCTGCTGCTCCGCTCAAAAATAGGTAAGTTTTACACTCCTATAAAATTTAAAATGAATTACCCACTATTACTAGTATAGTAAGTACTAGGGTTGTCCAAATTTTATTTGAAGAGTCTTTCTCCACATTAACAGTCATACGAAACGTTACAGAAATACATTTGTGTTAGTATGCAGCAAGATTTCAAACACTTAGAACAGTCATCTTTATTCCTGCTACAGCATCCTTGCAATACTGATCAACTTACAGTAAGCAAATGCATAGAGCAAAAAAGGTTCTTAATATAACCCATGCCTTCAAAAAACTTTGTAAAAGTTTTCCTTCGTAAAATTTTTTTTAAGCGACCACCTGTATATACCCACATATACCAGTTAAATATATGTTTTTTCGCATTTTAGAACTCAATCTACCTCATCATCTGCCTCTTCCACTGTTAGTCGAGATATTTTAATCGAAGGATCGAAGCCGGTTGTCGTTGATATGAGAATCGCTCCCGATTCAAGTAATCAAGATATTTTAAAAAGTAGCAGAACAGACTTGTATTGCGAGTAAGTCGTTAGGTTTTAATAACTTTTTGATCTTTCAAACAAAGCCTCGCCAATAATGCAAAAATGTGAGATTGGAGAAAAAAAAACATGTTTTTGAGTAACAAATTAGTAAACATACAGTTGGGGTTAGGAATGTTTCAAAAATTTGAATTCCCGGCGCAATCAGTATTCCTGACCCTAACCCTAATTTCATCCGGGATTTCCTATTTCTTATTTTGACGGGGTCTTCGTACAAAAGATCCTGACTTTTTTAGGAATTTTAGATAGCCAAAACAGTCATTTTACTGGTACAGGGTTCCTAAAACTGGGCCCTCGGCCATACTGTGGTGGCGAGCGAAGGTATCATCACTCACAATAAATACATTGATTTAAAAGTAAACTTATTGCAAATGTGGTGCATATATTTTTTTTTCCTTTGTTGGCCTTTCAAGGGCTTGTGAAGTTGTGACCCTGTTTGTGTAAATGGACTGATATATTGGGAAAATTATTTAATACAGTCACAACTACAATTTTATGGAGTTTATCAACTTTGATAAATTAATAAATTTAATCAAACTACTGATAAGTATACATATACTTTGATATAAAAAAAAAATTGTTTGTATAAAATAAACTTAGAGCAGAGATCTCTCTTTTTGCTTCTGAGTGAGTTTGTGTAACCTCGCTTTGAAAATATATTCTATGAAAAAACAACAACAACAGCCTCTTATTTCCAAACATCTCGTTCTTTTTTCCACTTTACTCTGAACTATTCCTAGTTTAAAATTTTTTCACTCTAATCTCTACTGAACTTAGTACAAGGTTGGGGAGTCTCAAGGGAAATGATTGTTAAATTGGCTTTTCCAAATTAGCATAATACAGCAAGTTGGGGATCAATAATGGTTTGGCCGTTTCTCCACTGAACTAGGATTTAGAATAATAAGGTTATCAAAATTGGGGAAAGGGGCTTACTAACATAAAATCTATATTGTTGTATAATTCAGCGAGTTCAAATTTTTTGCAGCTTGGTATTACGCAACAATATAGATATTATGTTGATAAACCCATTTCCTAATTTTTATAATCTTATTTTCTGTAAATCCTAGTTTAGTGTAGAGTATGTATGATTGATTTTACTAAATCGTTGTTCTTTATGTTGTAGTTGTTGTTAAGGCAGAAAAATCTCGTACCCTGTCTGTGTTAGCCAAGTAAATATACCCCCTGCCCACAGGTTACGTCCTTTCATACAAATTGATTCATAGTAGACGAACAAACTTAGTTACCTCCATATCGGTACACATTCTTTTAAAGCGCCGATTTCTGTGCTTTTAAAAGATAGTAAAAACGGCTGCTTATACAGAGCCTTGTTCAGGGAGAACGACTTAAAACATAACAGTTTTTTATATCTACCTAGCGTTTATGGCAGTCCCAAGTGATTCAAGAGTCTTGCTGCACACTAACACAAATATATTTCTGTAACGTTTCGTCTGACCAAGGTCAGACTTCTCTTCAGACATACATAGTTCAACTACCTATGAACTACTTATGTCTGAAGAAGTCTGACCTTGGTCAGACGAAACGTTACAGAAATATATTTGTGTTAGTGTGCAGCAAGACTCTTGAATCACTTAGGATAGTTATATCCAATCTTGCTACAGCATCTTTGCAATATATGCATACGGATCCGCCGGCACAAAAGCATAGAAGAAGGATAACTAGTTAGTCTCGCAGAAACCAAATCATTAGCACAAGTTTATGGCAGTGTCACCTATATTGGTGTTTCCAAATTTGCTTTCACAGAACGTTTTTTCAGAGTGAAAACCATATAAACAACTGCATAAATAAATTTGTTGTAGCTTGGTATTTATTATGAAGTCACCACCAATTAATTTTTTGAACTACTGCCATAAGTCTCAGAACATTCCAGATGTTACTATTTTTAGTCTTTTCAAAATTTGATTTTTCATATTAATGAACTTTAATAATTGCAATAACTTCCGGCAAAGCTTTGAGATACTTAAGGAGAAATTTTATCTTCTGTGAAGCAGTGCACGATTTTCTTTCAGTTGAAAACACGCAATTGCAATACAGAGGGCAATTGAGGCGGGAATTTACATAGATATTGACAAATAAGTAATGGGTTTTTGAATCATTGCGTTTCAAAGATTTTTCTTGCAATTAGAGACTAAAATTTTGCGTGGGGTTCTTGATTCCTGGTATTTGATGATTTTCTCAAATAAATAAATAATATTTTTCATGTTTTTTTGCGAATTTTTCCAAATCACAGTCCTTTTCTCCTTTATTGTGTTGTTTGGGATTTTATTGTTTCCCTCAAACATTAATGCAATGAATAATGTACAGAGTGTCTTGGGATTATTATGCACCAGAACTCGCGTTTGTTTTTCCTCCACAGAAAACTCATGAATTTTTAATACGAAAACATCAGGAATTGGTTTAATCTTGTTATTTTTTGATAATACATCAAGTTTGGCCGTATATAAATTGTGTCATTATCTACGATTTCGTCATGTGCAACAAAAATAATGATTTTCTCAATGAAATCAGATTTGGCGCCTTTTTTAACGTTCCTCCTTCCCGAACTCATTCTTCAGTTTAGCATAAAAGTATCGGCTGAGCAATCGGATTGTTAGTTCATATGAATAATTGCGGAGTTTACGAGAAAAAACATGCGGTTTGGGAATTATTTTGTTGTTGCTGTCTTTTTACTATAAAAGGAAAGATTGTTAGGAAATTGAGTCCATTTATGGTGCGCATTGTAATAAACAGTAGCAATATCTGCACAATCGAGCTTGAATAGACTTTTAAAAAGTTGTATAGGAACGCCCAATGATTGGTTTACATTTTTTTCGATAAAAGGTTTTAATTATTGTTTTTGGAATATAATTTGATTATATTGTTGTATGAAAGTATAATTTTGTGGAAGTTTGAAAGGTAATTATCATCAGTTTTGTTAATCAATATTGAAATACCTATTTATATATATGTTTACCTACTGGTATATACGAACCCTATGTCAAGTTTTAAATTACAAATATTTCCCATGGAGCCATAAAGAAATATCCAATGTCATATTAACATGAAATGTGAAAGTTTTGTCAGATAAGTGCGATTCTTTGTTATATAATTTCATTGCTATTATTTTGGGGAATTACAGTAATTATTAAAGCTTTCTATTCAATAAAATTAGACATTTTAATTTTAAGGTTTATATATCTATGCAATTTACATTCACAGTTTAGATTAGACATATCATTATATTCCAAAACCTTCTTAATTTTTTAATTTTTATTTCCCTTGTTCAGGATATCTACATCATCTGAAAATATTTCTGAAAAACCTTTTTGTGAAAAAAAAGAAAATATTCCTGATTCGGTGAAAGTTGAATGCGAGATTTTGAAAGAAAAAGTGGAAAATATCAATGAAAATATAAAGAAGGAGGAAAATAAAAAATCTGTGCAATTACCTGCTGTGAAACCTGTGAGTAATAGGAAGAGCGTGGTTCTGTTCATAATAGTGTTTCCCAAACCGCGGTCCGCGGCCAGTAAGGCCCATGTAACGATTTAATATGGCCCATCGATCTTGTGCGAACTAGTTTTACCCGTTTTTTTTTTTACTTTTTTGCGTTCTAGATATCGCCAATTGTTACGTCATTATCAAAGTTTAAGCATGTGAATGTTCAATTATACCGGTATCTTAATTATACATAGCGGTACCGCCGTCGGCCCCTCTACTGGCCTGCGAATATCCTTCCACTACTAACTTTGTCCCCGGCCAATCTACTTTGTTAATCCCTGGTTTAGAAACTATGGTTTTTGTGAAAACATTGTATAATATGCCCACGACTTAGCGAAAGAGTTTTTTTAACGGTCCTGGGAGGTTCCAATATTTAAATTCATTCAGCATTAGTTATATTCAGAATGGTTAATACTCAGTCCCAAGAGCAATTTGAAATATTTTTCAAGTTCAAAAAATTCCATTTCGTTGATTCTATATCTTACTTGAAATTTTTCCACTTAGAATTATTTTAAACTTGAGGAAATGCTTGGGTGGTGCTTTGTTGTGAGTTGTAATTTAAATCATTTTCTGCACGCTGGAAACATTTGCTGGCTTAAAGATGTTTCGGAATAACAAATCTTTGCAATCTCACGGCATTGTCGCGAGTAAAAATTTGAGAAAAAGACTTCAACGTCATCGAACTATTTCACAGGAAGACGTAATAACGAAACGTCCAAAAACTCTTGGGGTGATGACCGTTGTCGATAGCAACAAGGCAAATTCGAACTGCTCGAAAGGTTTTCCTTGGCTCGATCAATTGTGGACCCCAGATGCAGGTAAAAAATTTTCCAACACACTACTTTGTCTGTATTATCACTGCTAGGTTTTTATAGTACTAGCCCAGGGTTCAGTATCAAAAAAAGGATCATCGTTCATTGCCACCCCAGTCTCAACTAATTTATCAATAACTATAATTTTTAATATGTTAGTGGCCCGTCTGAAAATGCCCACTGATTGATGACCGGTGTACTGGCCAAATCGTCCTATTCAAATTCACTCTGCTTCGAATGTGACCACCAAGGTTGCAAGTAATTATTTAAAAAAAATTCCTAAAATATTCCATGATGCAACCAGGGATGCTAGTTCTGCTAGTTATATTTTATAATTTGGTGATAAAAACACGATAAAGAGCTGTTCACGCCATCAAATGTGATAATCTTTTACTATTGTGGCATTGCCTTGCGGTATTAATGGCAGTTGGGAATATGTTGTTTGTTAAATGATTATTTGGGTTATCAGTTGGGATGCTCTACCCATGGTTATATTTATATACATAGGTTTCAGCAGATTTAGGATACACTTCTACACTTTTCTACTGCTTGCGCCGATGTTAGTGTCGACTTACAGTTAGCATTATTATCATCTCGAAATCCAATTTGTGATATAGTAATGACTAATGGCGATGGTGCTTAATATAACTCTTGTAGCCAGAAAGCCAACGGTCATATTTTCATAATCAACATTGTGTAACCAACGTCAAAACATCATTAGGTAGTAAATGGAGTCGCTCATTTCATAGCACGATCTTTACGTTGCAATTTCAGCATGTATTATTACGTAATACTATGTAAAAAAGGGCTATTAACTCATTGACAACACCACTATTGTATTATTGTATGAATTTTTTTGGTGGTGTGTTTAAGGGTCGATCTCGCTTTATTATTTAATATTATGTCTGCTGCCTGCCATATTGTGCATCCTGGCCGTTTCCTGACCTATAGTGATCCTTTTGGTTATATTTTATAGAAAAAATGGAGAATTTGATGGTGAAATTCTAATAAATTTAAAGTTATAATAAGAAAGATAGTTACTACATGATTTTAGACCGTTATGAGGATATTAATGACATATATAGAAAAATTTCTGAAATTTGTTTGTAAATGGGAACACTTATTTTAGTCGTGATGGAAGCACCTTTGAATAGTTTATTGAACATGTGCAAAATTTGTGTAGTTGGTTGTAAATTTTCCTGCTAATCTTCTTCGCAATTTAATTTTAGAAAACGTCTTTTTAATGACGACATTTGTTTAAAAGTATAAAAAAAAAAATTGTTGAAATTTAGCTTCGATTTGTGGCAGAATTTTTAGGTACAGTTCTCTATTGTAATATTCTGCAGGGAACACTTTTTTACTTCAGCAGTATCATGTTACATATTTCCGAAGTAGTTTTCCGTTGAATATTATGAAATTTTCCCTCCGATTTAACGGTTATAAACACGAGTAACCGCACGAAGTTGTCATCAGAAAGGTGACTTTCAGGTAGCCTAGCGAGTTTGTATGGTCAAGCGAATGCTCGTCAACGCATGATTTCGTGATTAACTGCAAATTTCTGTGAAAGGTATTGTTCATGTTATATTCCACAAATTTATATAATATATAAGTTACATAGCAGTAAGATATTGCATAGGTGAGGTAGACATTAGCATGATGACAGCATCAAGGTACTGTTTTGTATTAATGTAATTTTCTGACTACGGAATCTAAGAATACTGATTAGACAATTAGTGATGGTACAATAATAGCATGGAACCAAAATTTCAATATATGTGATATTACCGAATACCGTGATATTTATCGAGGTCATTGTCGCAAAAAGTGCCATTTTCAATGTAATATCACAATTTCTGTCAGAAATTGAAATTTTATTATTATTTGAACAAGGCTCTAGGTAGGATACTGTTCAAACACATAGGACTTCTTAGCGAAGATATGATTGCAATAATTTGTAATATCTAATTCTGCAAAAATTCAGATATGCTAATGTTGCCAGATTTATAGGTGTTACTGTAATAGTTTCAAATCTTTGCCAACTCATTGAGTTTTCTCAATCTGGCAACTTAAAATATGTGTCATAACACACAAGGATGACATATACATTTTACATAAACAAATAGATGTCTAGTTCAGTTCAGGGGGAGCATTCAATTTTTAAAAAAAATTATTTGGAAATTTTTATGATTTGGATTAACAATACCTCAAAGCCAGATTATCACATGGCAACAGAAATTTTAAAAATTACTAAGTAAGTTAGCAAATTCACACAGAAAAATGCACAGAAAATTGACTTCAAATCTTTAGTAAAATCGGAAAGAGATTAGTCCAGTAGTTTGGAGTCATGAGCCCACTTTGTGTTTGATCATTTGAATGATTGAATTTTTGTATTAGCTGTCCAGCTACTCTGTTCCAATTGGTACTAGATTGTGTTTATTATACATAAAGGTACCTATTGGAATTCCATATTCATTGTTATAGTTTACATCTATTGCTATTATGTACTTATGTCAATAATAACAAAATAAATATCTTTATCGCCTTTGTGATATCACAATAAGCATTCCTATTTTGTTATATTTCATCTTCGGACCATTCATAAACCAGCACTGCAAATGAGGTTAAAACCAATTCATCAATTACCACATAATTTATTTTTTTATGTCTCTCTCATCCTTGGACCGAATTAGAAAATATAACAATTTACATCAGCCCAAATATGGCCAAGGTGTGAAACGGAAAACAAATTATTTTCATTCACAAATATGAGCTTAATTCTGTATGATGTCTATTGTTATGCACGAAGCGTGGCCAACATAATCAATAATAACTGAAAAGCAATGCTTAAAATAGATTTCAATGTGTTATGTTTGTTATGAATTGATATGCCTACCCTACTGTACATAATGTGCTTAGTACTGTGATATATAGAGCGAGAGAACTGTGATTTTGAATACTGCTCGTTTTGTTTTGTTAAATTACAGAAGCAATTTTTTCAGGGTATTCTCTTTTAGGGTTTATCTAAAGGTAATCTACATCGGGGGAAAGCTTGTAGAGGATTTAAAGTCTTAAGGACAGATTTTAGTTTTTGAACAACCCAACTGTGTTCAAAACAGTTCTTACATGACATATTTTTTGCCTTCTTCTCCGAACAAGGCTCTGTAATAACACCCACTGATATTTAAGAAGCTAATTTATTTTGGAAGAATGTTATTTTCTATCCAATTTATTTCATGTTGGGTAATGTGATGGGTATATTCACCTGGCTAACACAGACAATCCCCAAACTCGCAATAAAACTAAAATAAGGAAAATCTGAATAAAATTATTGCCTAACCCTAATCTGGTACACATACTACTGGAGTACCCAATTTGAAACATCAAAGTCTTAAAAGACTGAAAGTTCTTTTTATAATTATCCCTATTTTACAATGGTAATAACCTTATAATTATTAGGACTTTTCTTTCAAATACGTCGTCATACGATTTCCTGTGGTTAGGTTTCGATTGGATTATGGGAATATAATTGTACGTTACAACAATAATATGGAATAGTAAAAGAAATGATTCCTATTCTGTATTGCTTGGTTTGGTACTATAGTACAGAGAATTATTCTAACAGGAAGGTGGCTGAGTTTCCTGACGGTTGTCACATTGTGAAAGAGTTACTAAGTCGAGAAATAATAGTCAAGCGTTTGAGAATAGTTATACGGTATACTTTAGGAATGTGATATTCGATAGATCTTTGATATTCGATAATCAAAATATATATACTTGATTTCTTTAAAATAAATTTTTTATGAATGAATTCAGAATAGTAAACTAATGTTACAGAATAGACTTGGATGGCATTAGATTCATTCATAAAATGACTGGCTTTCCAAGGTTCATGCAGTCTTGCAGTTTCCAATATTTCTATAGTGCCAACAAATCATGACGTATTGGTATTCGTTTCACTACACATAGACGTACGCTATGTGCGTATAGCTATAGAGTCTATTTTTATCCTAGTTAGATTCAGTTAACCTTAGTATTATATTCCTACGCACTGACGTATGAGATCATGTGTTTCATAGAGTGACTGTTACGCCAACTCTTGCACATACATATTTTTTCAACATGACACTGCAATTTTAATTGTTTAATAGTCATTTGACGTAATTAATTGTTGACTAAAATTAGATTTTGTTTTATGCACCCACCTGAAAAAAATCAGTGTTTACATTTTGATTATTTCCCTGAAAAAGGGGAACACTAAATTTGATATATAAAGATGGAAATTTGAAACTCTGATGCTTTTTGTACAATTCCATCCCATGTCATATGTGAAGAGTATCAAATAGTATTCTATATATTGTTCAGATATGGTCTGTAGGTATTGTCAGTTTTTTTTTCATTTGCCCACATATGATATGCAATTCATATTGAAACATGTGTACACAATAGTGCAATGCTTCAATTTATTGAATATAATTACATCCATAAGGGGATGCCACATGTGAGACATTAGTCTCATGTTAATAAAAAAAATAGTGTTGAAACAGTGCTTAGAAGCAATAGTGGGAAGGTAACTAGTATAGAAGTTTATGTTCGTTCAGGGTATGTATGTGAATTGATATTTGATACACTAAGAATTAGTTATTCAATGCAGCAAATGTTCAATTTTAAGAATAATTTAGCACATTTTTATTTTAGAAAATTGTCATTTTAAGTATTTGAAATTTTATGACCTGACAAAAAATAGGCGTCATTTGTTTATAATAGTTTAAAAAATGAATATTGCAAAAAAAATTCATCCCAATTATTCTGAATTACTACATTTCTTTTATTACCACAATGTGATATCACATTATATTTGATACATTATATACATTTACATTATATTTGATATTCCAGATTCAAAAAAATACATTTTCCAAATATTAATTTAGCAACTTTTGGTTTATACATTGGGTATAGGTATTTATGAATATTCTATGTCATGGTATTAGGAATTTATATATATATTTTCAAATAGTGTATATTGCCTATTATTATTAGTAATGTTTTAATAGTGTATGTTTTCATAGCATTGAAGTTGGTCGTTTTTCAAATAGGGAGTGTGATCCAATTATTTGTGTTTCATTGAGAAATAGTTTATCTTTGGCAATATACAAAAATTGATAATTAGTTTGGTTGTTGTTTACATAAAGTTTTTGCGAGGTAATATATATACAAACTTCAAATTCTTTTTATTCATCGGTCTATCGGTAGAATTTTAATTTGTGTTTGTACATTTGGATATTTTATTTGTTCAAGTTATGAATAACCCACACATGGCATTTATATTAAATTTTAAATTCTCTATGGTTTGTTTAGTTGAATGCTGTAAAAGTGGTTATGTAAACGTCAAGTGGAAATAATATTTTGTTAAGAAATTAGGATGTCTATATTCGAATAGTTTTGGTGTTTTTAGATCACCTAGTGCCGTGATTCTCAACCACGGCCCGCAATTATTCTTTCTGCGGCTCTCTTTATTGTTTGAAAATCGATCATTTTTAGTAAAAAAAATTTTATTGAAAATTAATCAACGACTTAAAATGAACTCCAGTAGTTGAATCGGTTGAATGGTAGCTGTTAGGTCGTTTTGAGTGCAATTTTTCAACCTTTTATTATGATGTTATAGTGTTTTTTCCCACAATGTTTAGCCTGCATTTCAGTACACTGAATTCATTGTTCCAGTAATTACAAGAAGTATTTTAAAATACAAGACTAGAAATCATAATGAAAATATGAAGTCAGCTATTGTTGGAGAATGAATCCATAACGATTGCGGCTTGCTTTTTCAGACTTCAGAATTAAAAGCTAATGTCAGGTTTAGCGTTAAATCTATTTCGTTTTGTTGGTATTTTAATTTGCCTTGTTTTTTATGCGCCTCGTTACAACTTAAAGTTTGGCTTTGGCACTGAAAAAGGTTGAAAATCATGAACATAACTTAAATTGGAAGGTTAGAAATATTAGAATATTTTTGGAATCATTATCTAACATACATTTATACTCCTTTTTATCAATATTGCAGATATAATTTACGAGGATACTAATAGTCCTATTACACAACATCCACCACATAAAGAACGAGAAGATAGTTTGTTTCCTTTGATGGCAAAGGGAAGATTTAAAATGAAACCCAAAGGGCTTCTTGAAAGGTAAGATTGTAGGTTATTTTGCTATAAGAGACTGACGACAATAATTTTGTCTTAAGAAATTAGTATATATACTTTGGCGCCCCGATTTTGAGTTTGCAGGTAATTAATTATTAATTGGCTATTATTATTTTGGTTTGAGAAAGGATATCAAAGTAGAAGGCAATTTGTCCCCGTTTGCATATAATGCATATAGAGGGGCAGATATACACTTTTGCTCTGAAGAAGGCCGAACATTTCACCAGTTAAGCAGTTTTAATCGGCTGTTATTATTGTGCTTTGACAAACTTAACAAATTATGGTACAATTGTCTAGTTTTGGTCTAAAGCTGCTCTCGATTCGCACAAAATTTCATTTATTGTTCCCATTGTGTGAATGCCCTTTTTCCAATTTCCTGAAGTTCTTTCGAGGTCATTAAACCTGTGACTCACTCGTTATACGCCAATGTGACCTTATTTATAGCATGGTGGAAAGGGAATTACTGAGTAATAGATATATAATGACCTTTATTTTTGCTAGACTTACTGAATGAGATTAAGATTTCTGAATACTCGGTTCGGGCTATGTAGGAAGCTTACATTCATGATCCATGGCACCTCTACAAAAATTCTCACAACTTGTGATCCCACCCCCGCCTGTAAAAATAACTGGTTTTACTTTTGATGTGTTACTATATGTGGTATTTTTTAATATTCTCAAACAATTTTGGAATGTCAGTTACAATTACAATTACAAAATTGTTTGCCCCGGAATAACCTGAAAAAGGGCCGCTGGTAGTAGATATTATTTGGTTTCAAATTTACTAAAAGCTCAGCCATGCAAATGCAAAAAATGCTGTGATGGCCATGGATGGGATTCAATCGTATTTTCACAATCATTTAAAGAGCATACTGACACCAATTGATTTTTGTAATATTTGGTGTAAATAAGCTCACCCATAAATATTTGCAACCATGCTCCTACAGAGTTTATATCAGACTTCATCAATCAAGAAAATTTCAACTGTATTTTTTTCTATTTCTAAATTATATCTAATTGAGTCTTCAATATAGGATTATATTATATTATAGATTACTTTAGAATATTTTCACCAAGAAAATATCATTTTTTGGTTCATTCAAAAAATTTGATATATATGATAAGTTTTCATGGTTTTGATCAAATCTTTTTCTCATTTCAGGAGAGGATCAAATGTTGCTCTCACTATTTCACTTAAAAATGAGGAAAAATCATGTTCAAGTCCACCACCTTCTTCAAAATCACCGTAAGTAGCTTCCTAACAAAATATACGAATCTTGATTTTGATTATCTGTGAACTAATTTTCTTTTAATTCGTAATTTTCGTGGAAAGAGCCTTTTTTAAATAACTTGATATTGGTTTTATACAAATCACTGCTTTGAGATTTTGAATCTTCAGTTTTGTGTTGTAGTTGAAAATTGAGTGCTTCGTAAAACGATTAACATTTGAATGTAAATCGAGTTGATTTGAATAATTTTGGGATCTACTAAAGCTTCGTTAAGTTGATGTATAATTCTGAAATTTATATGGCCTTACATAACACATGATGGCAACATGACATGGCAACTTTATACCGCAATTTCAACAACAGGTGTCTAAAACGAATCGAGTATTTGAAAACTTATAAAATTATATTTAAACTTATATACAAAATGGAAAATTCTACTCTCGGACAGATTTAACATGTTAAATATGTTCCGACCGGAAGCCGACATTTTTAATTTTTGGTCATACTAGAAAACTTATCAAGATTAATAACTTGGATTGCAAAAAATATTATTGAATGTATTGAATCTCCTTTTCAAAGAATCATCTGGATATAATTAGAATAGTTGTGAATTTTTCACTTTTGACTATCTCTGGTTAATATCTATTAGGATAGGAATGTGTTCTGATGTCAATTTGTTTAACGTCTGAAAAATAATGGCAAATACTCTTTCACTTTGCTATTTTTAATGTAGATATGATAGCCTGCCAAATTTTAATGGCTGTTGTGTTATGATTTCCTGTCTCCTCTGATACCAATATGCTCATGGGAGTACAGATCCCATATCTTTCTAGGAAATTAGTCTAATGGGTTTGTGATGAGTTTTTGTACAGTTTGTTAGAACATCATGCAATCTGTGAGCTGTATATTCATATTTCGGTCATGCTTACTCTTTTATTTAGTTTAGTTTGACGTTTCTTATCAATGCTCTTTCTACTATCGATTACATTTTGTCGTATATTTCGCTTAATCAAATGGCAAACCAAGTTCTTTCACCCATTACTATATCTAGGTCATGAATTAGAATAACTAGCTAGTAAATTGGATTCTTGGAGTTCTCTTGTGGGGTCTACCACAAGGCTCTGTTTTAGGCCCTTTTTCATCTTTCTTATCTTTTCCCAGGAAACCTCTAGTTTACCTACGAACTGCAACTGCCAAACTAGACCCGATTCAATTAAACGTAAAAGCAAATGATACAGCGAGATTGCAACAAGAATTTTGGGAGGTTCCAATGAACCATCCTTCAGAAAAACATTTCAGTATACCTGGTTATGGTACAAAAAATAGATACAGATCTATTTTGCCAAGTAAGTTGATATTTATCAAAATATTGTCGGTGGGAGCCTATAATTTACTCATTTATGAGGCGTTAAGCTTTGTGAATATGTTTCTATGTGAATAAGATCTAGAGTAGATAGAACAAAATACTTTTTTCATAATAGGTTTCATTACTTACTTTTTTCTCTTCAGTATGTTTTTCAAGGGTCGCTCTAAATAAAAATTTACTTGGTGGTCTCTTTCTTTTCTTAGTTTAATGTTAAAAAAATGAAATTACTTTAAAATGTGTCATGATATATATTTTTCAAAAAGAAGAGGTGTCGTCAGTTTAAATATTGCTAACTTCGCATTACAGATCCACATAGTCGAGTACTACTTCCAGCGACACCTAGTGGAGATCCATTATCAGCGTATATCAATGCCAATTATGTCCGGGGTTACTCTACAATTGTAGAAACCGAACGACGTCGACAAAGTGAGGACGGGAAAGAAAACGACGCCCGACGAATGAGTATGAAACGGAAAGCGGGATATATTGCAACTCAGGTATGTAACGTCTTGGTTGATAAACACCTATGAATTGTATTCCTAATTATTATTTTTTATGGGAAATGAACGAAATGAACCTGTGTATCATATGGTAAAAATTTTTTGGGGTGGAAGGTGTGTTCAAAATAAAGCTCTGTCAAGCCCCATAGTTTTACCCCAAATCTTGAGATTTTTCAAAAATTGTGCTAATGTATTTTCCGCAAATTTTTTTATTTCTTGTTTTTTCTTGTACATATATTTACTTCACAGTGCTACCAGTATAGTTATATTTATTTCCAATATTCTGATAATGCATTTAATTTGAAGTATTCGCGGTGTTTACTTGTTTAACCTTATAACAAATTTGTTGTATGTTCAGGGACCAATGGCCAACACAATCGTAGATTTCTGGAAAATGATTTGGAGAGAAAAATCAACGGCTATTGTTATGATAACAAAGTTAAAAGAAAAGAGAGAGGTTTGTTATGGAATTCTAACTGACTCCGGCATTTGAATACTTCCTCTAAACAAGGCTCTACCGTTCATGGCTATTTAAAAACCTACTTTATTTTGGAAAAACTGGAATTTTTTTGGTTAGGCTACCCTAGATGCAGTGGTGGGATTCAGCTGGTTCGCACCGGTTCTATAGAACTGTCTCACGGAATTTTATGAGACCACTGCCACTGGGGTGGTAGGCATGGATTTGAACCCAAATTTTTAACCTACGAATGCGATGCCTCAAATTCTAAAAAAGATTGGAGATAACTGAGTATTATGTCTGCGATTTTTCAAAAGAAAAGTTACAGAAATGATTGTGTCAATGTGCAGCAATATTCTTGAATAACTTAAAAAACTTAGAATTTCGTTATAATATTATTCTTCATTTACTTTATTTTTATTCTCCTTTTAATGAAATTCATTCGAATCATTTATTCTCAGAAATGTTCAGAATACATGCCACTAAAACCTTCAGAAAAACGAACTTACGAAAATTTTGAAATTGAAGTTAAAAATGTCAGATCTGCTGATCATTATACAGTGAGAACGGTAAGTTATAATGTAAAGTTTATCTTTCTCGTTTTGATCAACTGTTTGTTGCCCTGAATCGTCATGGAAGTCTGAATAATTATGGTATAATAGTGAAAAAAAGATGAGATGAAAAAAAATTTCAATCCTGTTCGATTTTTTTCCAACTTCAAAATTTATTGATGTATGCAGTGTCATTAGCTGCAGTTGGCTTCCTCCATCTAAAATGATTAAGTGGCTGGATATTCTCGTCCCCAACATGAGCTGGTAACTGAACGAGAGGCCATGGTTCACCATGTGCACCATTTTATCAGCTTTCCTCTGTCCCATATCCATCTTAACTCGTAAGTGATTATCATTTCAGATTGAAGTCAGAAATTCGGAAGAAGAAAACGTAACTCACACAATATATCATTATTGGTATTCTGAATGGTTGGATCACGACACACCAGAGAAATTGAGAGGATTGTTGACCTTAATTCAAGAGGTTGACTTGAAATGTCCCGATGTCATAAACTCAGAGCATGGGCCAGTTATTGTTCACTGCAGGTATGATTAGATCATTAGTTTCCATCTCTATGGACCCTTCCCACAGGGTCTTTTTTGGGTCGCTTGTTTCTTGAATGAAAACCCAAAAGTTGATTTTGGTCCGGTATGGTGAGATTGCATTAGCTACTGTCAGTGTTGGGGATGCTTGATTCATTGACTCTACTTGAGTTCGAATTGAGTCAACCGAATATCAAAGAATCATTTAGGTCAGGGCTTACAAATGAACTGCACTATTTTTAATAATTGTTTTGAATCACCCAACCCCCAAGAGGTTGGGGTTCAACTCCAGTAACATAATTTCAAGAGAATGCAGAGAAAAGGTGCGCTTGACAAAACAATGCAGACTTAACAAGAGGTCGCAGAAGATTTTAATATATTAGAATTTTTAAACCATTGATCTTTTACCAACAGTTTCAACAGAGTCAAGTCTGATGCTGTAACAATCGGTCCTATTATACTAACTAAATTCAATTCCGAGCCATTCCCACAATCTTATTCTTTTTTCAGTGCTGGTATTGGCAGGACAGGATGCTTCATTGCAATAAGCATTGGATGTCGACAATTAAAAGTGGAGGGAAAAGTCGATGTTTTGAAAATTATTTGTCAATTGAGAATGGACAGGTAAAAAAAATTGAATATGATAATTTAGTTGTAACCTAGAAATAAAATTTATACTCATGGGTGATTTTTTCTTTTAAAATCATGTGTCATTGTATTTTTTGGAGTAATCACATTACAACTTTAGTATTGGAGATTTCATTTCTTATCGTGGGGCTCCCGAAGTATGCGAACCAAGATGGCGGACATCGGAATGTAATATGTGTACTAGGTTAGGGTTAGGCCATAATTTTAGGTATAAATACTATGGGAGGCTCTTGGCTAGTCTTCGAACTGATAATAGGACTAAAATAAGGAAAATTGGGAAAAAATTATCGCCTAACCTTAACCTGTTACCCATGTTACGTTCCGATGTCCGCCATCTTGGTTCGCATACTTCGGGAGCACCCTTATCGTTGTGTTTAATGGCTGCTTACTGAAATTTACTATTTTGCTACTGAATGGAAATTGTGAAAGAGAAACTGCTTCCTAGTGTGTAGCAACATTTTTCTATATGTTGGCATATTTCTAGGAATGTAGAAGTTCGTTGTCTAACTAACAAACTGCCAAAGTTGAAGGTAAATTTTATCGTCGAAACCATTGTATTGATAGCATTACTTTGTAATAAAAATTTATGTATGTGACTCACTAAACTTAACAAATTTTTTTCAATTTTTTAGGGGAGGAATGATACAGACGTGGGAGCAATATCAATATGTTCATGTCGCTTTGAATCGTTACGCAAGAATCCTCGCCGGAGAAAATGTGAACACTCCTTCGACTGCGAGCTCAATACAAACTCCAGATTCATGTCGAACATCGTCTCGTCACTCAACCCCCGTTTCTGCAGGTTCTGGAAGCAATTTAAGAGGGCTACTAAGTCCCCAGGCGTCTGCAAGACTATTTTCACCGAAAATACCCGAACTAACAACTGTGGATGAATCGGGGGTAACCCCTGAAGACCCCATGGTGAAGTTACCCCCCAGTACCGGGGATGATGTAAAAACTATTTTTTCACCCAGGCCCGAAAAAAGTTTTTCTCGTTTTTCCTTTTCATGTGCAGGCGATGCCAATATAGAATCAAATCCAGAGGGTGAAAATGGTAACGACGCTAGCGATGTCTCTCGTAGCCAAGAAGGTGACCTTACGACCTCTAAAAGAACTAGAAGCTCGACACCCCCTCAGTTATTACTAAAATTGACTTCAAAACCAAGCCCAGTGCGAGAAGAAAACTGGTTAATTAACGGCCACTGTCGTGTATCAGATGATTTTGAAAACGGGATTGATAACACCCACGATTCTATGGAAAATAATGATAATAATATTACAAATGGTCTTCCTAATGCACTGCCAAACTCAAATCGTATTGATATACATTGTAATACATTGGAAAGAGAAACAAAAAGTGCAAGTCCAAATCTTGATAATAACGACTTAGGTAAGTTGAAGAGAATTCTATCGCCCGTGAAAGATTGCCAAACTGCTCCGAGTGAATCGTCGCAAACCAAGTCAATTTTCACTTTTCCTTCATCATGATTTATTTTTCAAACGTTGATTTTTTTATTCTTTTTTTAAATTGTATTCTTGTACCCTGTGATCTTGAAAACTAGAACTCCGTTTTCTTTTTTACTTTCAATTCTTTGGAAAATAATTTTTTCTTGCTATTTTATAACTAAATACATTTTGAAACGTTTGCGCTGGTAGCGAAAAAAAATTTTGTTTTTTCAATTTGCAACAAATTTCGATGGATTCGTTTAAAAAGATGTTCAAAAAGTAATGAAACGATTTATATATAAGAATTTGGATTACCGGTTCGTTTTGGGGACATTACTTTATCATAGAATAGCAAATTATGCAGATTTGAAGAAATTATGCCTATAGCAGGGGTTGAAGAGCTTGATTTGATTTGGAGTCATCTACTGCTTGCTGGTCAAGGCATCATTGCCTGCTTAGGCCTTACAATGAACCAATTTTAAATGTGCAATTTTTACTTGTTTTTATTTTATTCAAACTGCAGATATTTTTTTCTTTCATGAGATTAACTTCACAGAATAGTAGAAATTGTTATTTTTATTTGGATTCTGTTTGTGCTTCATAGGTAAGAATGTTCAAGTAATATTTTTGGAACAATGGGATGGGCCCCTTTTTTCTGGGATGTGTAGTCTTGCTCCTGACAGGCAAAACGAAAAATTTGATTCCATCTCCCAACTGCAAGAAAACCAAACTTTGAACCACAAAAACTTCAGCATATCAAAGACTTCTTGGATTGTCTGTTAATAATACTCTGTTATGGGCTGCCAATTTGAAATTTCTAATTCAAACTTATTCAAATCAAATACATTTTCTGTTGATCGTCTTTGACGTTGATTACCAACAGCTGAGGTCTGAGATTTCAACTTCGATTCATGAATCTGAAATTATACCTCACCCCAGGGCCGCGACATCCACCTCTGCTGCCCCGTCAGTGATGAATGCCAGATAACAGCTCCCAATTTTCAGTATAGTCGTCATTTATTGGATGAGGCTTCAAAATTAAAATTTGGTTATTTCATACCGGCTGCTCTGATATGAGCATGCTAACAAATTATCATTTTCACTGATAACATTTTATCAGTAGTTGAATATACATTTGGTCAAGTAATTTATAAACTGGAGCTGATAAGAAGCAGAAGCTAGCACAGATTTTTGGGTTGCCAGAAATTTTTAACTTGTTAGTCATTTTTTTTATTTCATTGTGTGTTTTATTTTTAAATGTTTCTTCAAATATTTTAATAAATATGAAAACTTATAAGAAAAACATGATACTATTTCCGATTAAATAATAGGATGGGAAATTGTATGGAATCCGGGACGCTTACCTTACCATAGTTACTTGATAATAGATGGCTTTGATAGGAAGTTGGGCAAATAGGAGTGTTGAGCAAAAGAAAGTCAAAAACTCTGCACACTGCGCTTCGAAGTTAAACATGAAATTTCAGCAGGTTGCGGCGTTGATGTTGATGCCTCTTCGACCTTTGGCCCCAGAAAAATTCGTCCTTTACCTTTGCAGGGCGTAATTAGAAAGAAGAAGTGAATCATTGTGTTGGTTGCATTTCTCTTGTCAGGCTTCTTCATTAAAAAAACGTCATATGCGGGACACTGCTGGGGGAGGATGTCTTTTATTTGTCTATTTCTCTTTTATTTTTTGTTTGCCTATGTTATATCTGTATATTTTGCATCAGTATATCACTAATCCTCTAATATTCTAGTGTTTTTATTTCCTCTGTCAATTTCTAAGAACTTTAATTAATGCAGTTAGGTTAAGCTCATGCCTGCCCTGTGTCAGTAGTGTGTTAATTCAAATGTCTGAATGCAGGAATGTGCATGAGGAAAGTGCTGTAATGGGATTCACAATATTTAGGCTTCATGAAGTAAACAAGACTGAATGTAGGGTGATTGTTGGCTGAAGATTACCTCAGTTTCCTTACAACAATGGTTTCCAACTTTTCTGATAGAGCAGATTCCCAAGAATGTAATATCAAATATGAACTCTCGAATTCGAATGCTGGTTGAAAGCCAAAGCCCTACAACAGTTTCAAGTTTTTCAGTTATTTTAATGTTTATTAAACAAGATATGGAGCCTGAACCATCATTTATTGCTTTGAATGCCACAAATTGGATCGGAAGTTCTGGAATTGCTGGAAGTGGAAGAAAATAGAAAAGGTGATGAAGACCAGCTGAAGATATAATTCTTATTATTCAGTTAGGCCATAATAACATAGGCCCTAGTTTCTAATGCTGATTGGTGTGTAGTATGAATGAAAGATTTCACGACGTAAGCATGAAGAAAATTGAGGCAACGAAGAACAAGATTATGGACCAAGTAAGAACCTTAAATATATTTCGGATGTACTAATGTAATTACATTCTTTCTGCTTTTACCTTTTCGTGCTAGCTTTTTATTTAGAATATGCACTGTATCTTATCAAAGTTAATTTTGATTGTATCTCGAAACCGTCTCATTGTATAAAAAGATTTGAATGTTCACTTTTGAGCACACATTATTCATGTGAATACAGTCAAATTGATGTTTTGAATAGCTTGTACATTTTGCCCCATGGACTTTTCCAACCACAAGACAGTTTGAGTTATGATTTTGTTTCACATTTGTCTTGAGAGTTGTTTAAAGATTATAGTATGTGATAATAGTAATAATATGTACTATAGATTTGGTTTCTACAAGACTAACTATTTATCCTTCTTTCATTCTTATGTGTAAGGATGCTATAGCAAGAGTAAACCTAATTGATTCAAGTCTTGGTTCGAGTCTTAGTCAAGCCCACATTACAGAAAAATAAAAGCTAAGGAAGATAAATGATGACTGTGGCTATGACTGCTGTCAAACTCTGTTGTCCAGACTCGAGCAGGTTTTCGAATTAGAGCACGACAAGTGAGCAAGTTTCATGAATTATTTCTTAATGTACAGGGTGTCCCAAAAAACCCAGGTCAGGTTTATATTGGTGCCATAATACACAAAAAGAAGTGTTAAACAAAATATATTCATTTTTGTAAGGTACCGGTACCGGTAATTAGTAAATTTATGGGTTCTGTTTTTTGAGTCATCCTCACCCTATGTCCATGTAATCGTTTCAAGTTACAGTATGTTTGTTACCTAACAATTTCCAATTCCTTTACACTGTTTACAGATATATAAATACAGTTATAACTAGACATAGGCTTATATTTATTACTTCAAATGTCTACAAATTGGCTTGCAGTTGTGGCTACGCAAGACAACTCCTTTCCTTCCTCTATGCGTTTGCGCAAGTGGATCTGTATGCATATAATGCAATGATGCTGTTGCAAGAAAAAAGATAACTCTGTTCGATTTAAGACTCTTTTTTTAAGTCACATATTCTACAAATTGAATTGTGGATTTGACTAAATTTAATTTAAGAATTTTCAGTTAGATTATAGTATAGGATTAGATTGTAATTGATGTATGCGCGTCTGTGCTCAATTGAAGACCTCTACGAAGATATCGTTAATGATGGTGAAAGGAATCTCAAATAAATATTAATTTTATTCTCTAGTTAAGCTACTTATGAATACTAGAATGCTGATTGGTGTTTCTCTCCTGGATCGAGAAACGTAGTCCCATAGAAGAATGGAGTGATAGGGTAACTGTTTATATGAATTTTACATTTATAAATGCAAACAAGTTTCCTCATTCGACTCTTGCTTGACCTTTCGCTTCGTGCAAGCAGACACTGATATCTCATGATCAATGTTCCCTCTAATTTTTTGTAGTATGTGTGCGCAGAAATTTTGGTGTGTGCACACTTTTTCGGAAATGACTAATATTTGTGCAAAAACCAATAAAGAAATTTTGGCGTGGGCCAACAAAAAACTTTCTCAACCTGCCAACCGAGCACATTGTTACATTACATCGAAATAGGTCTGTGCGCAGTAAATCTATGCGTGTGCGTGAAGCTACTGCTATTAGGTACGACCGTAATCTTTGCCAACACAGTTAAGGGCACTCGAGAAGTGCGTGTACCAATATGGAAGTAACTAATTTTGTTCGACTACACATACTACGGGAGTACCCAGTTATCGGTAAGTGCCACGCTTTTATTTGTCGCTAGGTTTGTCGAAATTAAAATTTTGAATTCTTTGTTATCTGGATTGTTAATAATTGGATTAAAAATTTGCTTGATAAACTAAAAGCATGAATGTAATTTAAAAGGCTTGCAACCTTCAACCTGGAGATTTTTGGAATGGCAGATTTTACAATGGCACACAGTTTTTATGAGATTTCAACCTGCTGAATTGGCTGATCAGAGGTGTGATGGAAAGCATGTTCCCTACATTTATATTTATATATTTGAGCATTGCTCTCTTTTTGTTTATCAGATATTTTCCGAACCATCGTTTATAGACCTATAATTTTGGAGTACTTGTGATTCGTAACAATGTTTCTGGGGCCGTGGAAACCTACCGGTATATTCTGCTATTTTTGCTGTTTTATGTGCATTCGCGCAATAAACTATAATAATTTCAGGGTTTTGTGTCGTTTTTCACTTCTTTTGCAAGCATATAGGGTGTGAGAAAGTTGAGGGCCCTTTTGGTTCGAGGCAAGACCCGAATAGGGAATGGGTGGGCAAGCGTGTGTAACCCAGATTGGTTGGTTGTAATCCCTGGTAGTGATTTGTTGGGATAGGTAGTTCGGTGGGAAAGCACGTGTGATCCAGCTAAATGTTTCATCTACTGCCATCAAGTGTTTATATTCGAGTGACGTCAGGGTTTTTTGTCGTTTTTCACTTCTTTTGCAAGCATATAGGGTGTGAGGCAAGACCCGAATAGGGAATCGGTGGGCGAGCGTGTGTAACCTAGATTGGTTGGTTGTAATCTTTGGTAGTGATTTGTTGGGATAGGTAGTTCGGTGGGAAAGCACGTGTGATCCAGCTAAATGTTTCATCTGCTGCCATCAAGTGTTTACTTTCGAGCGTCAAAGTGGCAGCCAAAATGGAATTTTGTTCCCAAACTATCGATAGGTATTATCGAATAGGTCATCACCGCCGGATTTCGTTTTTGAACTCCGTCGCTTTCTACCATCTGATCGATCGTTCTAGCAGGAGCCACGCCCATTTATAGTAGTATAAAGAATTAAGCCTTCAGATATTATTGTTCCAGTAGTGTAATGGTTAAGTGCAAGACAAGTAAAGTTTATGACTTATGTTCGAGCCCCGACAGTATTTTAAGATTCTAAGATATGGAATGAACCGGACGTCAGGAGGGTGCGAAATCCTGAGCAAAGAAAGCCTTGAAAGGGCGGATAATGCCAAAATCGGCAAAATCCTAGTCAAACCTTGAATTTTTAAAATTCTGGAAATTTATCATCGACCAAGCATGGCCATAGATAATCCAAGCATAAAATCGTCATTTATCCTCGATTTATCTATGGCCATGGATGATTTTCAGGAATTTCCTGGGCCGCTCGCTGGCGGCTGGCTACGCGGGCCCGCTCCCTACGCGGGCCTGGCTACGCGGGCCCGCTCGCTACAGGGCCGGGCTCCCTACGCGGGCCTGGCTGCCTAGCCCGCCTGCACCTAGCCGCGCTGGTCACGCTTCACTCGTTTTTGGTTCTATATTTCCCCTCTTACAATCTTTCGAAAACTTACAAATTTGTTGTATTAAATTCAAAAATTTTATTGCTTAAAAAGACACAAGTTACTAAACATACAAAATAAATACAAGTTCAAGTTCATCCGAAAAATTACTCAAAATATACATAATGATAATTAAGACTGTATATATAATTAGTACGGTAAAATAGTCAAACAATAAAATCAAAATTTTAAGAGGGAGGAGTAACTAAAAATGAGATGTATTAAACAAATAGATTAGGCGATTATATAATATTAGAAAGGCACTTTTAAGAGGATTTAAATCACAATGTGGGAGTAGCTGGAATGTTGCTTTCCAACTGTCAATCTCTGTGAACTTTAATTAAAATTTACGACTTAAAATTGTAACAAGTTTCATATTTTTGAAGGAAAAAAACGGTTTTGTAGATGAATCTTCGATTGGGTTTTCGTGGAAATTAGTTTGGATTGTTATAAAGAAAAGTTTGTCAGACGGAATTATTAAAATGCAAATAGAATTAGCAGGTATATTCAGAGCAGTTTGGGAGGAGAGTTGAAAAGTTAATATTATGGATTGTTAGAGGAACATACATAACAGGTTAATTTCATTCCACGAATCCGGCACACAATACACATAGACCGCAATCACTTACTTTCACAGCATTTGCATTGCCCGCGCCTTTTTTTAAACTTACGTGAAGAATGTTCTTTTACATATATTACCTTTTAATTAGGTAAAACACAAATTAGTTTAGTGTCGCTTATCATATTTCATGTTACGCTTACAGGCGCACTGGAAAGTATACTTTACATGCGCAGTTGGTGGGATAAAAACGTTAGGGCCCAACATCGGCAGATAGAAATGTTAAAAATCTCATAAATTATAGGCACTTCAAATAAGAAAATTTGAATATTACAGCGAAGATCAATAACATTGTATAACAGGGATGAAATATTGGAGTAATTTTCATATTGCTAAAAAATTTGCTCAGCTCAACTTTTTTGTTCAGAATGATTTTAATATAAATATTTTTTAATTGAAATAAATTTGAAATATTCTTAAGGACCCAACTCACCCAGGGTGTAATAAATTTGGTAAGAAATGATGAGCCGTAAAAATTCCGGTTTTTCTAAATATCCTCACATATCGTTAATGTTAGTAGACTTATTGGGAAAGGCCTTTTCAAAGCGATAGGTGCAAGTTTGTGCCGTTAAATTTTTTTTTAGATTTTATAAAAATTAAGGTACATCTTTTGACTAATGAGCTAAAAGCATGTAATCGTTAGTTGCAACGTAGGTGTGCATTCTCAACGGACCTGACGCGACTGTTGACCACATGAGATTCAGTTAATCAAAAGAATATACAAGAAAACATATACAATGAAAAATACAAAAATCACTTTAATCTGAAGCACCGGTTCTTCTTCCGTATTGAAGATTAAGTCAATTCTTTCTTCTGTGTAGGTTACTGAAAAAAATTTAGAATAAGTTATACATGGAAAAACGATCTCACGCACACGCATCTCACATGTTTTAACAATTGCGGAAACAAACAATACAGGAAGATTCATGGCGCAGAAATAATGTAAATAAATAAATAAAACTGGATGTTCAAAAATACGATTATACTTTGTAGGCTACTACGGGTCGCTGGCCTTAACTCAAGTTTTATTCAAGTACTCAACCAGAGTCGCGAATCCTTCATTCTCAAGTGCACCGTTGGGATAAAGTTCCAAAATTGTGAGTCGCCATCAAGTTCGAGTTGAGTCGATCGAAGAAAATCTATTCAAGTTCGAGAAAGCCTCAAGTAGAATACAAAATTCTGGGATCACAGGTAAGTTTGCTGTTCACGTATCATGGTAGATTCATTAATTACAACTAGGCATTTTAGAATATTATTATTTCAGAACCTTATTATTTTGGAACCGATTATTTTTTCAATTCTAATCTTAATCAAATATTTTATCATGGGCTTTTCGACCTAAACTACTGAAAACCAAATTTATCACACGTCAGTTCGCCGAGTTGTTACGCACACTAAGAAACGTGTTTCATCAATAACTCGCCACGAAAGAAAATTGAGGGATTCATCCTGAAGTGAGATAGCGGCGATTTGAAATTTTTATCTCAACAGATTCGAAAAATTTACTTTAAACTCCCAGATTTATTAACAATAGATAGGTGGATAAAAATGAGTCACATTAGACACTAAAGGCTATTTCCCAGCGTTATTTCGATGTATTGACAACATTCACCCTGGTATCCGCATAGACCGGTTCGGGCTCTTACATCAAACTAGGCATTTTTTAAATTTTTAATACCAATTTAAATGGACTCGGTGAACCATGAGCTTTATTAATGCGGTGAAGATTTACTCTAGTTTTTGTTTGCATTATGAAACGGGAACTTAAGCCAACAAGTCAACTCGGAAAGTACAAAAACACTATAGAAGAATTGCATAAATTATATAACAAAGCGGACGCTATTTTAGCACTGAAATACCGAAACAGTCATTTAAGCTAAACGAGTCAATTCGAAACTGCAAAAATAGTATAAGGGAACTGCATAAAGTGAATTTTGTAAGAAAGCACCACACGACTTGGAGCAATTTAAGTCAATACAAGAAAAACTATAAGGTAAGACTTACTTTTTGTAAAATTGTTCTGAATGTTGTAGTGCGGCAAAGATTCGCCTCCACGTCCCTTGTCTGCACAATCATGGTCCTGCAACATTACATAGTATTAAAAGGTTATGGAAACACTCACTTGCTAGATCATATGGACATTCACCCACGCCCCCCGATCATATAAAGATCCTCCGCCTCTCCCGCTAGTCTAAAAAGTAATATTTTAGCCTATGTAAAAATCGTTCAAATCTGATTGAAAATCTATAATTAAAAAGACGAGGGGGTAGAATATATTGACACAAGAGTCGCACGGTACGATATTATAGGTAAATTAAAAATGGGGAGAATATCAGATTTACTAGTCTGTGCTAAAGACAGTGGTCCTCCTCAAACGGCGCGGCGGACAATTTGAGGGATGAAGCTAATTAGAAATAAGAATTATTTGTTAGATTCGATCTTGGCCGCCTTTTTTTGATATTTGCGTTCCATTCACGTATTTTCAAACTGTTTTTGAATAAATCATAATTTCTCTTTACTTATTGTATTATACTTTGATTATTGTTAGCTGATTATTGACGTGGGGAGCGAGATATGACAAATTCTAAAAAAGTGGGCGCGGCTTGAAAAGTTTGAGAACCACTGTTCTGGGATAAGGTTGCGACCAAAAATTGAAATCCCAGCGACTTTTTTGGTTAACCGATACGGAACGATTTTGGCTGCCTAGATTGCTGAAGAGATTGGCGGGCTAGCGCGCAGAATAAAGTACTCTTTACGTTGTAAAAAAAACAATTTGAATATACTAAAAAAAAGGGGCTCCTGAAGTATGCGAACCAAGATGGCGGACATCGGAATGTAATATGTGTACTAGGTTGTTAGGCCATAATGTTAGGTATAAATACTACGGGAGGCTCTTGGCTAGTCTTCGAACTGATAATAGAACTAAAATAAGGAAAATTGGAAAAAAATTATCGCCTAACCCTAACCTGTTACCCATGTTACGTTCCGATGTCCGCCATCTTGGTTCCCATACTTCGGGAGCACCAAAAAAAATATGTAAACTATCGAAACTTATAAGTCCTTGCGAATAATGAAACCAAAAAATGAAAAGCCTCCTAGTGTTTGTTCTAGGTACTGGAACTGACCTGGTACCTTATTGTAGAGAAAGGCTATAAAATTTAGCAAAACAGCAAAGACGATTACAAATTAGCAACGACTCGACTTTTTACTTCCGAAATTTTTTCTTAAGATTTCTTTTATCAACAAGTTATTACGTTTCCCAAACGGGAAGGAAATAGCGAAAGAAATGAAAGAGACAAACAAACCGTATTTCATTATAACAATTATTTATTATCGCTAAAAACACTAAATAACGCGAATTTTTCACGTTTTGATTTTTCGTGCAAGGCCCGATCATAATTTGATGGCAAAGATCGTACTATATCGAAACGCATATTCTACTTTTCAGACCGCAGAAACTATCCGAAATATAACCGTTTCTGTGTTCGAAGTATGAAATAATCGTCAACTCCACCACGCATTCGTGAAATGGCGCAATTTAATAAATTTAATGAAGGTTATATTATTAAGTTTCATTGCATCAGTGTTTATGCTACCACGCGTTTCGACAGATTACTGACATGATTACAGATCGCAAGGTTGGGCAAAATAGAATAGTTTTATCGAATCGAAAATTAGAATATTTTTAGCCAATTTTCGAATATCGGGTATTTTTAATACACATACAACGGGCATCCAGAATGCTAGGCATTCTAATGTTGGTGAGCTATTTCTGCCCGTCCTCTCTTTTTTACAAGGACTACTTCTTACGCAACGTTTGGTTTTATATTCCTGGGAGAACTATGCGTTCATATGTTAAAGACTGCTATTAAAGAGTGAATTCGGGATTTTAATCTGATTTTTATCGATTACGTCGGAATGTGGATATTTATGAAGATGACAGTTGACCTTATGATTTTACTTTCCCATTGTTGGTTTTATTTTCGTATTAAATAGTGAATAAATACCCTGTAAAGTCATTGCGTGAATCCTGAATGTTATTTTGAGTTTAGTAATATTTCAATAAATCGGCAAACCGGCAATAATGGCAATTCTACTAGTCAAATAATTCCTTGGTCAAATTTAGGGAAAATTCGCACAATAATTTGTTACCTTGTTTGACATTTTCAATTTTACGAAACTATGTTGGCGGGCATTAAGCAAAACTTATAGAATTAAAACAATACCCAAATACCTGAATAACGACTCCTCAAATTTGTCGTTTCTGTTTGTTAGCAAGAGCCGTGGGGTAATTCTTGCGGAATTCAAGGGATTGGAAATTGAAATCACTTGAAATAAATTCAAAAATGAAATCCCTTCGCTGCACACCAATATCTTTTTGCGGCACACTAATGTGCCGCGGCACTCTGGTTGGGAATCCCTGTTCTCAAAAAACACATGTACATTATAAACTATCCTAAACTGTACAAAGACGAGGGTCCCATTTCGTTTTATTATTCAGAATAATGAAATTGAAACAACAAAATATCTCTTTCATAACGAAATATGCAAATCACAACAATTGAGCCTATCGCATTGATAAACGTATCCCCACCCTGGAGCCTATGTGGGCACAAACGCATATGGGCACTTGTGCATAACGCTACCCAAGGATCCAATAAAGATTGAATAAATAGTTTTTATGGATAGTGAGGAAGGGAACGACTGCGTTTGATAAAGAGTCCGCATGGAAATCGAAGAAAAATGTCGAAAGCAAATGAGTAAATCTTACCTTAAAATATAAATCACTAATTGTAGCTAACTACAACAGATTCCTAGCGGCTTCCATTACTTCGACCTTGCGTAATGCCTTCAATGGAACGAAAAAGCTGCTTCAACTCTTCTTGATATGCCTTCAATATAAAGGGAAAATTATTAGAAAATCAAGTATTGTTTATATTTTTTTGGAACCAGTGAAATATCAATCGTACACAAAACATCGTGAAAATCAAGCACAATTGCAGCACACTAAAATACTTTTCCGTAACGCTTCGCCTAACCAGATAATTGGGCACGAAATGTGCATAATGGCCGTTTTGTTACTACGTTGCTGTTGATTGTACTGTTGGTATTTTTATTTTTGTTGTAAAAAATTCAACGATAGGTTTGAATTTTCATGTTTAAACATCGTATTTTTCGCTTTTATTTATTTTGAAGATTTACGTTATGGGTTCGTTTTTTTTTTGTGCGCAATGACGGCATCAAATTTAAAAATTGCGTTTTATTGTTTTGTAGGCAAGCTTACTCGCACCTTTCGCTACATACAAAACACAAGCATTCACAAATTACTCGCGATATTCAAAACCAGAATCTTGGATAGGTATTGCCTTACCAAATTTAGTACCACCTGAGTAAGGTGTAGGCATGAAGTTTTACCCCGAGATGGGTTGTCGGCGATGCCAATACAGTTATATATGAATTAACACTATAAACGCTAGGACACCGCACCGTTCATTAATGTAAAAATACGACCAACCTTTTCATTTACGTCCATCAGTCGCGACAATCAGCAACTGCCTTATATCAGTTTCTTTATTTCTTTCTTGAGTCCTGTAAATAAATTAAAATTATAAAACTTATGGCTTTCTCGGGATTTTTGACATAAAGTAAACACATTGCAGGATTGTACGTTACATTTTATTTATACGTCGTATGCCGATGTTAATGTTGTACAAAATGGCCAAATTAAAAAGGAATGCGCGATAACGGTAGTAACGCGCTTACAGGCGTTTTGGACCGGACATTTTGGCCGACGCATGCTAGAAAGTTCATTGAAATTAAACCAATACTTCACTTTTCTAACGAAATATGCAGTCATGACGATCGGGCATCGCCCATCGATAAACCTTAATCCGCCAAGGGGCCTATGTGGGCACAAACGTCATTGTGCCGGTATAACTTTGCTTTATAATAAAGTTACTTCTTGAACCATATTGGGCAGGCTCGATTTACCGACTCGAATCGACTTCGGAATCTAGAATCAGTGAGGTGACTTGAGCAATTTAAATGAAATGGAGGCGACTTGCGTCTGTGACAAAGACGACCTGTTCGTGATGTAAGATAAAGAACCTGTTTATTTACATCGGATCAGTCGCGACCAACATGCCAGCTGTGACAATAGCCAAAAGATTATTTTTCACGCACTTTCCTTCGTTGCTTTTTTAGTCAAGTTCTGTTTATTAAAAATAAAATGGTGATCAGGCTTCTGCAATTTTTTGCTAATTTTTATTTAATTTTTATATACGCAAACGATTTTTTAACGCATTTTGCCTTCAAATTGAGGACCCGCACAAACATATCTAACGATTGTAAAGAGGTGCTTTTTCCCTAATTTTTATAAAATTTATTGTGGAGTCCGTCGTAAATTATAAGTAAATAGCTCTCAAACGTTCCCGTAACAATCAAAAGTTTTAGCACTACTGCCCTAAGTAACTCGCGACTTATCGTTCAGGACCGTTTGAAATTTTTCATAAATATGAAATAAAGAACCGAGCCTGACCTGTTTATTCACAATCTATCTATCGCGACCACTAGCTGTGAACCATAATCGAATGCTTTCTTTCATTTGTTTCTTCTTAATTAAGTGATTAGATCGAAAGTTCTATACAGCGCTCCTTCGCGTCGAAAAAAATTCGATCTAATATACAGTTCATAATACCCAATGAAGTTATAAACGATTGGTTTTAATTACCTCGTCAACCGCGACGTGCGCTGCACGACCAGATACCAGGTTCTCTTCCCCATTTCTTCGTTTTTGAGGCTGTAAACAAATTAAAAGTTACTAGTTTATTAACTTAAATTTTCATCCCATTTATCACGCAAAACAAAGAGAAATGTGACCAAATATCAGTTTTTTCACACTTCTGGGTTTGAATTTTATATTTTTTTTACGCAGAAAACAACGATCTATACATTCAGTTCGTATTCAATTAAGTCATAATGGAATAAAATAGGAAACAAACGATCTACCTGTTCATTCTCATTGAACAGTCGCGATCACCGGCCAGCTGTAACAATAGCAAAGATCATTTTTTTCCTTCTTCCTTTCCGCTGTTTAGTCCTGTGAATGGATTAGAAGGTATTAGGTATTTGCAGTTTGTTGAATTATTTTATTCAGCAGAATAATAAAAAATAAAACTCACCGATTCGCTGTACGAAATGTGAAAATCACTAATACCGCACCTCAACTCCGACTGGAGGTTCTTCAGCCCTAACTCTGTCAGCTCGCGGTCGACGCATCGTGCTTATTATTGGAAACACGTTCTTACCTGATTACACAAGCGGGCCCAAATCCAGAGAGGATAATCATGTGATAGTTGGACTACTCGCCACCGTCGGATACATCTTCCTTCACCAAGTCAACGCATCTGAAACGAATAACTGGTCAACTACCCGACATGGACTGGTAACCGGACTGAGGCCGTGGTTCGCCATATGATTAAACCGTCATATCACATTTTCTGCACTGTAGATAAATGAATACCCAAACAGAATTCACGACATACGCAAGTTAATGTACACGAAAATAATAAAGTACAACAGATAAATGTTCAAATGTTCAAACAGTGTGGCGCAGAAGGAACCGTTATCAACCGTCGACACTGAGAAGCTTCTTCTGAGCCCCACTGTATCAAAATTAATTCGTAACAGAATATTAAAATATTTTAACAAATCCTGAATAGACTCATTCTAAATTTCAATCATTCAATAGGGTCGGCAGTGGGATTCAAAAATTCAAAAACAATCTCTTTTGTATCGAACTTACTAACAACGGATTGCCCCATTTAAAAAAATCTGTATTTATCTAAACGTCAGAACGGGTTCTCTAATTTGTTACCGTACTCGCAGGCGCCATTACGGACCACGTCGCTATACCTTCGCAAGCTCAATTTCGCAATGACGTAATTTTTGGATGACGTAGCAGATATATATGATATTTGTAAACATTGTTACGCCACGCCCAATAGAAGTTATTGTGGTACGAAACTCCTATTACGACATTTCAAGAAAGATTCGCACGAACTCCTTGAATCCCACCACCGAATATAAATATAATAAACAAGGGGAAAATACTGTTGATAATATAAACATAAAAGCTGAGTTAGATTTGTTATAATCTGACCTTAACTGACTGAAAACTGTGCGTATATCTGGCGCAGACCAACGCAGAGCCGACCTCACACTATCACGCCCTAAGTCGAAATGAGGCGCACGCGACAAATATTTTTCTGACGTTTCTATCGAAGAAAAAAGAGCAGTTTTAAAAAGAAACAAGAGGAAATGAGTACGTAAAATATAATGAAGAAATAACAAAGCTGAAATCTCACTTTGAGCAGACCAATTATTAAAGAGTGAGTAAATTATCCCAAATGATTATTGCTTTCGTGCGCAGCAAGATGCTTGAATCAGTCAAAAAAATGGAATGGGGAAAACCTGATTACAGCAAACAGATTGTTTACTGTGGCGTCACAGTTTATCCGTATTGAAATGGGTTCAAATATGAGCGAATGATAAAATAACCTGTCAAACTTTACAAAAGTTACTCAATAAAAGGAAACCTTCACACATCCGAAGTGCATAGGGCAAATACTCGAATCTAAAAAAAAAAACAGATGTCCATATCTGAGTGAGTAGCCCTCGTCTTGATGGTCGAGGAAGCCGTAACTGGCCAACGATTACGAAAACCACTACGATCTGTCTAGCAATTCTCACCCACATAATTATCCCTCACAAACTTTAAACCTACAACCCGATGTATTGCTGCAAACATGTTTCAAACTCTTAGCACGATGAGCTGAGAGCCAAGTCTCGAGGTATCGGTGAATCGCTCATAAATGAGGTAAAGTAGTGTTAAAAATCACGTACGATTTTGCTCCCCAATCCAATAAAACGTCTATGGATGGAACCGGGACGATCAAGACATTATGATGTTACCAACCAGGTCGTCTGCGAATACATAAAATTAACGTAAAAGCAAAAAGACATAGTGAATTGTCATTTCTGCAGGAAGCGTATAGCGCGGTAATTCCCAGCCGTTTTCAATATTTTTATCCCTTTACGAATTAAACGAATACGAATTCGCAGACTAGGACGAATATATCTCGGTGACGTTACATCGTACCAAGCGGCAGACGTTGCAGAAATATATTTGTGTTAGTGTGCAGCAAAACTCTCGGACTCACATAGGATAGTCATCTTTATCTTTGCTACAGTATTCTGGCATCATATGGATATAGTACTATTTGCGCAAAGACATAGGAAAGTAGTTTTCAACCAGCGTTACGCGGCATTCTAGGGATCGCCAGTACAGTTCTGCGATTTCGCAAGTTTACAAATCCGAAGGTCTATAGCAGACATGGGCAAACTGCTGCCCGCGGGCTAAATCCGACGCATTCGGTAGTTCAATCTGGCCCGCTTGATGCTGCCACAACCAAAATAAAACAAATTTGGATGTTAACCTATGAAATAGTGGAAGAATCTCGTTGAGATTGTGATTAAATTTAGTTTTGTCACGAGGCTCATTGTTTTTCACTTAGGCTTTTGTGAGACAGTAAATGTTGTTCATAAAATGCAACTTTTACGTCACACTTACCTGGCCTCTGATCTATAGCGTTCAAATATAGTAAAACACACAATAAGACAATAAAATACGATGATTAAACCATTGCACAGGGGACCAGGGGCCGCCTACGAAATGTTTTATTTAGGATTCATTTCCACCAAAAAGGTTAGAAACCACTGGCATAGAGGAAGGATAGTGAGTTCGTCCCGCGTAATCCCGACTGATAGCTCGCTAGACGCTCTTAAAATTCCGTCTACCTCCATTATGCAGACTTGAAGTTGGCGATTCATGGAAAGGCGCTTTACTAAATACACAACCTTGCGTTCATAACCACAACATTCCCCCTAATACAGGGGTCTACAAACTTATCATAGCAAAACAAATATACAAGATTTCTAGACAAGTATTCTGAGGTTAGCTGTTATCAAAACAATTGCTGTCATGAATATCCGCATGCAAGAAGTACAAAAGTGTGTGACTTGTGAAATTGGAGTTTAGCTTTCAAATTTTCTTTAATGTCAGGATTGCCTTCAAATGTGCACCAGTCAGCCTTGTTCGATGTACTGATTTCACCTACGGTACTTCATTTTTGAAAACGTTTGCTCACAGACATACGTGGTTCCAAAACTGATGCCATGCCTGGAGCAAATGTCTTCAACTTTGACTCATCATCAGATAAGCAGCGATAGAATCCAATGAATTTTTCTTCACTATGTTTCTCTTTTAGCAATGTGTTGGCTTGTTCATCTATTATCTCGCGAAAACGAGGTAAATATTGTTTACAGCCACGACTGAAAATCTGCCCGAGTGACAAAAGTGTCTGAGCGGGTGCGAAAAGGCCAATTGTTATGTCAGTTTTTTTCATTTTGCTGATTGGCCAATGTTACGAAATAAACAAGGAAGTCGATGTTCAGGGAAACATCCCTTGGAAAAAAAATTCGCCATTTTTTGGTGTTATTTCGGGCCAGATGAAAGGACGCCAAGGTTGGATCTGGCCCACGGGCCGTAGTTTGGTGACCCATGCCCTAATACATGAGGTAAACTATATAAGGACCCTATAATGCCATCGCACTCGCATTTCAAATTTTCGTTTTATTTTATCGTCGGGATAAAATTAAAATTAATTTTAAATTCAAACCTCATTCCGGACGTTCAAATATTTAAAATTATTCATTCAGTAATAATATAAACTACAATTATATACCAAAATGATACCGGTGTAAATGAGAAATAATTTAAACTTTTAATATTTATGTCCTAAAATACGAAAAATCGTTAAACAAGCGATATTCTAATCAAATATAGGTTTGGAATTGACCGCATGTTCACAGTAATAGAGTATTTGACTTGTTCCTCAGTTTTTTGGCTTCTTCCGTAGTTAGAGTTGCCAACTTTGTGTTAAGCCATTTCGGGACACCTTCTAGAATTTGAAAATTGATGCAACAAAATATTGTGAAACACAAAAAACATCAAAAGCAACAATGCGCGATCGTGCAGCACTCCAAGCCTGTAAATAATTTTATCATAATCAAAGAAACTTGTGAACTGTCGACTCTTTAATTAGGGCATGAATGCAAAATAAACCTCAGACAGGGAAAATGTACAATTTGTGCCATGTAAATTTAAGTATTTAAAACAAAAACACAAAAAATCAGTCTTTCTGGTATTTAAATTTGTATATTTATTATTTACTTGTGGTCTTTGTTATTTTCCACAAGTGAATTTTTATGTTAAAATTTGTAATCCTTACGAAAATATAATAATCAATGAATTCTCGCTAAGACAAAAGGCTGTCAGTAAGGCACCTTAAAATATAAGTACGAGCCTGAAAACTGACTGAATAATGAAAACCTGCTGGTAAAAGAGCCTCGCACTAGCAGTGCATTATAAAATAAAAACAAGATATTGTTACACGCCGTAACTTCAATGACTAAATTTTTCAACAAATCTCACCGGATTAAGTTTTTTAAAGCTTATTCTAACTTACTGTACTAATTAAATAGATTTTCAGTTTATTTTATAATTAAATACGGTAATTCTTTGCAGTACAATATACGTTGTTGCATATATATATTATAAGGTTAAAAAAAGGCTCACCAGTGCTATTTTTTCTCGGTATAGATTTTTCTCGAAAGCTATTTCTCTTTGCGTTTTTTTGGAAACCTAATTACTCCTACTTTGACATCTTTTCCATATGAAAGATAATAATAAGTACTAGGCTAAATCTCAATTTGAGTTTACAAAAGCTAATAAATCTAATCCTATCTTCACCTTTACTTGCCTTTTACCGACTTACAGCTACAGAACCGTTTTGAAAAAAAAAACTGTGTTTTTTCAATTGATATACCAGGTTGAGTGATCCTAGTGTTATATCATCAGTAAGTAACCGTTGACGAAACATGTCTTATCCACAAGTTTCCAAATTTGAACGAAGTCGACACGCTTACATGGCCTTCCTATTTTAGAACGCCTTGATTGTCAGTAAATTCCGGGAGAACCGTAGCCCAGCGCGGGACGCCTGGGCATTCCGGGACGGTTAATAGCCCTACCCGTAGTGTGTGTACCAGGTTAGACCATAATTTTTAAATTCTGATTTTCCTCATTTAGTTCTATTACGTGTTCGGGGACTGTCTGTGTTAGCCAAGTGAATATACCCCCTGCCCATAGGTTTCAGTCCCTTTACACAACTTGATGTGAAATAGGCGAAAAGTTACCTCCATGTTGGTACAAACACTTCTGGAGCGCCGTTTTTGTACTATAAATGTACACACACGATCAAGAATCAAACGCTATACAGTAATGTTTTTAACTGGGGAAGAAGTCCTCCCAAAGGAGGAAATTTGTCGTTCCCAGGGAGAATTTTGCTTTAGTATTCCTAATATTCTGTAGTCCTAATGCAAATATATATTATAAACTGTTCAAACTGTCGAGAAGGCGACTTGCGTATAACACTTTAGCCAAGGATTCATTGAAGAATGATTGATAGTGCATGATGAGGGGGGAATAAAGAGTTCCAAAATATGCGAAGGCAGGAATTTAACAAAAAATGTTGGGAAACTCTGGTAAACACATGTAAAAATTAACATAATCGAAAATTCACGGAGGCGAAATTAAATGCAACTAATTTTTTTTATAAAATCGCACTATTTATAAAAAAATATCTGCTAAAAAAGCTTCAACCATTTATCTATTTTAATTTATCCTTTGCCGGTGCATGCACGATGAAGTTATTTGTACATTTAACTTTTAAAATCTCAGTATTTCCGTCTGATAATATATATAAGTCAAGGTCAGAGATGCGCGATGTGTTTGAGTGCCAAGAGCCATTTTGGTATGAAGAAAAAGCCGTGAATAAAGCAGAACATTTATAATATATTACAGGTATGCGCAACCTAGGACATGCCCAATCCCTTCATATTATAGGAAACCGAAGGTAATGGGTAACGTCTCTGGGATTCAATAACACAGACTGAATTTTCGAGACGGAGAAAACGGCCTAAGAAAAGTTTAATCAGACAAAGCTGGTACGGGTAGGTGGGGTGAATTCCCAGCGATGGGGCAAGTACCGTCGTGTTTGACTGATCATCTTGCACTGGCAGGTACGCCGCTTCCTAGATATTCAAAGATTTAGGTTAGTAATTAATGTTTGGTGTCACACCTCAAAACCAAGTCGGTGTTTGAAACTTACTGTTTTGGTACAATACGCTGCATACGAAGCGCTACATATCCGAATCTTGGCATGTTTTCACCACTGGAATCGGGGTCTCATTTAGCCCGAAGTTGGAATTCTAAATTCATAGCAGCCGAGATTTTAGACTTTTAATGGTGAAAATAATTAATTGAAACATTCCACAGAATTTCAAAAACTATAGAGTTTACGAAGAGATCCCTCGACAGTCCAATGAAGAAGGCTGGCCAATAAGCCAAAGATTTCGTTGAAGTGCGACTTTCTCAGAGATGGAGTGAGAATTTTCCGCAACCTGGGGGTCCATTCGGTAAACTCTGTAAGATTAACGAGCCCCTATACTGGGTCTCTCAAAAACGCAATAGCGAAATCTAGCAAACCCCATTGACAAAAGAATTGACGCACATTCTCTCGAAATCATACGCGCGGTCGTCGGCAAGCCAGTTCTTATCCGGACCACCTGGCTTTGTCCGCCATCAAAAGCAGGGTACCATATTTTCCAAACGCCAGTAGTCTTCGACTAACCAATCTGTGCAAAATTTGTTTCGAGAAAGTGGAGGATTCACTCACACAGTTACTTATAATAGGATTAGTCAACGCCCCTCCCAAACTCATGGAGTATAAGCAACTTGTTTTTTTGCCGGCAGTCCAAGTTGATGTGCATTTATGGGTACCGCTGCTCGGGACCTCCAGGAGTACGAGCACCAAGATGGCGCACAACCTGAACATAGTATGTGTACCAGGTTAGGATTCAGGTTGTGCGCCATCTTGGTGCAGATACTTCAGGAGCGCCGCTACTCAATAACCAAATTTGTTTCTCACCCTGATAGGCTTTTTAATTATTTATTGCAATTTTATATCAAGTGTGCTTTCAGTAATGTGAGTAAATAAACTACTGAATACCGATTCCCCGACCCACAAGTAGTCAATGCCGATATAAGTATAAAAATTCAAGCAACATCGTTTAATTCATTAGTCAAACATAAAAGCAAAGGTAAAATGTAGCAATCCAGAATTCAAAAAAAATATGAGCAGCTTGTACTAAAATATGATGATTCTCTCAGAAAATATGATCGACAGATTTTTTCACCAACATGGCGCACAACCTGGACATAGTAGTTGTACTAGGTTAGCGTTCAGGTTGTGCCCTTGGCGCACATACTTCGGGAGCGCCAAAAAATTACTACTGATTACTGGATCTACGAGTTTCTTACCACCTAGGAGCCCATGAAGCGGCTACCAACAAAGGCCTTTAAGTAGGGTCCTATTGACTTCATTAAATTACAGTAAATCAACTATGGTTTGTTTAATTTTACGACCTTAATGCATTTTTACATTACATTTGTAGACTTTTTGCTACTGGATGAAAAATAAAAGATGGTAAGCCGTTAAAAACAAAAGTAGCTTTCCTATAGAAGAGAAGGTCACAGGGGTGCTGAAAGTCTTCAGAAAAGGGCACAACTCATGAAAGTTTGAGAACTACTGGGTTATTCCATTTGTAACAATTATGTAATGATAAAGTGAGAGAATTACCGAAAAATTTGAAAAAAATCGTATCTCATACTAGACCCCAATTCATCTTGATGGCGAAAGCAGACTTTTTGCCATGAAATATCTCCTTCATTATCACAATGGGACAATTAGTCTAAATTCAGCCTTTCTATGAGAAGTGGACTCGAAACAAGTTGTCTGACATTATTCATCAGTGTCACCTTGTCGGATTTCGATCCCATGGATCATTTGGAGGTTCCCGAGCGAATATTGTTGCACTACGGAAAGGGTAGAACTGTAATATATGGGAAATAATATTCAAAACACAAAACAATGAGAAACAAATGCTAAAAATATTATGGACAGAGAGGTTAAATGAATAATTATGGTGATTTATTATGTTCAACATTGTGCTCACATGTGATTATCACTAGGTAAAATCAATACTTTCAGACACCTACATTTTTGAAAAGTCCTTTTTATTTGAAGAAAAAAGTCCATCAGCGAAAAGTCCAGCAATCCCCATAGCATGTGTTGATATACTTAAATATTCAAATCCGGGTCATCAGCGGTGTGATAACTAGCGTGTTTGTAAAACTCAACATGACGAACAAAGGACTGAAAAGCAGTAACGTGACAGTAAAGCGGCCTCACCTTTCCAATGACCCTTGACCTTACAAGGCCGAGAGGGACTGGTCCAAAATTACGAGAATCAAGAGACGAAGCTTTATTGTCACCTTCCAACCATACATGACCTCTTGGAATGTATTTGTAATTTTTTAGTTTCGCCAAATCTTCGTATCCTCTGAAAAAATGAAATTTAAAAACTGGGAAATTGTGGAATTGAATGGTGTAATGCTATTATTATTATTTATACAGGAATATTTTGATTAAAATATTTTTAGACATACTCTAACTAAAAAATCAACCCTTATCATTGTTATTTTTCTCGTCATGAGGAGGCCTATAATTCTTTTGGGATGGAAAAATTAAAAAAAAAATGCAGGAAGTTTGGTTTATTCTCCTCGCTCGCTGTCACTGCTTGCAGCTGCTTTGGGAAAGTATGAAAACAAATTTTTCTATATCAATTGAAATGTAGGCTCCAAGATGGAAATACCCCAAAGTTCTGATGGCATGACAAATATCAGTAAAAAAAATGAGTAACTTCATACATACTTTGACAATTGACTTCTCAATAGAGAAGCCATTACTCATGATTTTGGAAGATAATTGTCAACACATGCGTGATGTTACTTGCCGTTATTTTTTCAAGGATATTTATCATACCATCGGAACTTGGGGATATTTTCAGTACTGAAACTTTATTTTAATTGATATGGAACAATTCGTTTTCATACTATGGTAATGAATTGTTCTGTGTTAGGAAAAATTAGGTTTCAATAACCCACCCATCTCCATCAGGTTGAAACGTTACTTCATCACCTTCGAGTGCAATAACTCTTTTGCATATTTGAACATTAAGTTGTTTAGGTGACGCGGCTACAACAATATCACCTCTAGAAAAAAGAATTAAATCATTTGAGCAGCGTTTTTTGCTTGCAAACAGGGTTTCGTTCTGAATATATTCTAAAAATTATTTTCTCCAAATATTACCGGTAAATACATGCTAAATTGGTTCCTGTTCCACAGATATATTACCAAAAATTACGGCGAATTCATGATAATTTAATGATACAGAATATATATGTTGTCTCTCTGCTTTTATATATTCATATACATACATACAATAGTTAATATATAACTGTTTTTTTCAGACTTTTACATTTGTCAAAGTATATTTTTGCCTGACGATCAAATGCCAAAATACGTAGAATGATAAATTTTTAGATTGAAATATTCTGAAATAATTCTATAGTTAAGAATTTACTATTTTGAATGAATTTCTACATTTGATTCATTTTATATGCTTGCAACCTTATCTAAAACAACAGCTCTCAGATATAGAATGATCTCTTCACCTTCGTATGTCCTCATATGGAGTAGTTTTATCACAAAGTCCAATCTCATTATTCTGTATCGTAGGATTCATGGATTCTCCTTGAAAGACAACAAATGATACAAGAGAATCATTTATCGCTGAAATTACTATTCCAATACCAGCTCCCTTCAACACATATCCAGCGAACTTGGTCCAGAGTGCCATGGATATCTTAAGATCAAAAATCAATTAATGAAATGAGATAGCGATGAACAAATTTATCGATACATAATATCTGTACCGGTATGGTAAGTTAAGTTATCATCTAATTAAATGAAAATAGCAAAATTATGGGTGGAATAGGAAGACCCTTGGAAGAGGTAATAGCATTCTAATGACATGAAACGCTGAGCACTGAAAAATAACAACAGGATATCAATATTAACTGTCTGTCAAATAGAACTGAAATTAGAAAAATCAGAATAAAAATTATGGCCTAACCTTAACCTGATACACATACTACGGGAGTACCAAACAACCAATATATCAATGGGCCACGAGGCGGACCATCGTTGTCAACCTTTTTATTTTCTTTTTATCCAATTTTTTTTTCAAATTTTTTTTTTTTTCAATTTTTTTTTTAATTTCAATTTTTTTTTCAATTTTTTTTTGTTTTTTTCATTTTTTTTTAATTTAAATTTTTTTTTTATTTCTTTTTTTTTCAATTATTTTTATGTTTTTTCACAACTATTTTTTAATTTTCGCTTTTTCATTTTATTTTTTAATTTTTTTTTTAAATTTTACACGTGACAACGATGGGCCACCATACTACTCACTCCCCAAAAAACAAGATTCGAAAACTTAAAATAATTTACTTACAAAAATTTTCTGATCTTACTTCAAACTTCATAAATTACGCCATGGGTGTGACTATTCTTTTTTCACAGTACATTTTCATCTACAATGCGTTACATTACTGTTATAAACTTTTAAATTATACTGCAATCTGAATTTAATGAAAAAACACTAGTAAGATAAGAAGATACATGAATAATAATTATGAAAAATTATGAAGTATTTAAGCTTATAAAGGCATTTGAATTAAAAGAAATAAACATTTTCTTCGTACAGAATTTCACACCATCAACAAAAAATATCACAGACAAGGATATCCAAAACAAATTGATTTGTAATGTATTATTCGACAGAGCAATCGTTCAATTTTCATGCAATACAAAACCTTTAATTGTTAAATAAACAGGGCATTCAGAAGTTTTTTAAATTGCAAAGGGAATTTATCGATACCATATATCATTTGTTGGCCACTACAGGTGTACTGAATGAAATAAGAGAGCTTGGACTGGGATTAAACAGACCTGGTTAAGTTATATTGAGAACAGACTTAATAACAAAATTGAAATTGCAAAAAGGACTTTACGAACACCCTGTATATTGATTTTACAAGTTTACGGCAAAGCATGAGAATTCTATCTATTTTTCAATATTCAAATAGGTAATATTATTTGGTTTTGGCCTTTTCTAATTACAGATCTAAAAATCTGATTATTGAATTGGATTATTAACATGATTATACGTTAATAAATATATCTTGTTGAGAATTAGTACGCACACAATTTTGTGATGTGGTATATTTTAATATTCATAATACAGAGACAACCAATAATAATTGTGACAGAGGAGGTAACAGAATAAGAAGTGTTTCACTATAATTAAGATGAAACAGAGAAAAGTTTGCAAGATATAGCGTCCCATAGAACCTGGGAAAATTTGAGAAAAGTCTTCCAGTGACTTTTTTCATTATTTGAGTACTGTAAATTTGTGATTTCTCCCCCCAAAAAACAACAACAATTTAGCAAGTTCATGTCCGATAAAAGTTCATCAAAAATTGAAATCTGTACCAGATATATGCATAAACAAGACACTGTGTGCTTTGCATAATTAATTATGGAATATATTTGGTGAATCTCAAAGCTGAAGATAGTACATCATATAAAGGCATAATTTTAAAAACATAATTATTATATAGATGAATCACAGAACGAAATGAACATTTAGAAATATAGAATTAAAATTGGATTATTTATAAAACACAGATACCCACAGAATTAGGGTGAATAATTGTAAAAAAATGTCAGTATCAAGAAATTGAAAATGACTTTTTCTGTAGTATAACTGATGTAAATGTACAATTTCAAAAAAAAAAAAATTAATTCAAACAAACAATTTTTGGAGACAAGATTGACACCAGCAAGTGCTTGACAGTAGTCAAACAAAATACAGTAATCATGATTTAAAATTTTATTCCCAATATATTTTATGCATTTTTAGTTCGAACAAGAATTTGTACAAACTGTTACTAATATTCTGATAATGACTAAAGCAGTGGTTCTCAAATAATAGGGCGCGCTCCAGAATGGGGGGTCATTTTTTTAGGGGGCGCTATTAAAAATAAAAATAGTTGTCAGATTTTATCTCGTCCTCCTTATATTTGGGTTATTTACTTTTTTTATTTTGGATATTTTTGTTCCATCCACGTATTTTCAATGTGTTTTTTAAATTAAACATACTTCCGCCTTACATGTTATTTGTAGCTAGTTATTTTTGAGGTGGGGCGCGAGACTTGACAAATTCTAAAAAGAGGACGTGGCTTAAAAAATTTAGGAACCACTCGACTGCAATCTTTTCAGTTCTGCAACCCAATTTATTACATTTTGGAGGGTGGTGTCCATGGATTGAAACTTTCATTCATACCAAAGATCATTATATTTTTATCACTAATTTAAGAAATATTTCAATGAGTCCAACAGAAACAAATCAGGAATATGATGAAATCAGTTATGAAATTTAAATGCCATATTTCAATTTTATTTCGACTGATTTTTATCGTGACATCTCAAAGGACTTTGCTATTAGCAATTCAACCATAGATGCTTATCTATCAACCATGAAAGCACAAAGCTGTTTGAATATTCAAAACACTTACTATGAGATCATCTTATCAGTATATAATTATTCTCGAAGTATTTTTGCTTGGTCAGTCAGGAGGAAAAGGTTTGTATGATTTTTAACACATACAGAGAACAAATAAATGAGGTCAGATGCCATATCCTTGAAATCTCTTAAAATGGAAATATTCCATATTATTCCTAAATCAAGTATTCACTATATTGAATATTAAATATTACCAATTTCAGATTATTGGAATACCAGGGTTTAATGACAAATGAGGTGAATGTTGACAATTTCGAAAAGCTTCATTTGAAAATATCACAAAGTAATCGATGCTATGATATCTAAGGTATATCTGATGATAGTTTGAAGCAAATTTACAGAAGTTTGAAATTAAATATATATATTTTCACTTATTTTCTTAAACAGCTTTTTCGAGGTTCGCCATTTTGCGTTGAAGCCTTTTATATAGTCCAGGAGTGGGCAATTACTATGTGGGCAAAAACTCCACATGAAAAACGATAAATAAAAAAAGTTAATTCACTAGTCCAACAGCTAGGCTGACGTTTATATAATAATAAGCAGCACGATGTAACATCAGGATCATTATAACGCTACTTTCAACATAAATTTATATTCCCAAAAACTATAGTCGTAATTTCAACAGACACAAGTGGGCCAGTGGAAACACTTCGGTGGGCCAGATCTGGACTTTGGGCCGTAATTTGCCCACCCTCGATATATTCTTACTTATACCCATAACTAAAATCTGGGACTGATTATCTATGTAGCAAACACAAATATGATTAGGGCCAACCGTCACACAGGCTAGACCTATTGATGTGCAGACAAGATATTCTTAGAAATTTGAGACCCTAACAGGAGAAAGCATAATTAAAAAATGTGTAACGAAACACTTTTTTTTTTAACTTGATCCAGAAAGTTGAGAACTTAATTGTTTAATTAATTATTAATACCAAATCAATTTGAAGTATATGATTGGCTGAGTAGAAAATTGCTCATTCTCAAACAGTTCCGTATTTCAGAAACGCACTTTAGTGATAAAATTTTTTTTTTTTTAATTGAATAAACTACCCAAAAGTTAAACTCCGTAAATTTGACATCAATACTTGGCAAAACATCAAAATTTACAAACTAAACTATTATTTTGAAGATCTAGTTCTAGTCTAGCTCAGAGTGTAGACGTGAAAACGCTTTATAAAAAAAATTCAACAATTTTAAAATTTATTTCAATCAAATTTCTTGACCAGCCATACTGGAACGCCAGTTTTTTGAAAATTTTCGCAGACTCTGGTATTCAAATAATTGATGAACAGAAAGTAAGAATCTCTAGGAAGTTTTGAAATGATTAAACTTTCTACCAACTCCTATGAAAATGCTGATTGCGTAAATGCTGACTCAGCTTATTTGAATAAAAAAATTTATGACCTCATCATAGAAAGGTGAGAACAAAATTTAAATCAGCAAAAACAGTAAATTTAACATTAACATTCAGGTGTAATTGAATTGAAAGGGAATTCAACAGAAAATGTTATTACTCAATTGTATAGCAAATTTGAATGAATCAATTTGATACAAAAAGGAAATCAAATAAAAAAGATTGAATGTAGCAATTTTAATCTATCATGGGAAATTTTCATGTGACATAGAGTTCATACATAGATATTTTAACAATTCACGCATAGCAATTGTTCCAAACTGACAATTTTCAAAACATGACAAGCGTGTGATTACATGATAAGGTCAAATCTGTCATCAAAGAGAAGCAGATGACATTGCGTTGAACCAAAAGGAAAACACACATTAAGTACGTAATAAAAATATGAAAAACACACATAATGTATGTGAGCGGAGTATGTATGGCCGAGGCTTTGTATAATTCTAATATAAAAAATTTCCAATTAGCAATTTCACATTTTAACCAAGTATCATACTTGTTTATGAGTGGCCCATACGACATCCGGCACGAAAAGAGGGAAATTGCATCCTTAACTGACCCTAATGATAGTGAGATGAGGTATTAGTCACTTGTGTTTTCGTTTTTTCACTCAGATTAAGATGCGAGCGCCTTTTTAATAAACCTAAACTTTCGGATTAGGATTATTATGATTGATGGGGAAAATCTGAGTGTTGACAAGGGTCACAAGCCCGCAATGAATGGCTTAGGTCTGCGCCACACTTCTGCACTGCGCCATTGCGCGCACATGTACAAGCAAAAATTGAAAATACAATATTAAATAAAATTTAGTTTTTTTACAACATCGATAACCCCAATATGGTAGTCTATTTTCTTACTTCTAAAAATAATTTGACTTTTAAGGCACAGAAAAAATTCATATGTTATGTTGCCAGATGGTAAGCAGCATGTTTATATATATATTTATTCATTTCCTATTCATAAACAACAAATACTGCACAAATATGGCAACACGAATGGCTGTATTACATTTAATAGCAGAACATGTCATAACATTATTAGAAGCCGTGACTCACGATTATGATTAAGCCCTATTATCATCTTTCATACAGAACTGTTGCTTATTGATAATAATTGTATTCAGTCCCACAGCCAGGGGGTTTGAGGCAAGCTGGACAGGGCCGAACCCGACCATAAAAGCACCACATGCCATTCAGTAATTAGGCATATTCTTGATGCGAAAGATTTTACAATTTTTTTTTTTAATTTGGGTCGCATGAAAAAAGGTTGAGAACCCCTGGCGTAATTGGTATATTGACCTAATCACATTGGTGTGAGAAGAGCACTAAATTCAAATCTTCCACTATCTTTCCTTGAATTCAAGATATAGGCCTCAATGGAAAAATCCTGGTTCTTCCACAACCTTACAGATCCATTACTGCTTGTTCTGAGTCTTGTTCAAAGCAAACAGCCCCTTATTTGAGTGAACCCTATTTCTAACTACGATACTGTAGATTATGGATTATTCCATTAATATTTAATCCTAAATTAATTTGGTAGGAACAAAACCAAGATAGGGAATTTAAGAAAATAAGAAGTTATGCCTAAGTAATAAAGATCAAAGAAAATATGGCTTTCTTCATTAACAAATGTAATCTCATGAGATATCACATTATATGTAGATTACCCGAACAGTATAATTCATTTGGTAATATCAATAAAAATATTAATTATTAATTCATAATTTACGGTAGTAAGTCTTATCTGGTATGGTGATTTACGTTAATAATTATCACATGCTAGTACATAATTAGGAATGTAAAAATTGCAAGCCCTCTGATCAATCGATTTGACATACGCCAGAGAGTATTGATTGACAACTCTGGCCTCCAGAGACAAAAGTAACATATCATGCTTCCCAGAGAACTGCCATATAATAGATTACATATAATACATTCATAAAGTCTCTTTACAATTTCAATTTTGTTATGAAGTCAGTTCTCAATATATCTTAACCAAGTTTGTGTTTTAAATCACTAATTGTTTGAGTATTTTTACTTCATTTATTTCAGCTGTGAAGGTCAAAACAATATAAGGTATCAATAAATTACCTTTGCTGCTGCAATTTTAAAAAATTTGAGGACTTTATGGACACCCTGTATAAGGCTTTGAGTCTGTACAATCAGATCTTTAAGTGAGGGCTACAGAGCTCAAATTGAACAGGAATTTCTGCTATACTTTAGACATGAACAAAATAAGGAAGTAGAAATGCTTCTCAAAAATAATTTAAATTATACTACATGAAACTATCAAAATTATATTACAGAAAAAATAGGGAGAAAAAATTCAATCAACCATGAAAAATCCTGCCAAAACTAAATTATATGAGCAATGAAGAATGAAGTGATGTGGTACAATACTGCAGTGAGAGTAAATTTATCTCAAAATTTTTTCAAAAAATTTACGAAATAACAAATGTGCAAGGCGATAACAATAATTAAAAGATGAAGTAATTGAACGAAGTCGTGAGGATGAATATGAAACATACGAAACAAAAAATAGGACGGTATATTTAGTTAATTATTATTTATGAATAATAATAATTATTAGTAATTAAAAACAATTATTTATCTGGATAATAATTAAAGTTAATATATGGACAAGACTAAGCTTAGCTGTAAGCCTTATCTAACTAAAAAATTGATTGAAGTTAAACATATTGCACAGTAATTCAAATAATTTAAAATAATTTTCACTCGGCCATAGATGAATCATCGATGGAACAAACTTTTAAAGTGGAACATACTCAGGGTAAGGATGTTCATACCATAGTAGTCTAATATGTGAAATTCTATTTCATACCTAATTATATGCCTTTTACTCGAATAAGGCTATATACAAAAGCCACTAATATCTGATGAGATACCATAACTTAGAAGAATTTGGGGAAATAACAATTGTTAGTTGTAACTTGTAATAATTGAAAAAAATTTATTTTATATCTGTAAATCAATTTTAAACAATAACCATCAAAATAAAATAAAAAGTGGTAAAAAAGGCAAATTTTTTACTCAATCTTTTTTGAATAGCCCTGTATCTCATCCATGTAGTCACTCACATCCAGCGGTCGTTCTAAAAATCCCAGTTCTTGGACTGTTTTATATTGGTCTGGAATCTCCATTAACGTGTGAAGTGCTACAGCTGTTTCCGCATGCTTACCGCCAAATTCTTTAATTACTTTATTATAATCCACGAATTGAAAATTGTCGAATTTACGCTGCGGCAACCAGTCGTCAAATCTCTGTAACATTGTCCATGGTCCGTCGCCGACCCCGACGACCACAATGCTGAGCGGATGATTTGAGGCTTTTACTATTGCTTCGGCTGTTGGCCCTTCGTCAACAAATTGCCCGTCAGCGATGATAATTAAAATATGAAATTGTTTATTTGTGTCTTCCACAATTTCAATTGCTTTATTAATAATAGGAGCGTAGCTCGTCGGTCCATCTAGTGTTACCCTATTTACAGTCTCCTTATAAAATTTTTGTAGTTCGTCAAAAGATGAACAAGGCACGTGACTCGGATTTAACGAAAAAGTTGATTTATCTTTTGTGAGAAAATCCCCGAAACCATATGCATGAATGCACTGTAATTTTGCCGGTTTTCTGACGGACATGCGTGTGTTGTTTACGTAAGGATCATGTCCGTAAGGAGTCATCAAGGCTAACAAAGTTCGATTCAGAATGCTGATTACATGCTGATAAGGGTTTTGAATATATGACCTGTAATATTAGAGAGATTATTACTAAGTGCAAGATAAATTAAGCACAATTTAGGCCTTATTGTTATCGAAGTACACCAGCGTTTCTCAAACTTTTTTTCTCCTGGACCACATACACTTTTTATCTCTCCGCCTATCCGCCTGTTTGTCGCAAGTTGGGAGCCAAAGTTTAATACCCAGAGTCGCCAAAGTACGACCGAGATCGCCATGACGACCAATTTACAGTTGAAGAAGACAGTATATAATTTTAATAATACATTTAGCAGAACCTAGCAGTTTAGGCCGTTGTGTTGGCATTGGCCATCACAGATCTCATTCTCAGGTACGTACAGGTAAGTAGCATGCCCCATGCAAACTCAACCTGGGTTGTAACAAATTGCATAGGTAATGCCAAACCAGAAAAATTCCTTCTAAACACCAATAGCCCTTTACAAATCGTACAATATCAGTGGTGGCTTGTACAGGGCCTCGGTCAGAGCGAATGGTACAGTTTTTCTTAATAGTCACAGATAAGAATTTTAAATTATTCGATTTTCAAATCTTTCTAAACAAAATTTTGCATAATCAGAAATCGTGTTTCTTCCTTATATTACTTCCTCATATGTCATCTCATAAATAAGGTCATACAAGTAGACATAACCTGTTGAAACCTCCCACGTTATTTGTTATGAAAACAAAAAGAGGAAATGACAGAGACCAAACAGGAATTCTGATGATACTAATATAGTAGGAAGAGCTCGTAGTTTGCTGTTTAACGACCATAAAACAATGATGGAACATTCCTTAATATAGGGTGATTCGAGTAACCGCTGGTCGATTAAAGCTTCCTCTGCAATTTTAAAGTGTATATATAGTAAATACCGTACCCACATCTCAAACAAGACTGACAAAGTGCAGACTAATTTAAAATGGTTTTGATATTTTTCATGGTATCAGAAATTCTACCGTGAAAAACCATCAAAAGTTTGCAAAGTAAAAACCATGAAAAATCACCAAAAAATTTATTCTTAAAATTTAGGTGGTATTGAAATTGTAAGAAAGTATCGGACATAATTAATCATGAATTGATTAAGAATTAACCTTAATAAAAGATTTTGGTTTTGGTCAGACGAAACGTTACAGAAATACATTTGTGTTAGTGTGCAGCAGGACACTTGCTTGAATTGCGTATTTTGGCATTTTTATTCCTGCTACAGCATCCTTGCATTATACGCATACGGATCCCATCAGCGCAAAGGCATTGAAGAAGGATTGGGATTTAGTCTCACGAAACCTCTACTGATAGTTATAAATAATTATTACAGAGTTGTGAAATAAGTTTAATTGGTCAATACAAGTAATTCATTAATTTTCTACGAAAGCACTTTATATCCATTTTATTGGTTTCCAGTTATTAGAGCAATTGATAGGTTGGCTATAGGCTGGCTTTACAATGTTAATGCAAAGAAAGAGGTTTATATTTTCAAGGAAATGTCTATTATTTGAGTAGAAAATTGACCCTAAATCAACGTTTGTCTATAATTTTTTTCAGGGCGATCGATAGGCTGTTGGTTTTACAATGGTAATACAAAGAAAAAAATTTATATTTTCAAAAAATATCTATTATTTGCGTAGAAAAATGACAACAAATCCGCGTTTTTTTTATAATCCTTCTACATTGAATAAGAACTCAAGTCAGTTATAATTTCCTTCTACATTCAATAACTCGTTTGAAACACTATATTAGTATAAGAAAATTTCTGTTGCCTATATTTCCAGCACTTAAATAAATATGTCACTCCAGAGTGAAAGACAGAAATAAAGCACAAACATCATATTCACAACTCCGGAGAATATTGAAATATTTGATGTTTACTATGAAATTTGAAGAGTCCTGCTGCACATTAACACTTCCACAAACAAACAGTTTATAACAAAAACTGTTTGTCTGAGGAAGTTTGATTTTGGTCGGACAAAAATTTTTTTTTTATAGTTGAGGTTTATTGGACCAAAAAATTTTTATGCAACGAAAGCAAAAAGGTTGAGAACCACTGCACTAGGCATTGATGAAGGATTTGGAGTTAGTCCTGCACAACTTCTACTGATAATTTAATATATATATTTTAATTGATTGAACAATATTACCTGGAGCTGACATGGTGAAGGGAATGTCCTTTATTAGTGGATCGTCCTTGCCATTCATTGCTGGCTGTAAAATCTATTCCTAGTATAAGTCGACATTCTTCTAAGCCTGCTTCTTTGATGGCTTGAGTTACATCTTCAAGCGATTTGAATCTGAGAATAAAAATGGTTGAAAAGTCGAGATTCCAATGAGAAATGAAGTCAGCACTAATTTGAAGTCAAATTTCTATATTACTGAAAGTCTTGTTATGCCGATGAGCTGTTTTACGCACACTCCCCATTTTTTATATGTTGAAATGATTTTCCCTGTATTTTTTCATGAAAATTTTTCACACCTTTGTTACAACCTAGGTTGTATGACATGGGATGGAAGGATAATCAAAATTCAAGGAACCAAAGTCTTTTCAGATCAGCACAACACCAATTTAATAATAAGACTGAAAAAGAACTTTTTCAAAGATAAATACCAGAGATCTACAATATCAATTTGATTGCAGAATATGCACTCAAGGCATAATCATTGACTTAATGACTAAGCTAAGATATTACTGGTTACCTTCTGCAGAAGACATAGGACTAAATCATGTTGGTCATCATACATGTCAGGATTATAACCTGTTGTATAAGTATAAGTTAAGTTATAAGTGTATTTTGACTCCATAATCAACATAACAGAAGATAAAATAATTGATAAAAATAAACTGATTACAGAATCAGGAGAATAAACTACCGGTAAACCTTAGGTTATATATAAAACAAATTAATTTTAAATTGAAAGGTGTTGCCAAAAGAAGTGTTCAACCGCTTAAAATGAACTATTACATCACACACATACAAACGCAGAGATGTAATAAAATTAAAAGGAGAGTAATCGTTCTCTATTTCACCACCAGATAGAAGGCTTAATACTTATATTTGAATAAAAATTTGGAAATAACAGCAAACCTGTCTTCGAAGGCACGGAATTGAAATGGTGATGGTTTCTCATGAATCAAGGCGTGTGGATCGTGATAATTATTATTCCAACTTCTAAACAACGATCGAAAAAATCCGCCATTGTTTTGACAATTACACCCGGGAATGGTGCAAGTATTTTCTGCCACTATACTCGAGCTTCGAGATGAATTAGAGTCCTTTTCACTTTGTCGTAAATCTTGGATGTATAGATCATATAAATAGTATCCAACGATTGTAGCTATAATAAATAAGACCACTGACATAACTAACACTAAATTATATACGCTGTATAAGAAATATAAATTGGTCAAACTCAGGCAATGTTCTCAAGCTCTTTCCAGTTCTTTGAAAGTCAGTTGAGTAAATGGAACTAAAACTCAAAAACAGACCAAATTATATCAAAAAACTAGTATTATAACTTAGGATTGATTATTGAACACATGGACAGTATGGACGTCCACATCGATCAAATAAGCAAATAGTTTGAAATTGATTTCATTCAATATTCTAATTCTTTTATTATATTAAATTAAGATGGTTTTGATTGAAAAATTATCATTTTTAGCAATTGAAGTCTTAAAAAAATTCCCATATCAAAATTTGATATTTTCCAAAAATTTGCTATTTCTATAGAATCCTTCAATTAATCATAGTTTTTAAATAATATTTAAATAGATCATTTTTCAGCAAAAATCATTCTATATATTCAATTCTACTATAATATACATAACAAATATGATTTTGCCATAAAAACAACACCTAATTTTATTATTCTGCATTTTACTAAAACACCAAACAAATTTTAAACAAAACTCGAATCGGAAAAGCACCAAAAAAATTCCATAAACTAAAAACGAACTGAAAAATAGGAAATCTTTCCTGTAATTTAACTCTAATATCAATCTCCAACATTATGTGAAAAATCCTGTTTATGAATATATTCAGGAATGTAACTGATACTTTCAGACACACAATCATTAGAGCAGTATATATTGCCAATATCCCCCAATCTATGCACGGACCATCTAAACTCGACTCTAAATTCAGATGATTCAGAAGTTGGGGCATAATTTGGAATTCAAATTGACGAACAGTCCCACAATTCTCACATTTCGGGACCTTTTCAGACAACATTTTGTTTTCGTCAGAACACCATAAAGGTTGGCCGCCTTTATCATATCTCAATATTTGATCCGATGAATTTGATATTGTTTTTCTGAAAACTGCAAATTGATTATCTTCAATACTATAATCTGCAAATTGCTCTAATTCTCTCGGAGAAAAGCTTCGATTTTGAGAAACATTTTCAGATTCGTAATCCTCATTAACACCATTTTCTATAATGTCGTCCAAGTCGTCTAAAATTTCTTCCGCTTCTATTATAATTTCATCTTCAGGGTAGAGAAGTTTTAAAGAACTTTCATTTTCTCCGTCAGAATCACTTCCAGGGTTGCCACATTTCACCTTATGACTTTTCCAGCCTAAAACTTGATGTTCTCGGCTACAATATGCTACAAGTTTGCATTTAGAGCATAATTTATCTCCTTTGTTTCCACAAATATTACATAAATTTTCGTAGCTCATGCAAGACTGGGAAAATGTTCTTGAATCGTAGTCTGGAGGTTCAGAGCTGTAAAACGCATTTTCTTTTTTTAGTTGACACCGGAAAACGCGAAAAGGACCATTTGAGTTTGTGGAATAACAAGAAGGTGTTTTGCAACAGAATAGAAATATAGTTCTATGAAAAGCGTTTCCAGGTTTTCATTTGGAGCATAAATTTGAAGAAGGAATATTGTTGGTTTTCCACAAGATGGGCATTTCAGTTCTTCTGTTGAAGGCAAGTTCTTTGGGTCCAACCAGGCAGGTTTTCCTCCCAGTTTGCTAGGAAAGTAGCATCTTGAAATTAAAAAAAATATTATTAAATAAGTTAATAAACCAATTATTATATAGTTATTCTTGCCAGCTTGTGATATAGCTAGGTTGAGTGATGTAATAGTATGGCGCCGTCACCTCTTACCGTCTTAGAATTCGAAAGCATAAATACATGCGTTGATTTGACCAAAACACGTTTGTGTCCGACACACTATCAACTTTATCGTTGTTTTTTTCAACCCGTGTGACTCACTTTTCTTTCACATGAAATGCCCGAGGTCCCCCACAGCTACTCATCGAGTCTTTTTATTATCATATAAATTTTATTATTTGTGTTAATTTTGGTGAACGAGCACACCCGCGTCATAAACTTTATTCTGTTTTGTCCATTTCATTGTGTGTTGTGTTTTCAGAATGCCGAAATAAATTATATAATTCAATTTAAAAATATACATGAAGTAATTTGAAGCAAAATTCTGATATGCCAGTAGATTATAAATAGATAACCAGAAGTGATATAGGCCAATCTTAATTTTAATACGTCGTACACATAAATATTTATTTAACAATCAAACTATTAAATTTTACATTTCTGCAATTTCCAATTTCGATTAATCTAAAATGTTAAACATAATATTGCAAATTCATGAAATTACAAACCTATGTAGTCTCCAAAGGTCTTCGTGATCGATATTTTTTAGAAATCCAAGTTCAATCCCGGTCGAGGATGAACCCTGACTGCTTTGATCAGATTCCATTGCAACAAAACCCAAACAACATTATCAATGAAGTCGTCGGCGCGGCGGTTACGAATGAATGACTGAAAGTGAATCACCGTGTTTGCTGATGAATCAATTTCGCGGTAATGTAGGTTCGCGCAAACGGACCTTAAAATTTTTTAGAATGTTTTTTACTGTCTGTCATTATATGAGATGACTTTCTAAATGCCATATTGAACCGACGAAAAAGTCGTTTGAATTTTGCTTCATACCCCTACCTCTGGCACCAAATTTAACATATTTATAAACGCATTAAACGGTAACTTTCTTTCATTTTATTTTGGCATATGCGCAGACATATTCTGTTCATTAGAGAGTAAATGCGCAAACTATATATACGTTTAAATGTGGTACATATATTACATATCACATAATATCGTTCGATGTATCTCTAGAGGGAAAATTATGATACCATGGGCCTCACATTTTGCCATCAGAATTTTTTTTTACGATAACCCAATATTAATTAGCTATTTTATTATACCTAATGTAGTCTTAGCGGGTTTACATGTGTGGAATGCCACTTTACGCAAGTGAAGATGAATCTATCACATTTAGGATTGGATTTACATATTTATCCCAGGGGAGAGGAAAGCCGATAAGACGGCTTATCCATATGGCGAACCACGGTCTCTCGTCCGGTTACCATTTCAAGTGGGTATGGGATTAGTTATATTGTTTGCATGGACTTGGTGGTGGAGGAAGCCGTAACCGACCAGCGGTTACGTGAACCACCCAACGACGGCGAGGAGTCCAGCAATCCTCTCGCACATAACCATCCTGCATGGGATTCGAACCTGCGAACACACGCAGAGTAATTAGAGGTGCGGTGGCGAGCGTATTCCTAACGCTTAGCCCGTTGGTAAATTACAGCCTCCTCCGCCAGCAATGCTGTGCATTCTTAACGAAACATACTTGTCAAGTAATATTACAATGGCCAACATGGACAGCCAACCGAACGAGAGACGATGGTTTGCCGCATTATCAAGTAATCTTATCTACTAACTAACCTTTCCATCGGGATAAATACGAAATCATATCATTTATCGTTTGAAACGGAACGAATCCGGGAAATTAGTAAAAACTCAGGAAGTCTGGAGAATTTGCAATCTAACCCGGGAAGTTACGAGATTCGATAGAGGGTTACAAATATCTTTGACTCCGATACTGGGACAGCACCATTTAGCCCTGGAACACGAAATAAAACTTACTTCATGTAGCAAATACGACATGACAGTCCCGATATCTATGATAGTCATTTCAAGTATCAAGGCCCATGCACCTGGAATGAAAATAATTGGCCAACTAATTCCATACCCAACACGGACTGATAACCGGGTGAGAGGCCGTGGTTTGCCATATGATTAAGTCGTCTTAGCATGTTTATCTCCCCCAGGATGAGTATGTAAATCCTATCCTAATCACAAGCAGCAGTATGATGAAGCGATATATTCACAAGCACATTACTGACTGGGCACAAATATCAGAGATGGCGCACAACCTCAACATAGTACGGGTACCAGGTTGTGGTTCAGGTTGTGCGCCATCTTGGTACACATACTTCGGGAGCGCCAAAATATCAGTAAAGACATCTTGTACCTCAAAATTGGGATAAAAAACGAAATAGGGGAAGATATTCAACTCATACCAATAAGACACCAATTGTCGCACAAAAATATATTTGTCTGACAAACAGAAAGGTGTTTTTGCTGATAAAAACTGATAATCAGCGAATTAGCTAGTTTGCATTTCACGATTAATAAAGAAAAGTAAATAATTCCATTATAAGAGTACAGTATAGAAGAAATATTTGTACATTACAATTACAACCCATATATTCCACTCCGTTGTCTGCAATTTGTTATTCCCGAACTATTACCGACATATCACACTTTAGATACAACTGCTAATTCCCTGTTGAATTCGATAATTTCACAGCAAATTTGATTATTTTTGAGCTGCAAAAAAACACCTTTGTCAAATAAGATCAATTTGAATTGTTGTAATCGAATCTTCCGGGTATTCTTAACAATTTTACAAGGTAATATGAGTTATAAAATTTCAAAGCTGAAATATCTGATTAAATTGTATTAAAAGTGTTTCGGCCCACTTCCAAGAAAAGATAAATTTACCATTTTTTCTTTCGAATTACATTTGGCATGAAATTTTATCCTAGTCAATCTAATTTCGTTTCTAATGCAAGAGATTGAAAATAATTTAGATTTTTGGTTTAGTTTTGCTGAAGCAGCACAACCACAAAAACCTTTCAGTCTGGCAAAGAATAATACACCTTAAATGAATTTCTAGGGGTGAAAGGTCAACAGGTATATAAAAAGTTTATTACAGATCAAATATGGCCTCGTAAAATCGACTACTTCTAGAAACTGGACCAAACATGATCATAGATAAACTCTAAAAATCGCCATAAAACACCAAAATCACACTGCTCAAAAATGGTAAAATTAACAGAAGATTTACAGAAATTGAATAAGAATTCATAACCGTAAATTGGACTATTTTTGTAATTCATGAAAACACTTAAATTTCTTAGTAGATTAAACAACATTTTCAACAGCACCATATGAAAAAATAAATCCACATTTTGAAATAAGGTTCTTAAAATAAATATACATTAGGTGAGACTCATAAAAATAGTTTTGTTGTTTCCCCAGCATGCAGTAGCAAAGTGATGGATATACAAAGTCCTTTCACGATTTCAATTTCATTGTGAAGTCAATTCTCAGTATGTCCTATACAGGTTTATTTTATTTTTATCAGTGCTTATTTAGTTTTATTTAGATGGGGCACGAGACTTGATAAATTATAAAAAGGGGGTGCAGAAATAAAAGTTTGAGAACCACTGTCCTAATGAAATGTCTGAAAAATTTCACATGAAATTGACTTAATTCCTAGGACATCCCGAAAGTCGACTGAAATATTTCAAAACAATATCTATGTTTATTAACTTCCTGTACCAGGTCTTGTTCCGAGGAAAAATAGTCAGATAACAATCGACAAATATTAATAGCCGAGCGTTCAAATAGAATCCAGAAATAGTAGTCTTTGAAAACTTTTTTTTCTTAAAACACTAGTAACTTGAACAGTTCCCCAAGCTCTGTTTTGAAAAGTAAAACAGAGAAAACACAAATTGATAAGTAGAAATGGAACCTATTGAAACTGCAATGTTAAAATTTACAGTATAAAAAAATAATTGTCTTATAATCTTAATATAGGAGGCATGCTGGTTTCGAAAAGGTGTGTGCCAGCTAGAACATGGCTCACGTTGTGTCTGATACCCTAAATTACATATGAGTCAAGTATGCCCGCACTTAAAAATAAATCAGTATTAATTTTACATCTAAACACATCTAAAACAAACAAAAAATTATATCGAACTAGACTCTCCTCTATAATCCAAAATTAGGTTAAAAGTTAATAAATCGGTTATAATATTAATAACAAGAATGATAAATTTCATTTGTTTCAGTTTTTATTTTAAAAAAATTATTTTTTTCAGTCTGTTGCAAGTCATTTTTTAACCCATCCTTCTTCGCAATGAATCCCGTAGGATTCCCATAAAACTTTGTCAACGGAATCTAAATCTGATTTAAGTTTTGTACGAAGTTCTTTTAAATCTTTCACAGAGCTTTGTTTGAGCATAGTAGTTTTTTGGGCTCTGTGTAAAAACATACATTTTTGAATATTTTTTGAGTTTTCCCTGTTTTGTACGTCCTCAGCTAGAATTGCGATTTCGTCATTTGCTTTTTGTAACTCATGTTCATAACTTTGAGCGTTTTCCAAATTCTTTTTAGCTGATTCTTGAGCGATCCTTGCTCTTTCGTTCGCCTCTGTCGCTTCTTTTTTCCAAGCGTCACACGCAGTTTTTGCCTGATTCCAGCTTTCTTCCCATTGTTTGCATTTTCTTTGCATTCTATCTAACTCCATGAGAGCGCTGTCATTCCCGGAAACTGATCCTGAAAATCCTTCCTTACTACTAAATCCTGATGAACTAGGGGGACGTCCTATTGATGGGAGAGAACCAGCGTAACTACCTCTTCCACCAACAGCATCGAGACTCCCATAAAATGAGGTCTGATTTGCTCCACTAGGTGGTGATGGAGTGGGTAACGGATTTCGTTGCGACATTCTCATTTCCTGAGGAATATTCACTGGAGCAGACATCGTAAAAAATGACGAATTATCATTTCGTCCGGACCCTATCGGATCGGGCCAAAGTTTACTTGCAGAACTGGGTCCAGATTTATTATCCAATAAATCATGTCCTTCAAAATCATCCAGCGCGTTTCCAATTACGGAATCGACGGTTTCATCAGGAGGATAAAACGGTTTCGCTTCACAATTCAGTAACCTTAATCTATTTAGAGATTTCGGAGACGATTCCGTACTTGACAAACTATTTCGACCAATCAAATGCGAGCTCATGGAACCGCCTCCCCATGAGAAGGGACTACTCGCAAGACCGCCAAGACTTTGAGCTTGAAACTCCCCTCTTCCCGATCCTGGTGCTTTCAAATATCCTTCCCCTTTTCCAAGGCTGCTAGAAAGCCAGTTCGGTTTGGCGATTGGTGAAGGGCATGATGGAAACGTGTTGTTCGAAACAGAATCTAAGGGACTCTGTGGGGATTGAAATAAAGATTGCTGTTGATGACGATCAGGCAATGAAAATGGCGCCGGTATCCCTCCGATTGTGGGGCTATCGCTATTCCAAACATTTTTCGTCGATTCAAAAGACGCAGAAAAACGTAGATCATTCGGAGCTTGAGGCCGCCCAGCTCCTGGTGCATTACTAGGAACAGCTTTTGGCTCTGATGGAGCAATACCCCCATCTTGTGGTCCGGAACTTTGAGGACTTAGGCTGTTGGGAGACAAGACTTGTACTCCTGGTGGCAAATTATTTAAATCCACATCTTCTAAGACTCTTATTTCTGTATGAACGTGGGCAAAAGCACAGAACGGTCCTCGAGGGCAGTAACCATTTTGTAACATATCGTGACACTTCGTACTTTTGTAAATTTCCGGATGGAATTGTTGTTCCGTACGAGTGTGACAGAACTGACAATTATCTCCTTTATCACATGATGATGGATCTTTCCAATCATCTCCTTGCTTCACATTGGGACAAGGACTAGACCTGTGAAGACAATAAGTAAAATATATGAATATATGGATAGGATATTTCATATTCATTCTGGAGAAAAGTACATAATACAGCTTGCTCATATATCTTCCATCTGATCACTAATCTATGTCGAGTTCGAGTATGAGATGAGTTAACAAGTATTTGTTTAGGGTGCATTGACTTGACTGAGGAGGGAGCCGTCATCTATGATAGATGGACCGAATAAAAAATTTCTGTTTCTTCAGAATTCAATTGCTATGTGTGCACAAGTATCCAATAGGTATAAGTATAAGTTTATTTCGATCTCCCCTAAAAAAATACACGAAACAAACAATGAACACACAAAACATAAGAATGAACACACAGAATAATGGGGAAAATCGGGACAACAGGCAAAACCTTTAGTAAGGTTTAAAACACACAGAAATGCATGTGCCTGTTCACCCATTTCACGCACACAAACCTATTACAAAATAAAAACACTCGTCTAACTTATGTAACAAACAAACTGCATGTGCGGTGGATTCCAAACTGTTTAAATCGAACGAACATGATTGGCTTGTGCCTATGTATCGTTTCGAATTTGTTTACATGAGCCCCTTAAAGTGAACAAATAATTTGATTGGCGTAGTCGTAAACAAATGCCAAATAGTGTGTCAGGAGAAAACAGTGTCAGCAAAAGTAAAAAATGAATTATAATGTTTTTATATGGAATTCTTCATCATAAATACATAGATGCAAGTATATAAATTCAAATTCACCTGTATTTATACTTTTTAGGATTTCTTCTTCTATCCTTGGGATTATGAAATTGCGGACAAGCGTAACCTTGTCTACAAAGCCGTGGTGGCCTTCGGCATGGCTCAGTTTTATAATTAGCTAAAACATAATTCCCATCCTGCCATTTCGGATCATCGTTGATAATTTTTTCTGATAGATTACATTGCTCAATAGGTTCCGCTCTCTGGGCAGAGTCGGGTTTTTCCATTTCACGAACATCGTACACTGGAGGCCTTAAATCAGGTGCACCATGTGCGAAAGCACAGTGCGGACCATTTTTAACGCAGTTTCCTCTTGAATCAGTCTCATGTATACATGTTCCAGTTTTATAATATCGTAAATGATATCTTCGTTCCGTGTCTCCAGTGTTTCTGAATGAATAAAAAACAATTTGGATTGAAAATATTCATATGTATGGCACTGACTGCTCCGTATAGGGCTTAGAAAGTTGGGGTCTAGTGAAGTAAACACTGTAAATGCTTGAATAACGCCAAACAAAATTGTGATGTGAAATTTTGACGTATCATTTAAAAAGTCTATAATATATTATGACACAGAAAGATTCTTGAAACACGTGTTTAGTTCAAATCAAACCCGGTCAATTCTCAGACAGACTTTTATTTGGGTTGTATTTTCACATCACGTTTTTGTTTGGTGTTATTTAGGCAGTTACAACATTTATTTCACGAGACCCAGACCTTGAATTTGGACAATTATTAGAATAGGAAAATAATATAACACATTATATCACTTTATTATTTGAGGTCAAAGATGCAGAAAAAAAAGTATTAACAATGCTCAGTTAAAAGTTAGTATTAAAAAGTATATTATTGATACAATTTGATTTAAAATATTTCTTAACCTAATAACGGTAACGGTCAAAGTGAATTAACTACACACATGTATACTACAAATTCAAACAATTTTCAAATTCAATAAAACATAAAAAAAAGTTGTTTCTCAAAAATTTAAAATTATTGCGGTATATCATTATGATATTTTATTCACCAGTTCAAAATTTATATCAAACTTAATAAAATGATAGTCCAGTAATTGAAGCATTGATGGTTAAGAATCTGTGGTTCATTAGGAAGATCCATAACTATAGTAGCTCCGTACATAGCAATGTCTGCTTATTCAATTCTTTGTTCGGATTATAAACGCCATGGGAAAATAATATTATGTTGCATTCATACGTAAGACCTGAACAACAGTTTATATATGGCCAATCCATGCTTTCTGCTTCGATTGAACAAGCATATACAAGCAGCGACTAATTATTAACTGTATCTTTATTGTATTTATGGCACCAACATTCCTGGTTGGTGTGTCTTATGAGTTACTTTGGTTATGTTTATGGGCGTTTACTAATTATACGTTCATACCGAGTTAACAGTAATATCTAATGATATCTTACCTATGCAAGTAATGGCATTCATCTCCATTTGGACAAATCCGGAAGTCTCATCATATTTGCTACAATAAACATCCGAACTGTAATTGAAAGTTCCATCTCGTTTTCTCATTGGACGTCTTCTGCGCTGATTTGCAAAATGCCAATTGAAACACGTAAACGGTCGATGTTGAGTACATTTATGTTGAAGAAACAAAGGACATTGATTGACTCGAAATTCCTTTAGATAAGTATACGTGATATGGCTTTTCAGTTTGTGGCTTGTGCTGTTGACATCTTCGTTAGCTTATCATTGATATTATTTAGAGATAATAACTGATAAAGATTATAATTGAAAAGTATTATGTGGAATTTTATAGTTGATACTTAGAAAAGAAAAAGGTCAAAAAGTGGTCATATTTTTTCTTACTAAAAATAAAAAGCACAAAACATAAAAAATCAGTGTGTATTTTACTGTGTTGTCAGCAAGTATTGAAACCAGCCTAAATATAGTAAATATTTTAATTGCATATGAAATTAGTTCGATTTAATACATCACTGTTGACTGCTTGAATCTTCCATATTGAACTTTTAACTTTAACAGTCAAACTAAAAACAAGATGGAACCAACTTTTGATAAACAGTCAGACAATTGACTAAAAAATCCAATAAAATAACAATTATTCATACCTTTGCATCATCAAAACTCATCTCTAAAAACATACAGTGATCTATCTATCTTTACAATCTCTCTTTCGAATACGACTCAATTCAGAATACAATTTTGCATTCACTACATAAAATTATTACTCAAAATGGATAAAATGCCTTAGCACTTATACTTATCATAATATTCAATATTATCATACTTATATTATTCAAAATGGATAAAATGCCTTGCACAACTTCATCATATGTTCAACCACACACCGCTTCGTGGTTGCATGACCAGATTGGGCACAGAATATACTATGGGCATACCGGTAGTTACCTCATTTCTGAATTTACAGATTTAGTCTACCGAACCAGTTTTGCGTTGCAGGTACCGTACGTTATTAGTATGAGTACAGACTTGACATAAATTTTGATTATTTTATATAAAGTACGGTACGGTACCACTGTCACATCCTGATCGTGTCAATATGATTTTATAAACAACTGGTAGGCTATCCCTAATTAAAAAAATACGTGATATACTGGGTACCGGTACAGCCATAGGCTATGGCTACTCCAGTCTGCCAGTTCACAAACTGCTGAACTGGTAAACAACTTTTCTCAGCGCCTGTGTTGTTCCCTATTTCAGTACTTATTTCGGCAGGTAAATATTACGCCGTTAGTCAAATACGTTGCGAAATTCATCATTTACATTTTGCAAATATTATATAATATACATCTCTCGCCAATCTAACGCAAAGCGCAATTTTTACAAATATTTGGTTATTTTTAGCAAATATTCTCCACTTGAGCAGCCTCTGTGCGTGACGAACGTCACACAAGACGCAGCGCGGCAAATAAACTAAAGTGACATCACGAATGCGTCGCCATCCTCTATTGACTACGTCGTGCGTCAAATTTAGGCACAATAAATAATTTCGCTAGAACTCTCCGTAGCCCAAGCCGAAATTCTCAATTTCTAGGAGTCAGAGTCTGAATTTCATACTTCCAGTGTTGATAAAAAGTCTAAATTATCTGCATAAAACTTAAAAGCACCAAGTCAACGTTTTAATGAATAATAATCTCTTCCCCGGGCCGGGATGAATATGTAAGTTCTATCCTAAAGTTTTTGTTATCATAAATTACCAAAAACTTTGACCCTATTAGACGTTGGGAAGTCTATTGTAAATTTTCCCCGATCCCAACCCTTCTTTTATCATGCATTTTATTAATATTCTTCGTTTTGTTCCTTTCGTCAGGTTACAAAAAGTCATGAAATTTTGGTAGACGTCCAATTCGAATGATAGAATACTCTTCGTCATAATATAATACGCCTATGCATTGCTAGTGTTTTCCATTGCTAATGCTTCGAAACGACATAGAGTTGGCGGAGACAAGATTAGTTTTCCATTGTTAGTCTATAACTGCTCAAATTCAACCGCCCCAGCTTGGTTGGGATTCGTTAAATTTGGCTGGGGACGAGTTTCGATATAAAAGTACAAACATTTTGTAATGCGAGGGAACCTGTTGTCACTGAGATCGATACAAAAGAGAACCTGTTCTTGAACCCGGAATCCCACCGCTGCAAGTGTATACAAATATTTCATCATTGCCATTGCACGATATTTATTCAACCAGAAAACTAGCAAACAGAACTGAATGTGAAATTAAATCATGGAACTTTGATACTGATTTAACCATAGCTGCATTTGTGGGATAGGGACTAAGGGACTTGCCCATAATTCATAAAAGTAAAACTTCATAATACTAGATTTAACATATGGCAAACCTTGTTTTTTTGTGTGAAAGTTGTCCAGTCAATTACATTATTTCTGATAACAATGTAAAGGATGTCAGTATTGCGTCGCAAAGGCATTGAATTTCTTCATCTCTTTATTAGATGGCTACATGATAAATCATCGATATATGTGGCACTTTTGTTAGTGTAATTTTAGATACAACAAACTACCTCTAATGTAATATTATATGTATTATGTATAGACTTGAAATGTTGATGGCTTCATACCATATAAGATAGCAATTCCACGATTAGGGGTAATAGAAATAAATGATCACTTGAGAAAAACATGGGGGTTCGGAAACGACAATTCCAATGAATCAAAATTTGAAGTTTTCCTGGGGATACAAAACATACGAAATCACATCATGAAATAAAAAAGGCTCAGTATCAAACATTTTAAATGATTTTCAACATTACTTAATCATCAACCTAATCAACACAATTTACATAAGAATTATCCCCAAATAACTCTCTTTCTCCATTTCATGCGCCTCACACAGAGTGCAATTAGTTGTGTAGGTTATATCATAACTCTGACATTATCTGGTGACTATAATATCAATTTTTTCATAATTTTACAGAGGAAAAGACATAATATGTTGGAATATATTGTATAATGTATGAAAAAAAAACAGACAAATTTGTATAGCCATAGAAGGAATTGAGAGAAAAAAAATTGAAAGCAGAAAGAAAAATACCCAGTATTCACCTAAAATTTGAAAAATCTTTCACTTGAATTTTTACTAACTTTTGTCGTTATTTTCATCACACTGCTTTTAATTAATTTGACATTAATTTTTGAAAACAAATTTAACTTTGGGATTTATATCTCTCGGACTTGGCGTTAAATAATAGCAGCATTTATGATATTCACATAAATTCAGAACTATTACTATGGTGCATACTGTATTATTACACAATGCAATGGCTATAGGAAAAAATAAGTAGCATAGATACATTGAAATGCCTGAAATCAAGAAAAAAAATATCAACTTGAATAGTAAATCAGGAGTTGATTTGAACAATTTTTGAACTGCATCATGACATCATAATTTTTTTTCATTGTCCCCATTCCATTTCGCAATAGCTTGGAAAGATCGGCTCTGCAGGGATTCCTCGACTGAAAATAAATGAGAATGTTTACAATTATCAGGCTGAAAACACGAACGTTCCCCAAACTCGTAACAGAACTAACATAAGGAAAATAGGAATAAAATTATGGCCTAACCCTAACCTGGTACACACACTACGGAAGTACCAGCCGTTTTGTACGAGGCGTTTATATATTTTCACTCCGAACAAGGCTCCGAATGAGCAGTTACTAATGTGTAATATTATAATTTAAAAAATGGAATCTATCGGTTCGACATAACTAGTTAGCTAATTACATCCAATGTGATACTGAGTGTTTGTACCACATCTCAGTGAATTTTTATACCGTTTTGCTAGAGTGATAGGCCTTGTAAATATCACTTTAACACAATTCCTTAATTTCTTAATAGAACACATTTTTCGACATATAAAGTATAGAATTTTATTTAAATTTTGGAGGTTGTTCTCATAAGCTAAACTAGAACTCCTTTGGGGCCTTTTCCAGTCATCCCCCCCCCCCCCCCCCTTAACATAGTGAATGATGAATGCATTGATGAAGGTGAATGGGCCCCCTAAACAAAATACTTTTATCAGTGTATATGTACTTGTGTTATCTTTGGGGCCTTTTCCAGTCATCCCCCCCTACTAAATGGTGAATGCATTGATGAAGGTGAATGGGTCCCATAAACAAAATACTTGTATTAGTGTATTTGTACTTGTATTATAAGTATGAGTGTATTCATTCACATATTAGTGGGAGGGGGAAAGAGGGGTCCCATCTTTGAATATTTTGAATGGGCTAATGTGATACTGTACTGTGCCGCCCATTTTTCATGATGCAAATTTATCACATTTTTCCTACCTGACCATTCTGCATCTGTGTTGATGAAGTCTAGGACTAGCTTCTGCCGAATTGTTGACAGTCTGAGCACTCCACAGTCTCTCAGCTACTGCGCTTGCACGAGGCCTGTTTGAGGAATATTTATTGTGAGTAACAACATGTCAGTGTCAAATAATATACTTGTGAAAGAAATCAAATTTTACTTCCATATTTTTGAAAGAATTTTCTTAAAGCAAAGTCACACACTAACTCAGAAGTGACTAGAAATACAATTGCATTCGCCCAAATCAAGGGGGCGGAGTCCGGGAGTAAAAAACAGATACTGGGTCCTGATATTTTAGAATGTCGGCTCTCGATGTCCCTAATAATCTCAAACTCCGACACCCGATTAAAAAATAATGAAAAATGGGTTTTTATTTTAAAATCAAAAATTGAAACAATACCATAGTCTTGGAGTAAGGTTTGTAGCGTCGACATACTCTCCCCACAAGCAAGCTTCCCCACCGATCAACAATTTCTTCTGTGCGGCAGTTCCTAGAGATGGCAAATTTTAATGGGAATGAGAAAGGGCTTTGTGCATAAATGGGTCATGTCTAAATTAAGGCCTTATGTTTTAATTGTTCAAAATTATTATGTTTATAATATTGAAAATAAATAACTGTATAACAGATGTCCCCAAAACACAGATCAACAAAAACTATTTAATAAAATTAAAATTTTTGTAAGGAAATTGCACATAAAAACTAGTCCTAAGGAAGTAAATTTATTTACTTTTATTGTCCATAAATTATATCTATTTTCAAATTGTTTGGTGTATTTGTAGATATGACACACTAAGTGAGCAAAACCGAATCCTTCAGTAATCAAATGAATATACAATAACAAAGATTACTAAGCCATAATAATTTGCAACCATGCATAATAATAATAAAAATCATGCAAAAAATTAAAAAAGCAATCAAGATTAGTGAATAGCAGAGAAATTAGCCGAAATCAAACCAAATTCTTTCGTGCAAAAAAGTAGTAACGTAGTGAAAAGTGCCATTTGAGGATAGTTAGTTTTATTATTGCAATGAATTCATCTCTGGATACTATTAACGATCATTGTTGATGCAACCTAGAGTCATTCAAATGGAAAGAATATGACTCGCAAATAAATAATCGGGAATAAAACCTTAGAATTGCCTATTTGAATATACCACCAGGGTTAAACTTGGATTTTCCCTCAATTTTATATTATGCTTTCATGCAATGACCGCTCTCTATTGCCACCCACCTACCATTAAAATTAGTGGGTTCGTATCCGTAATAATTTTTCCAATCTTGTCCGTAAGATATATAATCAAGATACCACGGAGCAGATATAATCGTTCGAAAACCTTTCTTTGTTACGTTTCCTACTTCTTCCTCTAAATTTTTACCATTGATCCAAACTTCTACAACAGTATCATTTTCAACCTTAAGTATAAGATCGGCATAGAATAGGAATTTTAAACGTTTATTTTGGAGAGATGTGAGCTGATAAGACCATACTTTTATTCAGTTACTAGTGTATGTTGAATATAGGAATAGATAACAAATTTATTGCTTTTGATTAATCACTCCTTGCTCTATCCTATCGCCGCGTAGTTCGAGAATTGTTTCTCAAACGGCCGGCTCGCAAAAACTGTACATTTTCGTTCATTGTATATAACATACTCACTTTTTGATATTACACAACTTACATACTCTTTGATTTCACACAAAATCAATTTTTTTCTCTATTACCGAAGCAACTGTCTGGACAAAGTTATTCTAGTACTGTCTTCTAATTCAAGATTAGAATTTATTGTGTTTCGTGCAATTGAAGGTCAGCTACTTCATCGAAACCATGAGCATTAGACTCAACTCTGTTTTGTTCATACTTTGTTATAAAATTTTAAGATTTTATAAGAACATTTAAAAATATTTCCTAAATTTTATGTTTCTTGTATGTTCTAAACTAAAAACTATAAGCAAGCAACGGCTTAAATGATAAAACAATGGATATAAGTAAAAAGTTAGATTTTTTTTAGTTAGTATTAAATCTCTATTTATAGAACTAACCACGCCTCAAACAAGAAGTTTTTGATTTATGACATTGTTCCAATATTATTAGCGCAAATGAAAAATCTCGCTATAAACTACTTAAAATGCTACGCTTTGCTAAATCAATCAAAAAAATTTCTAATCAGCTACAACATGCAGTGAACAACTACATTATGTTAGTGAGAACAAACACAAGCACGAAAATAAAAAAACGCAAATCTACTAACGATGAGCAAGCATTTTTTGGCTCACCGTTAAAAGTAAGAGGTTCGTAATTGTAATAGCGAATCCAGTCTTGGCCGACAGAAATATAATCAAGGTACCAGGGAGCGGATATTATCGCTCGAAGACCTTTCTTAGTAACATTCGCTACTTCCTGCTCCAAATTTTTGTTGTTTATCCAGACTTGAACCACTGTGTCACCCTGGACCTGAGCATAAAGGGGTCAAAGTTGAACTGCTCGATCAGTGGAATAAGAATGGGAAATACTTGATTAAAATTTTTTTTTGAGAATATCAAAGGTACATAGTCCATTCGAACAACATCCGTAACTCTTTAGCACGGGGTTAAACTAGATTAGTAACACCAGGTTAACAAATTAAACCCATTTACACTTTAGGGCAGAAACTCAAAAACCACCCTACTATGTGCAGCTGTCCTGTCGCACATAATAAATTGGCACAGGAATCGAACCTATGGGTAATCAGAGATGCGATGACACAATGTGCAACCAGTCAAATTTGAAAAAATGTTTAGTAGTCGTATGGATGGTGAAAATATAAATGACCCAATCCTGCATTCCTAGACAGAAATCATTAAGTTTTAAATAAGGGAAAAAATAAGAGAATAAAATGGGAAGAGTTTTAAAGTGTGTATCTCATGAGTAGAATTCTAGTTATACAACAACATCGCTACACATCAGAAATCTGAAAAACTTCAACAGAATATACAAACAATGAAAAGCTCTTTATTCCTCACGACGTACTCAACTCCACATAAAGCCTCACCGCAACTGACAGATCAACTCATAATGAAACTACGTTTGTATGTAATTTGTATATTTTATTTATCTCAGGGAGAGAAAAACCCACAAGATGGATTGTTTCGATGGTGAACCGCGGCCCTGCTGTTCTCTCATCAAGTGAAGGGATTGCTGTACAATTATTGTTCCAGTCAGATGAACAGTAGAGGAAGTCGTAAACAACCAGTACCAAAAAGTCCTAAAACTGATGGTTGCTAGGATATGATTCGCAAATCAGAATGCTACATAACATAGAATGAAATTAGATTTTACAATTGTGAACACTGGATTATTTCTTGTGGTATTTAATTTCACAAAAATAGTAATCATAAATCATAATTAATGGGTACTCCCGTAGTATGTGTACCAGGTTAGGGTTAGGGCATAATTTTATTCAGATTTTTCTTATTTTAGTTTTTTTTAGGGGATCGGGGACAGTCTGTGTTAGCCAAGTGAATATACCCCATAGGTTTCAGTCCCTTTACACAGCTTGATGTAAAATAGTCAAACAAAATTAGTTACCTCCATATTGGTACACATACTTCTAATTAATTAATATTTTTGAATTGTTTTTTTGAAAATCAGTATTCACCATTGAAATTAACTGGTTCATAGACGTAAAATTTTTGCCAGTCTTCGCCATAAGCTATTTTATTAAGATACCAAGGTGAAGACAGAATTGCTTTCAAACCAAGAGCAGTTACTTTAGCAAGATCTGCTTGCTCTCCACCTTTCCAAACTTCAACAACAGTGTTATTTTGCACCTAAGCAAATGAGGTAATTTACAAATTTTAATGGTTTTGGACTTAGAATATGATTAACATATTTATCCCGGAAGTGCTGATAAGCCGATGAGATGGCCTAATCATATGGAAAACCACGGCCTCTCGCATGTAACTAACCCCTGCATGATATTTGAACCTGCGAACCCACCCGGGGTGGAAAGCGTATTCTTAACCCTTGGCATGATGCACCACATCGGCGAGCAGAAAGAATATTATATATAGGCAGAGAATTGCCTTTTTTCTGTATGCTTATCTGATAACCAAATGGCATCTCCATACGCATTTTGAAAAGTCTATAACGCTTTATAACGCTAACGCTTCTTTAAAACGTGGCAATTGTCACAAGTAGGGTTGTGGAACAGCGGTCGTTTCTCAATTCCAAAAGAATTGTACCGTAAAAGGTGCCAAGAAAAAGGCTCAGGAACGGTAGACAGACATTCCTGATAACTCAACACTGGTATGTCGCTTTTGTCCCACAGCTATAGGACAAAACACAGAGAAAATATTGACATGGCTTCAAAATATTGAACCATATTTATATTCCTGCCTCAAAAATTGTGGACTGTTCATATTTCGTTAACAAATAAATCTTAAACTAATATGTCAATCACTTTTTAGGAATAACCTGATCTTGTTTTTACTAAAGTTAAGCTTTTATTCTGTTATACTTCACTTAACCATTCTTGAAAAAAGCACACCAGTTGGATGATTAGGACATACGACAAAGCATGGTATCATGTCTATTTTAGAAATTAGGAATTTGTTTTATTTTTGTAATTTTTGGCAGAGAATTAATTAACACCAAATTAGGAATTGTTCAAAATAAATTTTGAATTTAAAACTCAAGATTGGGAACAATGCATTCATTTGTGTAGTTTTTTAATCCATTGCACAATGAGACGCATTCTAATGGCAAATCAAAAATTTTAGAAAATTGCAACAATTATCATCATCAAAATTTAATTTCAAAGCTTCAGCGTTTACCATTAAAATTTTCTGGGTCGTATACATAGTACTTTATCCAGTCTTGACCGTATGAAATATCATCGAGGTACCATGGCGAGGATAAAATTGCCTTCAAGCCAAGTCCAGTTACGTTAGTTAATTCAGCCTGTTGTCCACCTTTCCAAACTTCTATGATTGTATCGTTTTGGACCTACGTGGTTGAATAAGATTTGGAATGCGACAGGTTTTTTATACAGATGCTTATTTGCATATTTTGCTCTGAACAAGGCTAATGTGGGTACCACAATGAATGCAAATGACGGTAGAAATTTGAGCAGCTCCCTACATTGGCAATTGCTAAACTAATATGTTTAAAGATTACATTTTAGTAGTATCAAAATCTAACAAGAAAATGGATTCTACCGGTTTGGTCTGGTTAAAACTGGATTTTACTGATTTGGTACGGTTGAAACTGGATTTGACCGGTTTGGTACAGTATAATTTAATTCTCCATTTTGAACTTTTTAGAGACCATTTTGTTTGTAAAATATTGTTTTAACAAAGAAACACCTTGATGCAGTCCCGAAACCCCTAAAATTGATTTCAAATTTTCTGAAAAACTATTGGGGTATATAGCAAAATGTTGTTTGTTATATGACACCGAAAAGAGTGAAAGAAGTTTAAAACAATGAGTTTGGGAAAAATACAAATGGAAGCAGAGATGTGTTATGAACCAGTTTAACTCAAATATGTGTGACACCATGGTGCAGGAGGAAGCCTATTTCAAGGTGCTTGGGCGATGATCGCCAAAATTATAGCGATGCTTGTTTGATAATTCACTGACAACGCAACAAGTGATAATAACAGTAGTTCTGAAACTACATTTTCCAAGCTCTCAATTATATATTAAAAGTATCTAGTATACATTCTTTACCCCCACTCCTCTACTTGAGAAAACTGTAATTTATCAGTTTAGTCCGGTTAATACTGGATTTAAGATGTTTAGTCCAGTTAAATTCACCGGTTTGGTCCGGTGTAAAGTGGATTTCACCTGTTTGGTCAGTTTAAAACTGGATTTTAACGGTTTAGTAGTTAGGGATCTAGTTAAATCAGTTAGCCAGTTCACCAATGCAAATATCACCCATACACCTTGAAATAAGTGTTCCCTTTTTTTCAAATTTTCTAACCAGTGTAATTAGTTGGTTCAACTTTGTAAAAACTTTTCCAATCCGGCCCAAGATTGATTCGATTCAAATACCAGGTTGATGTTAAAATAGCTCGATAACCCAATGATGTTACGTTCGCTAGTGTTTGGCGCCATTTTCGCTTCCAAACCTCAACTACTGTTGAAGGATCAACCTAATATTCCATATCGAAAGAAATGAGTGTTCACTTTTTGTAGATGAATCAACCCAGCTTTTCATATTGAAAAAAATGAGTGTTCACTTTTGGGTGAAATAACTGACCTATACTGCAAAACAATGCCAATCTAGTTTGTTCACTCTTCTGCTAACTAATATTTTTACCGTCTACTTAGAGGCGCACTGACAGAGTAGCATAACAATATCAAACTTAGTTTACAGCATGTTTAGTGCGCCATGAGGGGGGGGGGGGGGGGGAGGGGTGTAGACAATTTTTTGAAAATATTGAAAATATTTGTCAGATATGATCTTGCCTTATTTTGGATAATAACACCACTGGTTTAGAGTGTAGGTGTCAATTATCGGAAGAAATAACTTATTTTGATTGATTTCATCTGATTCCTGCCTTCGAGAGCTTTCTAGGTAACACAGAACATAAAGCTAACCAAAATTTTTCTAACAGAAGCTCAATACAAAGAAACATAAATAAAGGATACGGATTTAAGGATAGGATTTATCCTGGGGTAGAGGAAAGACGGTTTAATCATATGGCGAACCACTGGCTCTCGTCCGGTTACCAATCTATGTCAGATACGGAATAGTTAGCCAGTTACCGGTATTTGTTTTTGAAAACATGACCTTGATAAATTTGAGAAACATTTTTACTGTCGTCCTATTACAACATATTCTGCTCTGGTTACTGTATATACTGTCATTGAAAGAATTCTTTTAACAAAACAATATATTACAAACCTTGACCCCATTGTCTATAACCTCTTGCCATACAGTGTAGCTGGAACCAATCTCCTCACAAATGTTGATGACCTAAAAAATCAAAGTTAATGGATAGTAAGGAACAGGACGTCCGAGAGTTTTATTGTCTATTTTATTATATTTTTCAGTGAAGCGGAAAGTCGTTAAGAAGGTTCAATTATGAGGGAGACCATGGTCTCTTGTCTGGTTACCGGTTATAAATGGGAATGAGTAATCAGTTCCCAAAACGCATGGAAATGAATTATGGAGGAAGCTTTAACTGAGCAATGGTAATGTGAACCAGGAAGCTTTAACTGAGCAGTGGTAATGTGAACCAGGAAGCTTTAACTGAGCAATGGTAATGTGAACCAAGAAGCTTTAACTGAGCAATGGTAATGTGAACCAGGAAGCTTTAACTGAGCAGTGGTAATGTGAACCAGGAAGCTTTAACTGAGCAATGGTAATGTGAACCAGGAAGCTTTAACTGAGCAATGGTAATGTGAACCAGGAAGCTTTAACTTAGCAATGGTAATGTGAACCAGGAAGCTTTAACTGAGCAATGGTAATGTGAACCAGGAAGCTTTAACTGAGCAATGGTAATGTGAACCAGGAAGCCTTAACTGAGCAGTGGTAATGTGAACCAGGAAGCTTTAACTGAGCAATGGTAATATGAACCAGGAAGCTTTAACTGAGCAATGGTAATGTGAACCAGGAAGCTTTAACTGAGCAATGGTAATGTGAACCAGGAAGCTTTAACTGAGCAGTGGTAATGTGAACCAGGAAGCTTTAACTGAGCAGTGGTAATGTGAACCAAAATATTGCTACCCTATATATCGTAATATCATATCTTCTTGATGTAAATTAATTTAAATAGTCAGCAGTTTGTGAATAAACTGAAATCATAAATATCTAGGGAAACACGCACCAGTATTTCTCTATCTATACTATTTTGAACTTTTTTAAAACTGAAATAATTTTAAATTTCATTGGAGGTGAAATTTTTGAACATTCCTTAACCATGAATGCAAAAGTGATTTTTTTCTAAATCAGAAATACTATTTTTCCAAAAATTGGCCTTGACAGCCGATTAAGTATAAACTTAAAATGGTAACCATTAAAAATTAGATATTCCTACCTTCTGAATATAGTATTGCTCCAGTTGATTGTAAGTTGTAATATTCTTCTGTTTCATCCAAGCAGTGATATCTGGGTTGGATTTCCTGTTGAAACATTGAAACGTTATTCCTAGATTTATCAGTTAATTTCACAATAGAATAAAGACTAATATATTCTGTGATCTCCAAAAAAAACACACAAAAAATTTTGATAAAAAAAACGGACAAATATAGATGGCAAACCATGTACTCTTGTCAGGTCCAGTCCATGCCAGGTATGGGAATAGTTAACCAGTTACTTGTTTCCGATGATACATGGACCTAATGTTGGAGGAAGAGGCAACTGACCATCAGTTATGTGAACCACCCCACAACGATAAAAGAGTCCAGCAATCGAAAAGTGTATTCACATAACCGATGGTCAGTTACGGCTCCCTCCACCATCAAGTCCATGCTTTCAAAAACAAATAACTGGCTCACTAATCCAATATCCGACATGGCTTGGTAACCGGACGAGAGTCCCTGGTTCCACATATTAGCTTTCCTTTCCATCAGGATAAATATGTAAATCTTAGAAAAATTATCCCACGTAAGATTCGAATCTGTGATGTGATGGCGCGCTCCTAACGCTTAAGCCTTCATTCTCTGGCAATATTTTAACCAAAAAATTTTGGGTCAAAAAAAATAAGTCTTACCAGCAGTTAAAACTGACTTCATCTCCCCCGAGATGAATGTAATGGTCAGGGAATACGGACGATACTTCAGTGAAAAGTTCTTTGATAAAATCATAATTTGCATCTATTATAGGATTGATAGGTCCGTATGTTCCATCAGGTTTGCCATCTGAATATGAATTTGTATTAGTTAGAGAATATGTCACGCTTGAATGGGTAAAATTGGGGTACTCCCGTAGTGTGTGTACCAGCTTAGGGTTAGGGCATAAGTTTATTCCGATTTTCTTTATTTTAGTTCGTGAACTGTCTGTCTTAGCAAAGTGAATATACTCCCTGCCCATAGGTTTCAGTCCCTTTACACATTTTGATGTAAAGTAGGCGAACAAAATTAGTTACCCATCCATGCTTCTGAAGCGCCAAAATTGGTGCTGACTTAATCATTATTTCTATTCATCTAACTAAGGTGAGATGATTATTTTAAAAAATAATACAACCAAACTAAAGTCAACTTACTTGAGTAACATGGGGTCAAAAGTTCGGGTTGCCCTGGACCCCAGGATAAACTATGACCAGGGGTATCGAACTCTGGAACGACTCGAATTCCGCGTAGTCTCGCATATTCAATGACGTCTTGTACATCAGATGGCGTGTAGATGTGAGTATTACTACCCGGATTATAGGAGCCCTAAATCAGATAAAAATGCAAATAATTGGTGAAAAAAACAAAAACAAAAAAAACAGTTGTAAATAGTCACAAGAAATATAAAAGCGCATGCTATGATACGCAGTGTATTTTCGGCGCTCCAGAAGTGTGTGTACCAACATGGAGGTAACTAATTGTGTTCGCCTACCTAACATGAAGTTATATAAAGGGACTGAAACCTATTGGCAGGGGGTATATTCACTTTGCTAACACAGACAGTTCCCAAACTCATAATAGAACTAAAATTAAGAAAAACGGACTAAAATTATGGCCATAACATGGTACACACACTATGGGAGTACCGTATTTTCACTATTCAGCATTATATTATAATGAGTTACCTACATGTTACAAACATTATTCATGCAGCCATCTAGGGTGGTAAATTAAACATAATAGTGTAGCAATTGCAAGAGTCGGTAATAATATGCATGCAAGCCTCGAAGCAAAAAACACAAAAATTGAAAAAAACTTCAACTATTTTATATTTTCAGGAAAAACAAAAGATAAATGAACATAAATCCATGCAAAATTTTGACAAATTTACAAAAAAAAAGTGTAAAAAAATGAAAATTGGGCTCCACCGAAACAACGCAAAGTTGAAAATAATTTAATTTGTTTGTTTTTCAGAAAAAAACAGAAAATAAATAAACATAAATACATGCAAAATTTTGAGAAATTTACAAAAAAAAAATTGAATAAAACGAAAAAAGTGCTCCACCGTAACAACACCGAAATATACCTTATTACTTAATTCTGGGAACCTGACGCTATAATACGGGAATGATTGCCAATCGACAATATGCCAATGAAAAGTGTTGAACTTGTTGTATGCCATTGCTTCCTAGAAGACAGAAAATACAAAGATAATGGAAATACCTTTCTGCTAAGATCCGGAAATTTTGCACTGAAATACGGAAAAGACTGGGAATCTACTATGTGCCAATGGAATGTGTTAAATTTGTTGAACGCCATTGCTTCCTGTGGTAAAATAAAATTGTTAGGAATTGTAGGAAAGAAATATTTTATGATCAGCATTCAGAGAATTCATTCAAATCCTTAAAAAATTGAAGTAAAATAAAACTGACTAGATATTTAACTATGTTTATATATCTATGGTGTAATCCCTGTTAAATTCAAGAATTTCCAGCCTTTTCATCACAATATATCTTTTATTATTGGACACGTTTAGTGGCCATAACGATCGTTTCAAAATTTTGTTGTTATTGTTATTGTTATTTGTCTCCGTCTCCATTTTTAAAAAATCGTTTTTCTCTCCGAATACTGGACCAATTGCTTCGATATTTTCAGTGGTTAAAGATAAAATTTTTCTCCAGAAGGCTATTACTTTTTTTTTTCGCTATGACGTCATCAAAATCATTGCCACTGGGTGGCGCTACGTGTCCATATATTTGAGCATAGCTCTCTTGTTCTTATATAGAATCTCGTCAGAAACAGAGTCTTGAGTTGTGCATGCTTTCATTACTGAAATCATTTCAAACCCTTCTTCTTCAAAGCCGTTACTCAAAATTTTGAAATCTCGAAATTTTTAAAATTTAATTTTTGGATAAAAATTTCTGATAGAAACTCAAGTATCAAGTTGACAAAATATTTGCAGTAGGCAAAAAGAATCGCTTTTGAAATGTCTTAAGTTTACTGGAGTCCAGAAGCCTAGTTGAGAGATAAAATGTCAAAATTTTTTTAATAATGGATACCAGATTCAATTTCAGTGTTTCAATATCAACAAAATGTCTTGATGTGTCCAGTAATATTCCGCGATAGTTGAATCGAGGGTAGTCAACAATTGCAGTCTGGTTTGCAATCACCTGAAAACAAAAATATATTTGTCATTATTATAGTAATGAACACTAAAGAATCACTATGTAAAGTTATTACATTGAGTGCGAAAGCCTTATGAGGGAGGAAGGCCAATAATAATATACCTATATGATATATTTAATAGCAAAATGACCTTTATGTAACAGCGAAAGGTGTAAACGAGCACAGTATAATTCCAAGTTCTAAATTGAAGTTAAAAAAATTTCAAAGCTGCATGATAAAAAGTAAACAAAGCAATGCACATGTATACAGCAAATCAATTGCTATAAAAACCGCCCTAGCATGGATCAGAGCTGAACAAACACAGAACAAAAGCAAAAATATATATATGCTATATACAGGGTGCTCATAGAATCCTGTTACATTTAACTTCTTTATCTTAACTAGGTTTGGCTTAGTATATCATAGGGCGCTCCAGAAGTATGTGTACCAATATGGAGGAAACTTAATTTTTTCACCTACTTTACATCAAGTTGTGTAAAGGAGGGAAATGATATTCACTTGGCTAACACAAACAGTATCCGAATTCGTAAAAAAACTGAAAAAAGAAAATCGTAATAAAATTCTGGCCTAACCCTAACCTGGTACACACACTACGGGAGTACCTATTATAGTAATGTAAATATTTGGATCCCATGACATAGCTCTAAAATAATGCATTCAATCATATGACTCATATCAAAAACTTTTGTAGGATTTCATGCAATTTATCTATGGCCATAGAGAGAAAGAATCCTCTGGGTTTAAACTATCATAGGACCATAGTTGAGGATACTTGAATGTCTGCAATCATTGCAATTCAAATGGCCTTGATGAGTTGGCAATTCTACCTGCGGTACCAGCTCTGTGGTTGAATTTTTTATGTTTATTTGTTTTAAATAGTGATAAAGCTGACTCTGGTTAAAATGTTACTTATTAGAGTAAATGTGGAATTATTATTATTATAAATTTTGAATTATTTAAAATCATGTTTCTAAAAAGTTGGATATACAATAAATACTGTTTCGAACTGAACATCGTTTTATTCTGGCAAGCCACATAAATACAATGAATTAGATTTCGAAACTTTATATTATAAATAGGAGTGATGTTTTAAAAAATTGTATTATTTTTAATAATACTGTTTTATTCCAAAATAAGGACCTTTCTTCATTTATGTTTAGTACATGAGCACAGAATATGTAGAAAATTTATTCAACAATAGAACAACACTTAAGCCATGTTTAGGAACAACAACGGAGGTAACTGATTTTGTTCGCTTACTTTACGTCAAGTTGTGTGAAGGGACTGAAGCCTATTGACTGGCCGGCCGACAGGGGTGTATATTCACTTGGCTAACACAGACAGTCCCCGAACTCGTAATAGAACTAAAATGAGGGGAAATGGAATGAGATTGTGGCCTAACCCTAACCTGGTACACATAAGATGGCCGTACATAGCTTTTTTACTCCGAACAAGGCCCTGTAGAAGCAGGATGTTATCGATATGTAAAGAGCGACCTACCCAATTTATAACATCCTAAAGGAGGTTGTGGGCATGGAATTTAAATCAGAGACTTGTAATCTGCATGTCTAATGCTTTAACCCTGACATGGGAAACCTACGGCCTGCGGGCCAAATTGGGCCTATTGAATAATTCAATTTGGCCCGTCTGATGCTGCCACAACCAAACTAAACTCAAATTTTGATGTTTCAGCTAAAAAATAGCTCAAGGAATTTGTTGAGATTGTGATTAAATTTAGTTTGACTAGAGGCAAATTGTTTTCCACTTTTGCTTTTGTAACACTGTAAATATTGTTCATGAAATGTAAATTTTTACGTCAAACTTACATGGCCCGCCAGCCTAAATGGGCAAAATTTTCGGCCCTTGGCCCAAAAACCTCGACCCCCCCTGCTTTAACCATTTGGCTCTTGCCCCACCAGTTATTATTTCAGATGCTTGAATTGAAAATATAGTCGCAAAATAGTGAAAAATACCGTTCACCCACAGTGGTCACAACAAAGCAAATAATTATTATATCCCACTTCCTGTTTCCTGGTTCATGAAAGTCAAGCACTGATGACTGAGAAGATATATTAATGTTCTGAGGCTAATATTTAATTCTGATATTCTAATAAAAATATGGTTTCTTATAGATTTTAGCCTTAAACTATGAAATCATACTCAAAACAATTTGGTAGCAATAGTTTTTTAAAATTCATTTTATATCCAATAATTGAGACTTACCATTCCTGTCGAGTCTTTGTATAGAAGTTGAGAAAATGTTTCCAATCCTTAAATGAAATTTAAAAATAAATGATTAATATTCATGGTTGGAATGAGTGACAAACTATAGTGTTTACGTTGTTTGAACTTAACTATAATTGGCATTGAAAGTAAAATATTAATCCCCTTGCTGATCATTTCAACCGATGGGCAACAAACCATAAAAGTTTTAGGCAGAATAAAAAAAGATTTCAGCTCTTTCTTCAACTATATCAGAATTACAGTTTGATAAACATTGACAGTTCGGTGCTCCCGAAGTATGCGAACCAAGATGGCGGACATCGGAACGTAACATGGGTAACAGGTTAGGGATAGGTGATAATTTTTTTCCAATTTTCCTATTTTAGTCCTCTTATCAGTTCGAAGACTAGTCAAGAGCCTCCCGTAGTATTTATACCTAAAATTATGGCCTAACCCTAACCTAGTACACATATTACATTCCGATGTCCGCCATCTTGGTTCGCATACTTCGGGAGCCCCGACAGTTCAATTCCGCAATACTCACCATCTCACTCAGGGAACAACAGATTTGTTATTAGTTAGTTATAACTGTTATAACTAAAAAGATTCCAGTACAGAATACAGTATCTCATTGATATCCATGACTAATTGTCTAGAGCAGGTTATTGATCTTATGACATGCGTTATTCGCTTCGCACAAGCTAGCCGTTAGGGCATCGTAACGTCATAGGCATAGATAATAAATTGGATTTAGGTATAGGCTTCACAACACAAAGGGATTTGAATTACTGGCACGTACCAGATTAAACTAAATTAAAAACTCGTTTCGTGGGCTGCACATCATACAAAATAGGCACTTCATTGTGGGCTAAACATTTTTTCCTATAGGCGGCCGCATTTAGCCCGCGAGCCACTAGGCTTGCACGTAATTTACAGATTTACGGAATTACGGAATTATTTCGAGTTACGGAAGGGAAGTTACGAATTACGTAAAGTCGTAATTATTGTAAAAGAAGTTAGAGCTTCGGTATTTGCAGCCGTTTTTCTCACTTTTCTCTCTCTTGCCAATACGTCACCGTGATAATTAATATCGCGCTTATCAAACAGCAATATGACGCGGGAAAGAAATTGCGTGATGAACCAACGCAACTACGTCTTTTCGGCATCGGTAAAGCGATTGAGACGGCAGAGAAACAACAATATGACGGGATTTCCCGCGATCCGGTAAAAATCAGTAATATGACGACGGAAGAGAAATTGCCTAATGAACCAACGCAACTACGTCTTTTCGGCATCGGTAAAGCGATTGAGACGGCAGAGAAATAACAATATGACGGGATTTCCCGCGATCCGGTAAAAATCCTCTGCGGACCGTTGACGGTCCGCGGTTGGGAACCACTGTTTTAGAATACTTAAATCGAATCCAGAATCCTATTCTATTTTTATAGTTACCCGTATTTAAATAGTGGGATTTCGCCACCACAATGCATGATTGAAATTTAAAAAAAAAAGCTAAATTGTAGCCTAAATGTTTAATGTATAACTATCTTTGTACAGTATTTAATTGAAAATGTCCTGATCATTGGATTATATTTAACCAAGGCAACGAGATTTAGGAATTTCGACGATCGTTTTTTTTGTTTTTAACAGTTCAATATTCTCAATTTCAAATATCAAGTATGAGTCAGTGTGTTTATTCTGTGCGAGAACCATTTTCAATTACAAAAACCTTGGTGTTCTGTTACCGGTTTTATCGTTTTATATCAGTCCGGACTTGTCCTTGCTCAATATATTTTCCACAATGCCTCGCAATATTTCGGCCAAATATGATTAACTGTCTTTACCAAATGCGGCAACTTATTTTGATTCTTGAAAACCACCGACACTCGACCAAAATTGTGTCAATCTTGGCCGATAGGATCGTCGACTTGAGTTAGAAAAATAAGTTAATTTTTTCGTGAGTGCAAAATAAATGTCACAATATGCATTTTTTTGCGATATAACTTTGTATTTTCGGAAAAGCCATATCATATAAGTACGGTATTTAAATTATGCGCAAATAATAAATATTTGATCTAAATTTGTTGCAAATAATGTTACAACATTTAGGCCGTGAAATGATTTAATGTAAAATGAAGCATGGTAATCGGAATAACGTCAATAAGTCGGCATCAATAATTATTATAAAATGCTGACTAGGTAGTAAAGTCGAATAATGTTAAAAACGGTGCAATAACAAGTCTTCGTCGCGAGGCAAGCGCAAGTATAATCAAACAAGAGAATACGCTCGTCGTGGCATTGATAAATTGGCAACCCGACATTTTTTTTAATACGATTTAAAAAAAGTCAACTATCGTTTCATAAATATCCGTATACCAGTGTCGGTAATGATAAAATTGATCGCATAAAATTGGGACGGTTAATTTTGTCATCTGTCGCCGGCGTGTAGTACTGCCAGGAATATGAAAACCCAAACTCGATGTCCCAATCGAAAATGAAGTGGATTCAATTGGTTGTTATGATAGGTTTGAATGTGTGAAAAAATATCGCAATTACGGGGTCATTACGTAATCGATTTGGCCGTAATTACGGAATTGATTTTTGTCAATTACGTGCAAGCCTACGAGCCACACACCGCTGGTTTAGGGCCTTATGTTAAACACTTAACAAAGAAAAGTAAGATAGTTTTTATCGCAAAGTGTGTTGATTCTGATCATCTATTCCAAATATTAGAGCAAAGAAACAATATCATTTGTTCGTTCATCTGTAACATGCCATCAACAAACCTCTCAAAATTCCCCAAACAGATTCTGCCATGAGTGTTGAAGGAAGTCCAACATTCAGAGAATCTAAAATCAAGAAAATTTATATCTAATCAATTTCATGAATGTCTTAATCTAACAGATAACAGCTAATGCCTCACAATATTTAGATGCATCACACCTTTATACTACACAATACACAGAATTTAAAAATGGGCATTAAACTTTAAAAAAACAATTATTTCAAAAGAGTAAGGTTAAAGAGTTAACCAATTTACTGGGCAAATTTTAGGTAATTGCTATCTTCCACAGTTCAAAATTACAATCTTTGTATGAAAAATCCACGTTTCTTCCAAATGTTAATAACATTCATTTTTTTTAGACCAATAGCCATACCAATGGCCCAACCCTAACCTGGTACACATACTATGTTCCTGTGTCTGCCATCTTGGTTCACATACTTCAGGAGTACAGTACCACATCCGTCAATAAGAATTAATAAATGGATATTTCTATTACAGACGTTCAATTGTTGTTGTTTTGGACTTGATTTGGACAAATCAAAAATAAATTAAAATAAAATCTCACAAGCTTCATTCATCTCTAAACTTGGTAAATCCTCGCATTCACCCATGACATTGATTTCCAATCCAGAAATAGTGTTGCCAGATCTAGAAAAAAGAAAGAATATTAATGAAACTAGATACCAGTCTCGGATGGAAAGCCTAGTTTTATGACCTGTAACCCCATTCCAAAGACCCTTAATTAACAGTTATGGCCTCCTGGTTTTCTATAAAAATATTTAGTTTTGCTGTCATCGAAAGTGGTATCTAGTGAAGAACTGCATTTGCAATTCAGTTATTAACTCTTTCAAAAACAAAATTTCAAACCTTTAGCCTTTTTCATCATAAAAGGATCAACCTACTGAAATAAATGTAGTTTAGTGTTCACTGCATATTTTCTGATAATTTCTTGATATCTTTTGAAGGCTTCAGTAATAATCGGACAAACTTTACTTGAGGGATTCAAGGTGAACACGAAGTTTCCAACTTCTACCGGATAAACCTAAAATATATCGTAAAATCTAAATGAAAGATATTAAAATTCAACTTTGATAAAGGATTAAGTTTTCATGAAATCAGATATTAAAGATATTTGAAAAGTGGTAAAATATATTTTTTTCCATATCTTTAATTTTAACTCTGAAATGATTTTCGATGATTTAGAATATTTGCAACAACTGGCATTTCAGCAAATATGCCTGGGCAGAACCTTGTTCGATTGAAACACTGTTGACACCGTATGAAATAATCACGCTAAGATATTCATACAACTTAAAAAACAGGTGTTTTTATCCTGTATTATAAAGTATTTTCAATACTAATCATGGGGTGAAGAGATATGATTTGGTATGTCTTTTAAACATGTCAAGAGTGAATATAGCTAACCAGTTAAGCACCAGAGCATATTCATTCTCATCGAATGTGTTTTGCAAAAAAATCCTAAATGGTAGGGTGAAATTTTTTTGTTCCGATGAATCACATTGTTTACTTTTTTTGAGAAATAGTGACATGTTAAATTTAAATACACAGAACTTACCGCAGTATGGATTGTCATCTGCTGAGGTTTTGGCCAAGTACTCCCTGGAGCAGTGTTGCCAGATAAAGGAGGAGGAAACTTCAATTGTGCACCGAGAGAATGAGTTTGAAACATGTGTTTTCTGTCATGTGCTGTGACAAAAACTACACAGAAAAGTAGCAATGACACCTTGATATATCCCATCTTCAAACACATAAAATTAACTTATGGTGAACTAAGGCAATAACTGAAAATAATTGGACAAATGATTAGAACCTTGTCCTGGCAAAAAATGGGTCTCAATGGGTAGTTTCGCACCTGACATACTTCTAGTGGGCGTAGCATAACGATAAGGTGGGGGTTAGGATTGACATATGCAAAAATTGTTGAGCCAGGTCAACTAGAAGTACATGTGGTACTAAACTATACCAGACCCGAAATATCATAGTAACTACTTATATTTCTGTATTTACATATTTATCCCGGGGGAGAGGAAAGTGAATAAGACGGCTTATCCATATGGCGAACCACGGCCTCTCGTCCGGTTACCATTCCAAGTCGGGTATGGGATTAGTTATATTCAGGGATGGCCAATATCGAATAGTTCACTATTTCGAATACATTCAAAATTATTTTTTTGGAATATGAAATTTCGAATACTTCGAAAATAAAATCCACTAATTGAAGCTCATCTAAATGTATGTAGGAATTTCCATATAATAAGCAATGGAATAACTGCTATCTACAAGTTAAACCTAGCTATATTACCAGGCATTTCATATTTGCAGATTATTGCAGTATATATTTTATATACCACGAGTAATGTTAACAGAATTAAATTAATACGGCAATATCGATGATGGATTTGAATATTTGCGTAACACAAAATCATCTTAGTAAAACGCCCATACTTTTAAATACCAACCATTATCCGAATTATTTGCCAAAAAGTGGGATAAAGTATGAGTTATTTTTCCGACTTGTGACAACTTTTTCGTGAGTACAAAAATACGAATCAAAAAATGATTATATTCGGGAACTTTACCACACATTTTAAGTCCGCAGATCGCCGTTGTATGTTTGAGTAATAATACTTTTATTATTTTATAAATATGAAAATAGGAATCAAAAACTATTTATAATTGGGTAGTTTACCACACATTCTAAGTCCACAGATCGCCTTGGAATTTTGTAAATACGAAAATAGGAATCAAAAGTTAATATTAATCGCGAGTTTGCCACACAATTTATGTCCACAGATTGCCGTGATATTGTGCCGAATATATTTAGTTTTTGATTCTTATTTTACGAAAAATTGTCACAAGACGGAAAAAAAAATTATACTTTATCCTCGCTGTTGGGAACTAATTTGGATAATGGTTGCCATTGGTTTGTATTTAAAAGTATGGACTTTTTACTAGGATGATTTTGTGCTGCGCAAAATATTCGAATCCATGACCGATACCACTATTTAAAATGCCTGACCGTGTTAATTTAATTCTATTATCACAACTCAAATGTTGGTAAATCGGGCAGTTCACCACACATTTTAAGGCCACAGATCGCCGTTGCATTTTAGAATTATAATAGTTTTATTATTTTGTAAATACGAATCCTAAATTAATTATAATTGGGCAGTTGACCACGTATTTCATGTCCACAAATACCGTGGTATTTGGTATTAATACTTCCATTATTTTATCAATATAAAAATGGGAATCAATATTTAATAATATCGGTCAGTTTACCACACATTTTATGTCCACAGATTGTCGATACAACCATGAGTTACATTGAACAGAATTAAATTAATACGGCATGACATTTTGAATGCTGGTACCAGTCATTGATTGGATTATTTTGCGCAACAAAAAATCATCCTGGTAAAGGATCGATACTTTTAACTATCGTTATCAGAATTATTATGACTTGTTTTTCCAACTTGTGACAATTTATTAGATATCGTAACAATGACGGCTATAAATACCGTATTTCCCGGCTAATAAGTCCACATGGCAAATAGGACGATGTCTATTTTTAGCACTCAAAAAAGTTTTTTTCCATACAGGCCTCCAATAAGACGGGTAGAAAAATTGTGTCCCTGTTGTTCAGTTATGCTGATATGCGCTAATAATTTTATATGTTTAGAACCAGATCAAGTTAGTTTGGTAGAATCATACTTACAGAATTTACTATTTTTAACAATTGAGCGGTAAATTTAAGTTGTAAAACGGCAATCATTTTGGACAACCTATTAACCCGAATGTTGAAATAATTTTGGAATGTGATAAGTAATACACTGTACGTCCACGGGTTATTTCACAGCTGTGTTTTCCTGTCGTGTTCTGCTGAATCGGCAAAACGAAGGGGTCACAAATCACTTTCTCGGTGGCCGCGTTTCTCATATTAAAGTAACCATAACCGGTCTGCGATTAAATATCATGATTGGCAGACCCTAAGACCCAAATATAAGGTTACACAAATCATGCTTGAGAAGACTCATGCGAATAAAAACAGGCCACATAGAACTACATACTTTCTCAATTAGACGCCCCCCTAGAAAAGCGACTTATTGCCGGGAAATACGATAATTGTCAATTTTTCGACGTAATGGAAATGAATTTGTAAATTAAAAGCCTCGTAGACGAATGTCGGCAATGTCCACCCACGCAAACGTGCAAATGTGTCGCAACACTATGCGACGTACGGTCGCACAGAATATAAACAATCAAAGTGCCGATCGTCATTACAATACGTGAGACAGCGTAAAAAGTCGTTTGAAGATTCCCATAAAACGAAACACCACGATTACGGCGAAAAGTGGCTACTATTCGGAATTATTCGAAAAACAGCCGAAAAGGTATTCGAATACATTCGAATATTCGATTCGTTTTGGACAACCCTGATTATATTGTTTGTTTTTCGGAAGCATGGTGGTGGAGGAAGCCGTAACCGACCAGCGGTTACGTGAACCACCCAACGACGGCGAGGAGTCCAGCAATCCTCTCGCACATAACCATCCCTGCATGGGATTCGAACCTGCAAACCCACGCAGAGTAATTAGAGGTGCGATGGCGAGCGTATTCCTAACGCTTAGCCCTTTGAGCCACACCGCCGCTTATATTTACTTAATGTTATATTTAAAAGGCCGAAATGAGATAAATAAATATTTCAGTATTTGAAATAATATTTGTAACTAAAAAGTACAAAACATTCATTCAAGTACCTAATACAGTAACATAATCGAAATTACATCAAATTTGTTTCAAACCTATTGAACAAAGCGGTAATGCGGGAATATGTGAAAATTGCGAACTGTTTACTAAACCCTGAAACAGTGAAACGGAACCTGATGATTGGCTGATTGCGGTAACCTAAAGAAGCACCAAAACATAAATAACTGTTACGTCACGTCATTACACAACATAAAACGGATTAATCTTTATTGCACATAAAAACGACTCTATTTGCTGAATTGAATTAAAACAATTTTAGCCACAAATTTCCCAGAACACAATCTCAAAATCCCGATATTTCTATCGCCCTCTGACCTTACATTTTTTTATCGACACACGATGGCAGCAAGGTAAGGTAAGGGTAAGGTAAAGGGTTTAATGGCGTCTTTGACAACTCGGTCTTTTACGCCAATTTTCAAAAGGAGTAGTCAGAATGATACAATAAAAACATGTTTACAACTCTCGTTTGGTGGATATAGCAAATTTAATAATTATTGGAATCAAATTAGGAACATTGAAAATACAAATAAATTCCCAGGGTACATTCATTTTTGCTGCTTCACGTCTTAATTCGCATCGTAAATTATTATACTTGGGACAATATAAAATAAAATGGGAAACAGTTTCATTTGTGTCACATCGACTACATTGCCCTGTGGGATGTAGCCCTATTTTAAATAAATGATAGTTAAGTCTGATATGTCCAGTTTGAAGACGAAAAAATATTATTTCTTCTTGGCGGGAAAATTTGAAATAAACATTATTTTGGGCTATTTGAGGTCGAAAGTTTTTGTAATGGCTTGCAGTATCGTTTGCTTGATATGTTAAATTCCATTTCGCAAGACATGCTTGCTTACACAATGTCTTAGCTTCTTTTAATGACCGTTGAAGAACAGCATTAATGACAATTTTATTTGCTCCGTCTTTCGCCAGTCGATCCACTTCCTCATTACCGCTAATACCAATATGTGCTGATATCCACAGAAACTTGATATCGGTCGTGTGACAAATAATAGTATAAAGTAGTTGTATTTTTGTTGATAAAAAATGTTTAACATTCCAAATATCCTGAATGCTTTCCAAGGCAGAAAGACAATCGCACAATATTAATACTTTTGAAGGCCTATTTTGCGATATCCATATCAAACTTTGATATATGGCATATAATTCCGTACAGTAGGAAGTAGATAATGGATCGAGGCGGAATTTATTCGAAAATTCGTATTCTGGAATAAAAAAGGCAGAACCACAGCGAGTTTCAGATTTTGAACCGTCAGTATAGATCTCCAGGTAACCTGGATATTCCATTTCAATATACTCCAAACATTGTAACACAAAAACAGTAGGATTGTTGTATGTAACAGACATAGTTGATAAAACTGTATCCACTTCAGTCGGAGGCATATTCCAGGGTGGAATGGGAAAAAATTTAGTGTTGTTGACAACTAAACCGTAAATAACAAAGTCCTTATATATGGTAAATAATAGATGCAAGATGGGTTCATGAGTAATCACATTTTCAGTCCACCCCTAAAACAAGACTTTTTTTTAAAATTCTACCCTACCCTTCTTATTGTAAAGTTTTTGAAACGAGGATTTTTTTGCTCGGTGACCAATATACAATGCTTCTCCCTTGACAGCTACCTTTTTTGGCAAGGCCTTGATATATTTTGTTCTTTCTAACCGGTTGTTTATTTTTTTGCTTGGCACTTCGGAAATATTTTCACATTGCTAAATTTTGGAAAAAGTAATATTTACTGGATAAATATTAGGTACTGTAGCTTTTCGTTCGTTATCTATGACTTTTGTTTCGTTCTTATGAATAATTACCATGACCATTTTCAATTTTGTATAAGTTGTTAATAACAGAAAAATAAAACGCCCCAACATTTTAGGATTGTAACCATTCTACCAGAACACACAGCAACCGCTATAAATACGGAATACATAGAAACATGTAGCCATCTAGTGTTGAAAGGTTTTCTTCACAAATACAACACTTTAACATAACTGTACGGAGATAAGATTCGGTTTTTCGGGTTTTCTATTCCGATATAAACCGCTAAAAATCTGTAGAATACTGGTAAGTTGCTAAATTGATTTTTCTTGTTCGATATTATAACTTTCATAGTCTCCAACTATAAGAGTGTAGCTACGTTGTCCAGTTGTTAGGCAGTTTCAGTGTGTATACCATACCTATATTTTACTAAATGTTTTTTTTGCGGCCACTAGTTAGCTAGGCCTATATTTATACAATTTGGCAGAAATTTTAAACAGGTATCCATAACTAAGATTTTGTAGTGTAATCCGACTATGTGCCAAATTTTAATATAAATTCCAATTACCGGTATGTTGCACTGTGAAAATGTCTGATTTTACAAATTATATTAATTTTGATTATCGGAATTAAACAGATGATTAAAAGAAGATTTTCCAGCTGGAAATATTTTTAAAATGTGTTTAAACTGTATTCTTTGAGTGTATGATTTTTATTGGACACCATTCAGCCATTGGACATATGTTTTTTAGTGATTTTTAACAATACAAAATAATGGCAAAATTTTAATTTCCTATGTTCATTTTACATTTCAGATTTAAATTACAATTGTTTGACGCTGGACATCGAAAATGAGTTTCAATTTAGATAATCTTCGACTGGCGACGGAAGAAGAAAATGATGACTTGTATTCTGGATTCAACGAATATAACCCTATGTATGACACAGCAAATCTGGCAGAGGATGAAGGTTTTATGAACGCTGTAAAAACGAGTCACGGACGACGACCTCCGATGACGGCACTACGAGGCGCGAATCCAGTCTTAGGTCGAAATGCTATTCCTCCACCTTCATCGTTTGGTCGTCCGGTTACGGGTGCCGTTGCTGACGGAAGTGCTCGACCAATGACCTCCGTCGCAGGAGCAGGTTTCTCATCAAATTTGGGTAAAGGTGCTGCTTTTGATCCATTAAGCCAGGCAGGAAAAGATAGACCAGGTGGCATCGCCCCTCCTCTTGACCCACTATCAGAAAATGGACCAGAAGAAAAAGTAAAAGCACTCGAAAAGAGAGTTGGAGAACTGATTGAGGAAAGCGTTGTTGCACAAAGTAAAGGGAACCTTACCCTTGCACTTGACAAAGCGAAAGATGCCGGTCGTAAAGAGCGAGCGCTCGTACGACAAAGAGAGCAAAGCGGTCTGAGCGAGAACATAAATCTTGACCTAACATATTCTGTTCTATTCAATCTTGCGGTCCAATACGAAGCGAACGAAATGTTCCCTGAAGCTTTGAATACTTACAACGTGGTTGTGAAAAATAAAATGTTCAGCAATGCTGGTCGCCTCAAAGTCAACATGGGAAATATATATTTCAACCAAGGGCAATATATGAAAGCAATTAAATTCTATCGTATGGCTCTTGATCAAGTTCCAAACACTCATAAAGATATGAGAATTCATATCATGCAAAATATTGGAGCTGTGTTTTTAAAAATGGGGCAATACAATGAAGCAGCGACGTCGTATGAACATATTATGACGGAAAAGCCGAACTTCAGAACAGGTTTCAATTTGATTCTCTGTTATTTTGCGCTCGGTGATAGTGAAAAGATGAAAAAAGCTTTTCAGAAATTGCTTTCTGTTAATTTAGGAATTGATGATGAAGATAAATACACAACAAACCCAGAAAATACGCAAGAAAGTGTGTATTTGGATGCTATCAAAAATGATTTGCTTCGCCAAGCTGAACGCAAGCAAAGATCAACAGCTGAATGGACCATTTTAAGCGCTGCGAAAGTCATCGCACCTGCGGTTGAAAATACCTTCGCTGCTGGATTTGATTGGTGTATTGACCAAGTTAAAAACTCACCATGCCTTGACCTGGCGAATGATCTAGAAATTCACAAAGCTCTAATGTATTTGAAGGAGAGAGATTTTCCTCAAGCTGTTCAGATTCTAAAAACATTCGAGAAAAAGGAAACGCAGGTCAAATGTCAAGCTGCGACTAATCTTTCATTTATTTATTATTTGCAAGGAAACCTTGCTGATGCGCGGAGATACGCAGACATTGCCACGAAGGCAGACCGATTCAATGCTCCTTCGTTAACAAACATGGCGAACTGCCTTCTTTCTGAAGGAGACGTAAGCGGAGCAGAAACACTGTACAAAGAGGCTTTAGAGAACGATTCATCGTGTCATGAAGCTTTATTCAATCTCGGACTTTTGTATAAACAGCGACAGCGTCTGGACGAATCTCTCGACTGCTTTTTGAAATTACACAACATAATGCGACATGATTCTCAAGTCATGTATCATATTGCGTCATTATACGAGCATATGGAAGATTGGAGCCAGGCTCAAGAATGGTTGATGCAGTGTGTGGGAATCGCATCCACGGATCCAAGCATTTTATCACACCTTGCAAAGATTTGTGAAAAGGATGACACAAATGCTGATTTGTCGCAGGCGTTTCAATATCGTTACGATGCGTATCGACTATTTCCTGCGGATATTGAAACTCTCGATTGGCTGGGGGGTTATTATATTCAATCTCAATTTTATGAAAAAGCTGTGAGGTATTACAGTCGAGCTGCTGTAATACAACCTAAAGAAGTAAAATGGCAATTAATGGTTGCGAGCTGTTACCGACGAAGCGGAAATTACCAACTTGCATTTGAAAAATACAAATCGATTCACAACCAATTTCCCGACAATGTAGAGTGTTTGAAATTCATCAACCGGTTATGCGTTGACCTCGGACTCCAAAACGAGCTTCAAGAATATGCAAATAAGTTGAAAAAAGCAGAAAAATCGAAAGAAATGAGAGAACAACGGGCAAGCAGTGGTGGCCGTAGAGGAGGAAGCGGTAGAGGGGATAGAACTCCCGCGAGTGCAAATAGTTCAGATGGGAATCTTCACAACGGTAGTGCTGGGAGTGGGTCAGCAAAGCGACGAACACTTCCAGAGGCAGATGGATACAGTACAACAAAGCGAGATATCGATTCATCCTATGTTGATCCCCTAGGACCCGCCCCCGAACGTCCAAAAACCGCTGCGAGACAAAGACAAGAAATTGCCGATGAATTTGATGACGTTGAAGTCGACGATGATCTTCTGCCAGTTTAAATTATTTATCATTGTTGTCAAATTTGACTGAAAAATAGATAACAATTTTTGAATTTGTGATACAGAAAATACGCAGCAACAAAAAAAGTACAAAATTAGTGATTTGGTTTTATTGGACCCAATCCAGCCCCAGGGATGGATGAGGAATTAAACATATATTGTTCATTCATTTTTACTCATTTCACAATTGAATTGGAACTCTTATCATTTTGGACATGGGATAAACTGACCTCCCACTCCCTCATATGGTTATATAATATTATTTGATATTTTCTCTTAACAAGATTCCAGTTATGACCTATATTGTTCAATGGCGTCACTGTTTTTCATTCCACAAAAAAGACAAAATTTTCAAAAAAGTTCAGAATGTTGTTATAAATGCACCTATGTGGTTTACTGTATATTGTTTCCTCAATTGTTCATTCCTAGATATAGTATAGTTATATTTTTGTACTGTTATTTGTTATTGTGAGATGTTGATATCTTTTGCAATTATTAAATCTGAACATGAATTGTAGTCTGTTCTCATTGATACTAGTAGTTAGACCTGACATGTGCAAACTACGGCCCGCGAGCCAAATCCGGCCCGTTGTGTAATTCAATCTGGCCCGCCTGATGCTTACAACCAAACTAAATAAGGATTTGGCACAAGGATTATTGTTATTGTAACACTGTAAATATTGTTCATAAAATGTAACTTTTTACGTCACGCTCATATGTCTGATGGGCACAATTTTTGGCCCCTGGTCCTACCCCCGAGTTCAATCCTAGGTTGTTTTTACCCAATTTGACTCCTTACCCATTATTACTTTGCAACTGAATTATATGCCAATAAGATTTTCATATTTGAGTCGGGGTAGGAAAGTCAACCATAAAGCCTGATAATACTTTGATGAGGTAAGCCGTGAAAACACTCATTTCCCGCAGAATTAGTAATTTTTACATGCCAACTTAGCGAAGGTGTGAGATGATAACTATTCTCTGGAATAGCCAGTTTCTGGTTCGGCATCGTCTATCCAATTTATACACGGAAGGCTACAGTGAACTCAAATCTATATTTAGCTGGCAACGCCGACATAGTGGGTTTCATTGCACCCACAATTATTGGGACAATGAACAGATATCAAAACCAATATTCACTGTAATCAGTTCCCTTAGGTCCTGCCGAAAAGTAATGAAATATTATCCTAATTTACACCATATACATCCCAAAAGCGGTTTCATAATAATATTTTGCATTTATTTAATACAAATCAGCATCACTAATATTGATAGTTGCAGATATATATATATTGCACTAAAACATTCCAAAGAGTATACAGATGTTTTTGAATCAGAACAAGTATTACATAGTATGATTGTTTCTATTATCACTTCGGATCGGTCAAAATATACTTTATTTCTAAAATTCAATCATATCTTTCAATTTTATATTCAAACGTCAATAACATTATACCAAACATATGCCCAGTACATGTTAGTTGCCCTAAAAAAAACATGATTTATTTAATCAAACAGTATGAAAAATGATACTATTCACTTTTGGATATGATATGATCATCCCTACTTCAATGTTGTATGTAAATTCCTAGTGGTAATTAAGATTAGTGGTAACAGAGGAACGAATATAAGGCCAATTGTTGCCAAGGTTATAAGGAAAATCAAGCTAGAATTAAGTTGGTTTTGACACCATTTCCTCAGCTTTATCATGTCCTATTATAGTATCAGAGCAACAAGTTAGCGAATTGCAGTTTTTCAGAACAATGTTACGTCTGGTCTGACTGAGTGTCAGGTCAATGATGATTTCTCGAAAACTACTACTAGCCATGCTAGATTAATTATGCTCAACAAGAAAATACAAATGGTTTTATTGATCATTTCCTAAGCATATATGACACGGAATCTATGAAAAGCACCTTTTATTTTCATTTCTGCTGCATAAAGTTTACAGTTATGTTCCAATACATTTTACATTACCAAACATTATTAGAGTTAATAGAAGTGATAGTTAAAAAATATGATTTTGAGTAACATGGTTATCATAGGTACAATGCAGTGAGATACAAATTCATTACATTCTAGAATTTATGGACATTATCAAAAATTGCACTTGTTATAATATGAAAGCATACTGCAGAGTAGGAATCAGAATTTAGACAGTGTTGCAAGCAGGGCTGTAGTGCCAGATTTGGGAGTCTGACTTTGGTAGGTTTTCACTAGAGTCTGGGTTAAAGTACTGGATTCCATAAAGCTGTTGGAATTTCAGACTTTGAAAGGTAAAAAAATAGTGAGAATTTTGTTTAGGACTTCAAAAAGCATTACGTTTACTGACCATTCTTAGCAGTCTATTAAAGAAGGATCGCATACTCTAAATTTTTTTAGTATTTAAATTTTATTATGAAATTAAAATTTTTTATAAAATTTCAGTGGTAATAGGAGTCGGAACTTTCGTTTTTAATAATCTATTAAAGAAAGCTTTCATAGGGTACTCCACAAATCGTTTGTTATCAGGATTTGATTGTTAAGGAGCTCTAGTCCGAGTCTAAATATTGTACAACCCGAAATGGGAAGCGTAATTTTTCTTAACTCAGATTGAGAGCCAATTTTTTTTCAAGTTGGAGGCAAAACATTTTACAGCCCTGGTTGCAAGTAATGATCATTTTAATTCACGACATACACAGCTGCCCCTGAACCTGGTTTAGTTGCGAATAATACTTCATCCATGGTCCTGCCTGTCATTCTCTGGCCTAAGTTGTCAAAGTATTGGGTTTTGACTTTTGTTAGGAAACTTTCCAATTTTTCAGAAGGCACAATTGATACCGCACATCCACCCCATCCTGCCCCTGTTAGTCGAGATCCAAGTGCGCCAGAATCCCTGAAAGATAAATGAATGATAAATATTCTGTCTATACCAGGAGTGAGCTAAGGACCAGGGGCCAAACATTTCGCCCAACTGGACTGGCGGGCAATATAAGTGTGACGTAAAAAGTTACATTTTATGAACAATATTTAGAATGTTACAAAAGCAAAGTGGAAAACAATAATTCTCATGCCAAATCTAAATTTACTCGCAATCTCAACAAATTCCCCGAGATATATTTAGCTAAAACGTCAATTTGGAACCTTGTTTTAGTTGGGTTGTAGCAGCCTTAGGCGGGCTAGATTGAAATACCCAATGGGTAGTAGTTTGTCCATGTCAGGTTATACAATTACTGTATAATATTTCACTAAAATGCTTTAATTGACATCTGGTGCACAACAAGCAATGAAATATAAGGATATATGTTGCATACTGGTAACTGAGCACTGAATTTTCTGAAAAGATCAGTGGAAAATCATGGTGTAAAAATGTGGAATAAAGAATTAGAAGAAAAAAACAGCAAAATTTTATACCCCATGGGCAATATTTCTCACAGAATTCGGGCCAGCAAAACTACTCGGACCCTTCAGCAATACAATAATATGATCATTGAGTCAGTTACTATTACCTACCTGCATAGTTGAGTGAGCTGATCCAACTCCAAGCAACTGCATTCATATGATTTGCTGCAACTTACATGGCTTGCTGTCATTAGATTGCCTATTCAATGAAGAAAATAAAATCAATTTGAAATTTCAATGTGAAAATTTGCAGAAAATAGGAATTTCTTGTTAACTATGGTAGACAGAGGTAATAATAAAATGTAACTTCTATGTGTATTGTGAGCTAAATGACCGTCCTATGTTTCATTGTTAGACAAACATAGTATTTTGAAAGCTATTTAAGATGTTAAAACCAACAAGCATTCATATGAGGAATAGTTTGAAATTTTGGGAGTCGATGGAAACTTCTAAGTACCTGATTTAATCTTGGAATATCAAGATATTCTGACTAGCCCTATTCACAATCCTAAATTATCAGCAGAGGGTCAAAGTTCGCAAAACCTTTTACCCACTCATCATCCAGTTTTAGCTTTAACATCTTAAATAGCTTTCTAAATATTATATTTGTCTAACAATGAAACATAGGTCTGTCATTTAGCTCACAATAATACAAGTTTTTGCCACACTATGAACTTTAAAAAAAAACGAAGCAGACTCGTTACTGTTGCAAGTTCAGACTCTTATCTACCAATAAATTTCAGAATTTGACTTCATCCCGAACTTCACAGTCATGCTATTAAACTTACAAACCATAATGCATGTTATTTTACATATTAATAACCTACCCAATGCTTCGTTCTTATTCTGCATATCTTTTGAATCACAAGCTTCTTTGAATTTGAGAACTCTTTGTGCTTCACTGAATACATGCTCAGATCGTTGTCTCAGTCTGAACGTTTGTACTAAAAAAAAGAAGAAATTCAAGCTAATAACATAAATTGGCTCCGTTTCTCAGGGCTGCAAAAAATCCAGCTCGGAATTGAGAATATAAAATTTCAATAACAAAAACTTTGGTCTTTGAAATTCCTATCAAATTTGATGCTTTTGGAGTTCCTGTACAAAATTTAAACTTCTGTTTATCACAATTGGCGCTCCAGAAGTGTGTGTACCAATATGGAGATAACTAATTTTGTTCGCCTATTTCACATCAAGTTGTATAAAGGGACTGAAACCTATGGGCAGGGGGTACATTCACTTGGCTAACACAGACGGTCCCCAACTCGTAACAGAACTAAAATAAGGAAAATTGGAATAAAATTATGGCCTAACCCTAACCTGTTACACATACTATGAGAGTACCCAATTGCAATTCTAACTTCAAATCCTAACTCTGAGGTCAGTCAGTCAGTAGTTTATTTTATCACAAACCGAATGTAAACATTGACGAACAAAATTGAAAAAATGAAAAATTACATTTCAGTGTGAAGGGAGACGCGATAAACCAGAGAAGGTTATCGAGCAGCGTCATCTTTGAGGCAGTAAGTCTAATATTAAATCATAATGAGAAAGAAGTCAAACATAAAATACTAACAAAAGCCGGACTTGAGACGCCATTAAGCGACCCCGTAACCCGGATAATAACGAAAGAAAGCAACTCCAGACACGACAGGCTGCGGTCGTCATGGTGACCGCATATCATTGAACAACCAACCAAGAGAGCCGGACTGCCGTGGTTATTCTGTGGCTGCGCTAAAGACTTTTGTCCTCTTGGCGCAGTACCGGTATCGCATTTGAGAGCGACATCACCGGATAGTTTTAATTAATTTACAAGCTAAGCAATGTTTTAAATACACACTCGTGGGGCTATGCAGAGGCTGTGTGTTGGAGGTAAATAATATATATACGATAACAAGAAGAAGAGTTAGAAATGGGAAAGGATTACAAAATGTGACTACGGTTTTAGTAAAAAGTTTCAAACTACTGAGTTCATAGCCCTGTCCCTTGGTATCACTCCATCAGACTTAAAACAAACACAAATTCAAGTAAACTCAAAAATTGAAAAAGGTAATGGGATGAACTGCAAAAAGAGAAAGGGAACCCCTCACCATCCTTTGTATTCTCACTGAGACAATATTCCACGAGTTGTTCGTCTGATATTCCAAGAATTTCTAAAATCTCCGACCTAGAGTACGGTTCATCATGTAAACCAGTTTTCACCAGATCCAGTATTTTATCAAACGAAGCTTCAAGTTTGGTTTGAAGGTCTTTGAATGTTTTTACTGAGGTAATGTCAACACCATTTTGTTTGGCTAGGACCTGTCAAAAAGGATTACTATTTATTTGTTGCTTGTCTCATGTCTTATTTAGAGCAGATACAAACGATTTTGAAAATACGAACAAGCCATTTTTAAAGATAATCTCCAGCATACCAGCAAATTTATTAGAGCAGTGGTTCTCAACTTTTCAAGCAATGCACCCTTTTCTAAGTCTATCAAGTCTCGTGTCCCACTTCAAAAATTACAAGCTAACAATAAGCTACAAATAACAGATAGTGGACAGAAGTATGTTTTATATAAAAACACGTAAATGGAACGTAAATATCGGAATAAGACGGGCAGGATCAAATCTAACAAATATTTTTATTTTCAATTATATTCACACCCCCTCAAAAAATTGTCTACACCCCCCTTGTGGGGCACGCCCCATCGTTTGAGAACCACTGTACTAGTGGAAGGCAGAAAAATACCAAGAAGACAACTAAACTATTCACAATATTTTCATGACCATTTTTACCTATATATACACATAAAGGTTCCTGGGCTACCATGCTAAGCTTACACAGAGCCTTGTTTAGAGAAAACATCAAACTATTTTACCTTGGTAGAAATCTTGCATTCAGCAACCCGCTGATTGAAATGTGAAGTTGCCGCTTTATTCAATTCAACACAACAATTTGAGATTACGAACACACTTCCATCTGGTAGAGAAACTTCTTCAGTACGAAGAGGGTTGAAGGAGATGAGTTTAGCCTGAAAAGATGATAGAGTAAGATTTCATTAATCCCTTGTGAGAGAAAAGAATAATTTGGTCCAAATGACAGTGTGCAACAGGGACTGCGAAAAAAAAACTGACCCGTCAAGAATTTAGTGTGGCCATTGTGGCCACACTCCCCATCAAGTATGAAATCCTAATCTGACAGTTTGTTTAAAAAGGGGCTCACATGAGTGAAATACATAATGTTTTTGCTCTTTTCGCTGCATTAAATCTTTTCCCGTTTGCCTGGTGACTTACAAAACTAACCGACAAAAAATGCTGCACACTCTTGGCCTAAATTCAAATCCTCCTGACCAGACAGAATACAAGTATAGCTAACTTGGTCAATGTTTCAAATGCATATTATGTCATCGATCAGACCTTATCATGCAAGAAAATAGCTCCTAAAATAGTTAACGCCAAATATTCTAATCGTTTTAATATCAAATAGGCCTATCAGTTTCAATTAAGAATTTGGAGTCCACATGGCACACAAAAAGAATATTATATGACTTTAGAAAACTCACTGCTCCTTTTTCAGCAAGGAAAGAGATTGACTGGTCCATCCCTCCTCCTTGTGTTCCGATATATCTCTCACATTTTGCACAAATATCAGCCATGTTCAACTGCGAGAGGATATTAATTGGAAATATTAGATTGCATTTAACTCCATTGTCAAAACTGGGGTTTTGGTTTTTTTCACTGTTTTTGACGACTTTTCAATGTTACAATAAATTATATGGATCGGTGTTTCTCAAATTTACTCAGCTTTAACCTGTTCTGTGCGAATCGGTGCATTAGCGCAATTTCAGACGCTGTGTGTAAACCATGAGGTCTGGAATGTTTGTTATGGTCTTGTTTGGAAGAATAGCTCATTTCCTACCCAGTAATATAAGAATGAACGTTATATGACATTTGGAAGTAATAAAATATCGCTTACATTTCACGAGTGTACTTCCCGCTGCGATAGAAAAACGTCGCACAGCAAGAAAATAATTCAATAAACCTTGGCGTTGCGCGCTAACCAATAACAAAAGCTAGTATGATAAGGTCTTATTTTGAAGGTCCTTTTATATGCTACATAACATAGGAGAGTGGACATCTCACAACGTCAGGAAGTTATAAAAATATCGAGTCGTTTGATCGCAACTGCCTCACCGAAAAAAAGTTAGTTCACATAGGCGTTTTATCTCGCAAATTCTCCTTGTCTCACGATTATAAGCTTTTATGATTCATAATAAATGTTTTATTATGACTCACAAAAACTTTCAACGCGATAAAGCACAAACAAACAACCGATCGATCTATCAAGCTTAGCCTGGCCTGATTCGATGTGGTGACTTCTCAAACGGAAAATTTCCAAAACGCTTCAACGACACGCGCTAACGAAAAGCGTTTAGTATCATATGAAAGAGAAAACCAATGTGCAGTCAACTGTATAGTCACATTTGCGCTGCTTTTCAATAGCTATACACGTCCAACAGCTGATAGAATGAGAGAGTGTAAATATTTTTGTTATTTTTTGACGTTACGAGAGACCTCTTGAAAGAGGTGTTTTAGTTTACGGTCCTCCAGTGACATCTAGCGTATAGTACTCTAAAAGACCTTTCCAATGGTATATAATTATTGTATATTGGGTAAATTTTGGGGGTCGTTTGACATGAATAAAAATTGGTATACGAAATTGGGCTCGATAAAGAGTGTCGAACAGGTTAAGAGCAACGAAAAAACAGTCGCGATTATTACAAAACATAGTTTCCAATAATATACTCTACTAATTTAATACAATGGTTGTTCCTTATTTCCAAAAGTACCTTGGATATTGATTTCCCATTTGCGAAAGCGGTTGCAAGTCCAGCTACACACACAAGAGCACTAGAACTTGATAAACCAGCATTCTTTGGTACAGTACCGTGAACTAGGATGTCCATCCCTATAAAAACAAAGCAAGAAAATAGAATACTGGTATTTCATTCCTTCCTATGTGTTATATCATAGACCACATTAGAGTTACTTATGAATGTTCATTATGCTTGATACTGAAGTGATCACAACCATCCATCATGGATCATTATAATTTTTTTGTTGTTTCTTCAGGTTTGGATATACAGGGTGTCCGTAAAAAGTCCTTTACAATTTCAATTTTGTTATGAAGTCATTTCTCAAGATATCTTAATCAGGTTTGTTGTTTCTTAATCAGTAATTATTCAAGTATTTTTACCTCATTTGATACATCTGTGATGGCCAAAACAATATATGGTATCAATAAATTCACTTTGTAATTTAAAAAAATTTCAAGACTTCATGAACAACTATACTTAATAATTTATGACTATGACATAGAAGAGCCAACCAGTGCACTCCCAACAAGGAGCTTTTTATATACTACATTTTTTATGCTGCTTTTCAATAGGCTTTCACACAAGAATAACAACTGTTGCATTCTTACCAACTGGTTCTTGTAAGCTTTCATTCTCAACAATTCCTTTAAAACCACAGAAGAAATAATGAAACCATTGAGGATTTGATTTGTCAATAACAATGTTCTTGATACTGGTTGTGAAGTCTCTGAAAAATCAAATGCATAGTGTACCACTATAAATCGATATAGTATCAGTAATTAGGATAAGGTTTACATATTTATCCCGGGGGAGCGGAAAAGTATTAAGACCCCTTATCCTGTTACCAGTCCATGTCGGGTATGGGATTAGTTAGCAAGTAATTCGTTTCAGATGCATCGACTTGATGGTGGAGGAAGCCGTAACCGACCAGCGTTCTCGCAAACCATGTTGAGGCGGCGAGAAGTCCAGCAGTCCTATCGCACATACAGAAACTATCCACGTGAACCCATGCAGGATTATTAGAGATGCAGTGATGAGCGTATTCCTAATGCTTAGAACAATGCGCCACACCACGAGCATTGGTTTTTCAATTGTAGCAGGTGACTTTGCTCAGAGATGGGTTTCCTCTGATTCTGAGTAAGTATGGCCTTGCTTTGAGCAAATTCTCTTATAGAATAAAATATTTATCAATTGATCAACTACCTCCAACTGTGACCTAGACCGCGAACAGGGTGAAAGATTGGCTTGTTTTACGATTAAGATTAAGTCATCTTGGCGGCCTCCTCAAAAAACATAAAAAAAACCATACATACTTATAATTCTTGGCGTCCAGATTACAAATCCTGATTTCTCCTGTGTTAGTTTTCTTGACAGCAGCACAAATATCTTGCTCAATTGCCATTGGCAAAACTGAATATCCACAATAATCTATGTGTTCTCCAATTAAATTCACCTTGAAAGAAAAAATTAAATAGATAAGGAATGATTCTAATAGGATAGGATTTACATAATTATCCTCGGGGATAGGAAAGCCAATAGGATGGCTTAACAATATGGCAGACTATGACCTCTCGTACGGATACCAGTCGATGACAGTTATTTGTTTTCCGATGCATGGATTTGATGGTGGAGGAAGCTATAACTGACCAGGTTACATAAACCCCCTTACAGCGGCGAGGAATCCAAGAATTTTATAAAGTGCTTTTGACATTACAGCGGTCATTTACTCCATGAACAGCCTACTTCTGACTGCGATTGATTCAGCTTTGAGCATATTTTCATTCAGTTGCTATGTCATACTCACTCTTCCAGGCGCTCTGGCGATGAACTCCGGTCTTGAACCATACTTTTGCTTGAATGCCTCACACATTTGAGAGAACCTAAAACAGTAAAATTCAGAGAACATCGGCAAACCAAAAATTAAGGTAGAATTGATTTAAAATATAAGATCCAAGCCCCCTTGCTTTCTAAATTCATAACACTTCTTTATGACAGCATCAGGGGCGTAGACAGAAATTTTTAAAGGGGGGTTCTGAAATCTCTAAGTTAGACCATAACAGCTAGCGGACACGGGCAGAAAACATGGGTTTTCAGGAATCTTTGAGGGTCTAAAAAGTGTTTCAAGCTCCTGAAAATGGCTATGTATGATACAGAAGAATGCTTTTTTATTACATTTCAAAAGGGGAAGTTCCGAACCCCTAACCACCCCTCCTGGCTACACCCTTGGTAAGGTATGTTGAGTACCCAATTTACCGACAACCTACCCAATTTATTATTTACCCTGGGTGAGGTGGGGGCATCAAATTTGAATCCGAGATGTGTATTCAGCGATGCCAACATGGTGTATTCTAATGCTTTAATTGCAAGACTGCATCTGATACATTTGAAGTATTTGAGCATTGCTCGGCCGTGTGGCGCATCGTGCAGAGCGTTAGGTATGCGCTCGCTATTGCACCTCTGATTATCCTGCATGGGTTCACAGGGACGAGACTTGTGGGGAAAATTCTGTGCGTGGATTACTGGACTGATCTCCGCCATAGGGTGGTTCACATAACTGCTGGTCGATTTCAGCTTACTCTCTCCCTAGGTATACTATATAGCAGGGGTTCCCAAATCCGGCCCGCGTAACGATTTAAAATGGCCCATCGAGCTTACGTGAAATAGTGTTCAACAGATTTGATTTCTACCTTTTTGCGATCTAGATACCGCTAATTTATGTCATTATCAGAGTTCAAGCACGTGTTTATCGTAACAATTCAATTACACCAGTATATCAATTATGGGTACCGGTATTAGGATTACGAAGGACAGTAATTTAGTTATCAGCCATATAGGAAAGCTTAAAGATGTCAGAAATCAAACGAAAACTAGACTCAGAAAACTGACGTTTCTTGATTAAATGGCAGTGTTCGTATTTCTCCATTGAAAAGTATCAAACTTCAGAGATTCGTCTACTTTTCCAACGAACTATTCCAGTTCTGAAGGAATACAACACTGAGCGCTATTATGAGTCAAACGATCATGTTTCAAAAAAACGTCTAATGAAAGTGAATCCACGTTTGGGCGCTACATTCATCCGGCCCGCGAACATCTTTCCGATTCTAATTTTGGCCCGCAGCCAATAAAGTTTGGGAACCCCTGCTATATAGTATTGAAAAATTGTTAAAATCTGTTTCGTTTCCTATTATGAATACCACTTTTTACCTCTTGTGCTGTTTTTCATCAGTGTCCATCAGTTTTTCCAATTGAAAAATAGGAGGCGTCGCCATTTTTATATCCTTTATGACCAAACAATATAGACTATGTCCTAACAATGACAATACCTTATATGAAAAAGAAATTCATTGAAAGAGTTTATTATCAAACAATAACAAAGCAAAAATGAAAAAAAGTTATTCTACTTGAAAAATTCATACTAGTTTATGAAATGAATGAAAACATAAAAAAGTCATCAGACAAATTCTGAAGTACAAACAAGTCAAAACAAAGAAAATTGACTAAATATATAAGAAATAAAAATGAAGGATAGGATTTTAAATATCCCAGAAAGCCAGTAAGGCAGTTAATAATAACGTGAACCACGTACTCTCGTCCAGATACCAGCACACAACGAGTATCTGATTATCTAACATAAATTTGGGGTCTTGCTGTTCGAAATTTTTGCATTCTAATCATGGTCATGTTGGAGAAATTCCGATTCTCCCCAAATAAAGCAGCTTTTCAAATGAAGGCATGAAGAACATCAGACAAAAAACTTCCATTACTATATTAGGAAATAGTGATGTTATTTCAAGTAGTTTGGGAATAATATTTTAAACAAAACACAAAATAAAATATAGGAAGAAAATGTTGTTCAAATTTCACAACAAAAATACAAAACTGCTTCATACTCTCATGTACGCAAAAACAATTCTATTCATAAATGTTATGCAGCAGTATCAGAAAGGGTCCAAAATTAATGATTAACAACAATCATATAAACAGCAAAGCATAAGAAAGTAACATTCACGGCACAATAAGCAAATACGACTTCTCATTGCACCATGGCATCTTTAGCCACTAGGCCTACATTACCAACTATACCTGCTATCCTCTCGTAAAAACGTTGATGTACAATACGAAATCTTGGAATATAAAATTAAATGTGACATGTGCGAATCTAAAAAATTTACACATTTGTTTACAAGGAATGCTTTATTTATTTAATCATTCAAATTTTACTCAAGCCTTGTTAAATCAACGGTTCAACCGATCTAGATTGCAACAATTGGGAAATAGAAAAATGTCCAACATTACTGAAACAGTAGTTCTATATACCTGGCTTCTTGTCAGGAGCCTTGGTTAGAGTGAACACAATAAAATCGATATGAGATTTGAAATAACAGAACACCGATTCATATAGAGATTTAGCTACAAACAAAACAACATATTCACTGGCAGATGAAGAACATAAATGAAATCAAGTAGAAGTTAGTAAAGAAAATCTTTAACAATTTTGAATATTTTTCAGAAGATGTGCTTTTTCAAATGCAACCCAAGGAAAGCTGTTCAGACAATAAACATATCAATCACGTTTTATTGGTGAAATAGTGATAATATGATTCAATTATTATCTTAGTATAGTATTGTTAATGAAAAGTAAAAAAGCGAACGACATACATAAAAACACATATTGGAATGATAATTAGGAATAACATATTCTCTCGGCTCAGTAGTAAGAATACATTCGCTACCGCACCTCTGATCAACCTGCGTGGGTTCGCAGGTTCAAATTCTGTGGGGGTTAATTATGTGCGAAGGGATTGCTGGAATCACCCCCGCCATGGAGTGGGTCACGTAACAGCTGGTCGGCTATGGCTTTCTCCATCATCAAGCCAATGCATCTGAAACAAATAACTGGCTAACTAATCCCATACTCGACATGGACTGGAAACCAGACAACAGGTCGGGGTTCACCGCATGATTAAGCTGTCTTATTAGCTTTTCGTTACCCCAGGACTACGATCTAATGGAAGCTTAAAACATATACTCGCTATTTCAAGGAATAAGATTATGTTATTCTCATTTATAACTCTAATGCTACAACTGAAACAAAATATTTATAGCAAAAAGTAAACGAGACAATAAGACTTGCAGTATAATGTACAATTTCCTAGTAAACTATATCAAAATTGCTGTGATGGATCTCTCTCAACTTGAGTTTGAGGTGAGGACACAATGTTTAAAACTTGAGCAGGTGAGGCAGTAATTTGAGTAGGCACAGTACTGGTACTCTGAATTGGTATGAAAACCATGTTGTTCTGCTGGTTATCGCCAATGTCCATAGACCCCACTGGGGGCTGAAACTTAATATTGGGTGTTATAATTTGAATTGGGGTTAAAATTGGCTGTCCAAATCTCAATGGTTGTGTCAGAAATACTGTTTGTGTGTCAGCAGAATTGTATATTTGGGGCTGTTGTGTCATAGCCAATGGCATTACTGTGTTTACTACATTATATCTTGGTCCATTAAGTATTATAGGCTTTTGCATAGTTTGCACTAATTGAGAAACCGGAACTAGATCTTGCTGGGGCATACTGGTTTGAACCGGTTCAGACTGGTTCGGTACAACTGCATTTTCTTGTGTTGTGTCAAAATGAGTTGATCGATCCTGTTGGCTGGTTGGAACCGGATTATTCTGGCTGGTTGGAATCGGATTATTCTGATTATGATCCATTAACATTGGCAATGGGTAGCTTACACTGGTCTGCTGCAATTGTGTTACTGAATTAATGATTGGTCGGCGTAAGGGCTGGGTAACAACTATCTTCTTCGGGCTTTGTTTGATCTTGATCAGGGAATTTCCATTTCCTTTTTGAGGAGATTTTTGGAGTTCCGTCAGCTTTGCGATTCTTACAATGGGCTGGTTTTGTAATAGTGGCGAGCTTGTACTTAATTGATTGATTGGGATATTTACCATTTGGTAATTGGAAAAAAGATGAGTAGGTTTGGATGGAGATTGAAATTGCGAAGTTTGGGATTGATTTGATTTGTTCGGAGAGGATTTACTTCCCAATCGTACTTTATTTGGCGAGTTTGCACCTCTGAGTGAAATATGAGGTACTGTGTAGTTTGCCACTGTTTTACTAGCAGTATTTGAAACTTTTTTGACGAGTTCGTCGACTGTTGAAGCAGCTGAAGGGTTGTCAAATCCTCGAGCAATCGGAACGACCCTACCGTCGCTTAATCTCGTAGCTGCGTAAACGTTTCCATTTCGCATCTTAATTGATATATTTGATGGTAATGCTGCGGGTATTATTGGTTTTGTGACAATTTTTATAGTCGGTTTCTTTAAAGTTTTGATTCTCTCTAAAGAAGGCATCCTTTCTTTCATTACGATTTCAACCGGGGCTTTCTTTACTTTTTCAACAAAAACTTCCCTTTCTTTTACAACGGGAACTGGTTTATGTACTCTTCTCATAGCTCGTTCGAGACGCTTTCTACGTTGTTCTTTCGCTAATTCTTCTAGCCTCGTTTCTTCTTTTAACAAAAGCATGTCGACAATGTCGTAGACGTCGCCATCAGGTATTAAGATCGGCAAGAGTGAAGGACGGTTAATTATATTTTCTTCAGCGAAATTTAAAACTTTACCGAGGACTTTATTTTGTTGTTTTATTTTTTGTCGTGTTTGACGTCTGTCATTCGTGCTCGAGTTTTCTTCCAATTGTGTACGATCTGCGATTTTTAATAATTCTTTTAAGTTTTCTTTCAAAATTTCTTCCAATTCAAATAAAGCAGCAGTGAGTAGGGTTTGTCTCTCATTTTCGAACAATGATTCATCAATAATTCTGGGGGGTGGCGAATTGTTTCTCCTCGTAAAATAAGAATGAGTATAATCCTCATCCCCGGATCCGTCATCGAAACTCGCAACACTCGACATCGGCGAATCAACTGCCATGTGTGAAATAGTAACATTATCTCCGAATGTGTATGTGTTTTTATTAGTCAGCTCCTCCGACCAATGATCAATTTTATTTGCAGCATTTTGAATCTGATCATGTTCTCGTTTCATTTGTACTTGTGCCTGTAATCGAGCTTTTTGCAAACGGATATTCCAAGGTTCTAATTCTTCATACAACCATCTTAGTTTATTGATGAGTTGTTTGTGTATCTGAAAAGCAGTTTTGCCGTAAACAGATAATTTTTCTTCGGTCTGTTGCGCTTCTAAATCATTTATAAGCAACTGAATAGCGTCAACATTATCACAAAGCATCTCAAAATCAACATTTCCATATTTTTCTGGCTGAACTTTTTTCTGGCTTTCCTGTTTCGTTTTCTTTGGTGTTCTTCCTTTTGCGACTTTCTGTCTTTTAACAGGAGTTGTAGTTATTTCCAGCCTTTCAACAGTTGAGGTACGTTTACGTAGACTTCGTCTTTCCACAAGTACTGGACAAGGATTAGAATACTTTGGATTCTTTTTACGCAATCTAGTTTTCTTTTCTTCAAAAAAATTCTCAACTTTTATATCATCATCAACTTCAGTATTTTCAAGCACATTTTCAGTTTCAGTATCAGACTTCAAATTATCACTAACAATACTTTCTGTTACTTTTACTATTTCTTTAACATTATCTGTCACGCTACCAATCTCTTTTTGACAATCATTTTGAGTTTCCAACAAATTTTCAGAAAGATAATTACTCTCAAACTCTTTGCAATGCTCTTCAGTTGATGGTGTTATAGAATCCAATCCGTTTAGCATTGGAGCTGACTGTGGTAGTGGTGCTTTTGTAACAGGGATCTCATCGCAATTATTTTCTATTTTCAGAGACAAATCTGCACTTGTATCATTATTAAGTACTTCCATAGCTTCAAAAAGATTGTCATCTTTATGTTTTTTGGGCACAGTATCACAATTTTCAGATGTTGTTATGTCTTCGTGTGGCGAAAGTTTAGGAACTTCATCTTTGATGCAATTTTCAGATTCTTGGGTAATAGGTTCAGACATGGTTTCATTTTTCTGAGATAATTCATCTAATTCAGAATTCACGCTTTCCTTTTCAATGTCCATTTCATTTTGGAGTCCGTTGTTTGATTCTTTGTTTTCAACAGAGTCTTTCTCTGACGTTTTATTGTTCATACTCTCAGAAACCATTACCTTGGATAATTCAGAATTTTCATTCTCCTTTTCGATGTCAATATCATTTGAATTTTTGATGTTCGATCCTTCATTTTCAACGGGGTCCCCCTCTGATGTTTTATTTATCATGGGAACACTATCAGAAACAATTTTCTCGGATAATTCATCTAATTTAGACTTTACATTCTCATTTTCAATGTCTATTTCATTTGGAATTTCATCACTTGATTTTCCATTTTTAAATGTGTTCCCTCCTGAGGTATCATTTATCATGGGAACACTATCAGAAACAATTTTCTTGGATAATTCATCCAATTCAGAATTATCATTCTCTTTTTCAATGTCTATTTCATTCGAATTTTCATGTTTAATAGTGCTCCCTTCTGAGGTATCATTTTCCATGGGAACACTACTCGCTACAATGTCTGTGATAGATGAAACAGGTCTCTCTGGAACCCAAATCTCATCCGGGCCGTACTTAGGAACCGGTTCCCCGAATTCTCGATGCCTATAAACTCTTACATCATCGCCACAAAATTGAGGAAAATATATATAAATATTACCAAGATAATCTTTACCCAGTTGCATACATTGTAATTGAGGTGAATCCATGGCTAGAAGAGCATTTTGAACACTTTGTAACAAGGATGAAGAGTCGCAAAGCGCTTTTAAAATTTGCAACTTTTGAGCGAATTTCAATTCTGTAAAAGTTATCATTTTGTCAAGAGAATGAAGTTGGTTTTTCCATTCCATCGACTCAAAAAATTCTATACTGATTCCAAGTTTTTCAGAAGCAATTAAGTACGATTTCGTTTTTTGTACTATTTCAAACCATTTTGATAAACGTTCATTTAATCGTTTATTCCAAGTTGAGAAATGCATCGGAGGTCTTTGATTTAATTGACTTCTCTCTTGATAAGTGCATAGAAGTGATGTCATAATCTTTGCCAAATAAAGAGAATTTTCAGGTATTATGATACACCTTTCTAATAAATACATATTTAATTCTGGGAACTTTAAAACGGATTCAGCAAAATGTAAAAAGAATCCTATCTCAGGCAGAAGATGAGATGTACGAATTAATTTTGCATCCTCGTGTCCATCTATTGTGTTAATCCAAGCTGCGGCGATACGCTGATACAAAAGCTCTTGTTGACGTCTCTCACGATAACTAGACTTCTTATCATCTTCTCCTAGTACTGTTTCCTCACATTTTACAAAATCATAAACCAATTTTACATCGGTGTCGTTGAAGCCAAAAGCATATTCTCTTGCGTTTCCAATACGTCCATAACGACTGACCGGCGCTAAATTATCATCATTCATGTCAATTGCAAACTTTCCTTTTGATGTGATAAAAATTGAAGCTTTATCTTTAAGTTCTTTTTTCAAAAGAGCTATTTTTCCTTCAAAAATCATTTCAATTCGTTTTGCCCTTTTTGAGATAGCATTTTCAGTGCCGTTATACCGATAACAATTTTCAACCATAGTGCGAAAATCTCTAGCAAATTCAGTAATTCCAGAATATTGTTTGCTTTCAAATTTTTCTATAATTTTATTAAGCCACATTGGCTCTTTAATCTTTTTTTCATAATCCCAAAGTCCAAGTCCTTTTATGTCAACCTTTTCCATAAAAGGCCAACATGTCGATTTATTTTGCTTGACAATTTCGGTCAATATTCTGTAACTAGTCTCCAATTCTTGTGTTTTATCTTCTGCCAATTGCATGGAACTCTTGTTTGTTCCAGGGGTGTTTTGATTATTATCATTTTTATCACTAGATTGAGGAGTTTCTTTCGAAAGTTTATCAATTTCATGATCAACTGAACTCATTCTGAAAATTTTTCTGGGAAAGATAAAATAAATTGATTAAAATTATAAATTTATTAAAATTACTCAAACTCGAATTTTGTTCAGCAGAATCAATTAACAAGCAAAAATGAGGGTTCTAGTGAAGTAAACGCCGTAACTGCTTAAACAACGGCTAACAAAATTGAGATATGAAAAGAACGCCGTACCTGCTCAAATAACACCCAACTAAGATGTGATGTGAAATTTGAATGTAAAATAGGATCGAAATTACATCTGTATTATCTTAAACCGTCACTGTCAAAAGTACAAAAAGGTATCCTCTCCTGAATCTAGTTGTCCGCCTCCCATTTGTCCCAACCATAAATCTGGCACAAGCGAGGATAGCGCGAATGTCGAACGACGAAAAGAATGATTGAATAACATAAAAAAACGACTCTGACCACCACCTACATCGGACAGGATTTCCATAATAATCTCTGGGGTACGAAAAGCCGATAAGACGGCTTAATCTTATGGCAATCCACGGCCTCTCGTCCAGTAACTAGTCCATGTTGGGTATGGGACTTTTGACACAGTAAAAACAATATCATTTCACTTATCATTTAAGTAAGATCCAAAATCATTTAAAGTATTTGCTTTCGCTACCGCGATATCGCTATCTAAAGTCATGGGTGCGCAGCGATGTTTCCACGAACATTGCTAACATAGTTATTCGGAACAATAATGTAACGATAATAACTCACTCACAAAACAATTACAAATTGAATATTCGCTGGACGAATTTTCATATTCAAGCATGGATATAAACGTTGACTTGTTTAGTGTTATGTTCCCAGAATTTAGTCATAAATCACACAATTCAACAGATTACTCCCAAAACAAATTTGGATCAATAGTCGTGATCAAAAAACTTGATCAATAAAACATTATATAACGTAAACTTGCGAAACCCCAAAATATGTACCAAAACGTTTGCAATGGCAAAGTATAGGAAGAATATATTTGTGAGCAATATATATATCAAAATATATTTGTGTGCAACTTATTGCCTTGTAGCGCCATATGGAGGCTATCCTGTTCTCGCATAAGATCGTTTACTTGTGGTGTGGTAGTAGTATATATTTACGGTTGTGTAATTTTTTAGTCATTTGCAACAAGATGGCGCACAACCTGAACTCGAGTTGTGTACCAGGTTAGGGTTCAGGTTATGCGACATCTTGGTGCGCATACTTCGGAAGTACACTTAGAAGTTATAGATTCATTTATCAAGCATAGTCTAGGTTTCAATCACTCGTTTTTTATTTGTCGAAATTTGCAATGTAGTCCTGGGTTATATTGCTTTGACTTGGCAGAATTTATTCGAATTCAAAATATCTGACCTCGAGCGACGGTGAAATGCGCAGTCACGTAGAATCCTTTATTAGAGTAGATTTGTGCTTGATCGCAGTGTCGCCATTCTCAGTGACAACATGTAAAATTAAGTTGAAATACTTGCTACCTGTCTAACAAGAATTTTACATGAAGGTAAATAGAATAAACATGAAGTTGGAACAACTTTACTATATCTACACAGATGTAATTGAATAGAAAGTCTGTCAAAGTTATAAGAAAAATGTTTCTTATCGGAATGCAGGCTAATTTTTATGTCCTACATATTTTAACTTTCTAAAGGAAACAGACAGAGTTAAGCGAAAATTCTTGGAATGTCGTGGTCGCGGCAAATGAGCTACTTACACCGCAGCTGAAAACTTGCTCTATATTTGGTGCTTCGAAACTTATGTATCAGATTTATGTAAATCGTGTCATGGTAATGTAGCATTTTATAAAATGAGGAAACCTATTTTTTTAGGGAGTACGATACAAAAGAAAACCCGCTCCTAAGATGTTGAAATCCCATACAGATAACGTACACATTAATGGATAGACGTACTGCTGGGAATCATGGCTCTGATTTCAAAGCGCCTAAAACTATATATTATAATACATTTATGAAGTTATTTTTGGGTGGAATTTGCAGTTTCCTATTTACTGTGTAATTTTACAGCACAATTTATTTATACAATATGCGCTTGTGTTTTTAGTTATTTTCATTTATGCGATGTTTGTGCTATATACAGTGGCAGCGTTCTTGTTTTTTGATTTAGACGTTAGACTGCCACGGTACTGGGGTTACGTGCACCGCAATTGAAAACTAGAGTTGAATTTGGCGTTTTAAAATTTATATTATAGATTTATGTAAATCGTATCTTTTTATTACAATTTACATAGTGACGAGGGAACCCATTATCACAGAATTCGATACTCCCGAAGTATATGAACCAAGATGACGGACACCTGAACGTAGTATGTATACCAGGTTTGGGTTAGGCCATAATTTCAAGCACAAATACTAAGGGAGTCACTTGGCTAGTCCTAAAATAAAGTAAATGGGAATGAAAGTATGTCCTAACCCCGACCAGGTACACATACTACGTTCCGATGTCCGCCATCCTGGTTCACATACTTCGGGAGTGCCCAGAATTCAATACAAAAGAGAATCCGTTCTTAAACATCACCACTGCAACCAAGTATTTTTATATATTTTACTTTTTTACAGTTTACAGGAAGTTCAAAATGAGTCACCTTGAAGTAATTATACTGGTCATGTGTTTCGTACTGGTCAGCTGCTTTGCTAACAACATGGTTTGTCGTCCAGTAGAAGACGCATGCGCCGACGATATGCGACAGCATTTACATGGGCCGCCCGGTAAGTTAGGCCCGAGAGGCGAAAAAGGAAATAAAGGTGAAACAGGACTTCCCGGAGTCAAAGTTTACGATGGACTTGTCAATCAATCCATAATTCAGGAAACTATCAAACAGGAGGTAGAATCAGGTACGCATTACGACTAGGGCCGGGCAATTTTAAATACCGAATGAGTTTAGAATCGAATCGTATATTTTTTTGAATTGAATTTCGAGTACTTGGAAGATATTGTAATTGTATGCAATTTTTTTTATCTGAATGGTTCCTACAGAGTCCAGACACATAAATTATTGGAAACATAGACTCCATCATTGGGACAGTTCGCTGAGTGTAACACACACAATAAGAAACATGTTTCATCGTTTTCTCATTCTGGCAATGGTCTGTGGGCATCAATTTTGAACAGAATAACTTGAAAATTATTAAAAATGCGTCAATTAATAATGTTCACTTTGCGTGTTTGCTCAAATTTTCGAAAGTAATAATGATTGATAAATATAAACCATCAAACAATATAATGTTTTTGATATTTAGCTACTCGAGAACTAACACAGAGACTGGAATCAACGGAATCGAAGCTTGGTGATGTTAGTGCTGTTCTCGGGATTCTTTTAGAAGAGAAATCAGGTAAATTATTTGTTTTTACGATATATACCAATGCCTAGTGTTCATTACAAGTATATATTGTTACAATGCTGCCCCATGCGGTGAGTACAAGTCACACAACTCCGGTTCTAGAGTAGAGCCAAGTAGAGCCATGGCTCATCCGATTCTCGAGGCAAGTCTGAGGCCCATAAAAATTGTGTTCCAAGTCGGGTCACTGATCTACCGAGTTACAAGTCAATTCCGAGTCCTAGCAGATTACATGGACATTAGGGAGGTGGATAAATACCTCAGGGGTCGGGAAACTTTTTGGTCAAGAGAACCATAAAAGATATATATTTTCAATTACATTTTCGTGCGAGCCATATAGCATTAAACCAACCTTGTTACGAAGGGGATGGGAAAGTATTTACATATTTATCCCGGGAAGAAGAAAGCCGGAAAAACGGCCTAATCATATTGCGAACCACGGACTCTCGTCCGGTTACCAGTCCATGCCGGGTATGAGATTAGGTATTTATTTATTTTGGTGGTGGATGAAGCCGTAACCGACCAGCGGTTACGTGATCAAATTGGCAACGTTTTTGTCGACATTCAAACGTCCTATTTTGAGTTATTGCTGCCACAAATATCGAGCCTGGAGTTTCTCGTGGTTTGACGGATTCTAACTACGAATAATCAATAATTGAGTTGTCTTTACTCATATAGCATGCAAAATGAAATACGAAGGAACTTGCTACCGAGCACTTGTGCACCCAAAGTACGATGTTAAGTATTCAAACGCATTGAGTTTTTGTCGAATGCATGATATGGAACCGGCGGAAATTCCAAGTGAAAGTCATTATTACAAACTCATGGAATGTGTGAGAGCTGAAATCCCTTCAGAGACTTCATTCGCCGATATATTCACAGGAATGACATATAATCAATCGGTAAAGTATACTTTACGTTTTATAGTTGTTTGAATAAATAAAGAAAAATATTTTTGTATGAGATCGTGGCCATTAATCAAAAATATAAAATTTATTAAAAAATGTGACGTCTTATCATTACATCGTGACATCCTGAATTTTCAAGTTGGGTTCAAAGAAAACCTCTATTTACTTATAGTTTCCCCCTTAACACTATATCAGGGGTGAGAAGTTACTTTCCCAATAAGCCAGTTACAGATAATAGACTTGTGCCGGAGTCTCAAAACCAAATATGAGAAACTATGAACAAAAACAGGGTATTTACAACACCTAGGTTAACGTTTACATAATAATAGGAAAGCACAATGTAACAATTGGGGTCCAACGGAATATATTTATAAACACTATAAAGTCTTAATTTAAGCAAACACGAGTGGGCCGGATAAAACACCTCGATGGGCCGGATCCGGGCTGCAATTTGCCCACTCCTGCACTATCTCCCATCGCACCTGAAATAGAGATGAACCGGTCTTGAAACAAATAACAAACAAAAAAATACACTACGATTCGATTTTCGGCGTTCCCAATTTCAAGAGTCAAAACATATTATAAACATGGAGCAAACATTTTGTTATCCCGCACCTGTCAGTGGTTAAAATCAACAGTTTTGTCAGCCACTAGTAAATTCTTTCAGTAGACATTCTTCCTTGATTATTCCTTATTCAGTATAAAGATTGTCATATATTATTTCACAGGCCAGAAGCGTTACTTTGTCAGATGGAACAAGTGCTCCGTTCGTTAAATGGTATCCAAACTACCCAAGCAACGAGAGTGGAAGAGTAGCAATGGGCATCGTTGTGTTGTCAGACGTTAGTCATCAGGGGCATGGAATGTACAATGTGCACCCAGGAACGCTACAAGGAATTGTCTGCCAAAAGAAAAACTGCTAGAACTTTCGAGCTATCGATATTAAGAATGATTCATTACCACAAAACTGATTAAACTGGAGAAGAGACTCGTTAATACATCGCTGAGCGGTTAATTTTGTATATTAAAGAACAAATATAGGCTAAAAATAATTTTTACCCATTTGTAACAGGGAAAGGGTGGAACACATTCACAAAAATAAACAGCGTAAATTTGATTTTTTAACACTAATTAGCCTAAGTTAAAGTTTGTGTTCATATTTTACTCACTTGAAAATTAATAAAATTAATTTTTTTTTGCACAAAATATATTTTTAATTCAAGAGTCTTGCTGCACATTAACACAAATATATCTCTGTAACGTTTAGTCTAGCGTCGTAACCCCAACTGATAGTTACGACAAATTATATTTTTAATTTAGCAGCCAAGAATCAGGGCATGGAGCCTGAAATATAGGAATGGTGCTACAGCACCAAAAATGTGACAGTGTGACATATTTCATTTATTTGAAAGCAAACGAACGCTATGTAAAAGTTTTAAAATAGATTACACTATGTGCTCTTGGGCGAGTTCAGATTGGGGCTTCTCCAATAGTCACTTCTCCCACCATGGGGCCACGCGCAAAAGCCTCCGATATAGGTTCCATTCGTGCGTGCAGGGCGTAGCCAGGAAATGTCAACGGGGTCGGGGGAATCTGGAATTTGTAATTGTGGGTCGAAAACGTGGATTTTCAAAAATCTTGAGGGTCCAAAAAGGAATTCAAGCTACGAAAATTGCCATATATGGTACAGAAAAATGCCTTTTTCACATTTCAAAGAAGGGGTTCGACTGTGGTCACGCCCCCACATGTGTGTATCATGAATGTTGAGAGTGTTCGGAACGGTGCGCGGATTCGCATTAGAATCATCTCAATTTTTTTCTTTTTGTTATTGCTTTCACGGCAATGTTAGGGGTCCTTTTAGAAATGTTGGGACAAAACGCATGAATATCTGGAGAAACTGCTATTCAAATTTATTTTCACACCGAGTTTAAACGAATTCAGTGAGAAACGCGTTTTTATAACATTGTGTATTTTGCAACAGGATTCTACAAGCTAGTTTTGCTTATATGACAGTGGCACTCAGGTACTGGTACAGTATAGGCTTTGCGACGCAAAGAGACTGGAATTGCTCCCACGTACCAGATTAGCAAAACTAAAAACTCGTTTCGCGGGCACACCAGTCAAAACTGCCACTTCTCCGCGGGCCGCATGGATGTTTCAACGAACATTTCTAACTCATTTTCTGTGGACAATAATTTTAATGATGATAAAATGACAATTGGAATGTGAAATTTTTGCTGAACGGATTTCCAGGCTCAGGCATGGATATGAACGTTGACTGGGTTCGTAGTTTTGTAATGTTGCGTTTCTAAAGTTTAGTCGTAAATCATACAATTCAACAGTTTATATTCTGAACTAATTTGACTCAATGTTTGTAATCAAAAAACTTTAAACTAGGATTTGCGAAAACTAAAACATATAACCCAGAATAAATATGTAAATCCTATCCTATACCGAAACGTTTTAAAATGGTAAAGTATAGGAAGGATATATTTGTGTGCAACTTATTGCCTTGCAGCGCCATCACGAGGCTATGCTGTTTTCGCATGAGATCGTTTACTTGTGTTGTGTTTAGGGCTGGGAATTTTTTGAGGAAAACACTTTGACCATTAACCGGGTAAAATTAACCGGTTAACCGCCGCGTGACGTTTGACGTAATAATTATAATTTCAGCTTGTTAATCCACAATGGTTATAAAGCAATTTCGCGTGTTCTTATCCCGGTATCGCTCAAAATTATTCACGAATCGAGATAGTTTCATGATTCCTCTGCTGCAAAAGATCGGCAGTTCGCGCATGTGGAAATATTTTAGAATAACTTATTCCGTTGTTAAACGTCATTTATGTGACAAATTTTGAGTGTTCTATGTGCAAATTCTACTTCGAGATATATATCATAAAGAAAAACGGCATCAACTGCACACTTGTTGTATGACATTGAATATCCGATTTTGCAATGAAATCGGGAACAATATATTTCGAAAGCGACCGAAAACTGATTCTTAATTCATCATTGTAAATTTTCATTATTAGCAACCTTGGTGCTTCCAATATTTTTCACATTTATTGATTCCTCAGTTAGTAATATTTTTTTAAATTAAACGCCACAAGAGATAAATTTGCGATGACGTAATCATATTTGACGAAATTGTACGGTATAAAGATGATCTGTACCTGAGATGTCAGTTAACGGTTAAAATAAATCATAACCGTTAACCATATGAAATGGGTTAACTGGTTAACCATTCCCAGCCCTAGTTGTGGTAACTTTGATTCACGAATTTGAATAATGCAGCTATTGCAAGGTAGCCGCTGACAAGTAGACCGAATTGGCATTACTTATCGATTTTAATCGGTAAGTATGTTGATAGGTATTTGTTTGTCTATCTGTCTGTTAGATACACGCGATATTTAACGGAAGCGACATTGAATCTGCTCCAGATTTTGCATGTGCATTCATCATATCTCGGACCAGAAGCCTATTGATTTTGGATGAATTATGTCGTATAATAATTAGCGAGTTATTAATTAATTAGTGATGAAGAGATCTGGATTTTTACGAAGCGAGAAATTTTTGAGACGCGCTGAATGTGTGTGTGCGTGTCCGATGCGCAAGTTTTTACGCTAGTGAGTCAGAGCGAAGGTAACTTTGACGTCGTCGCGATGCGCAAGTTTCCTTCTAGAAATTTTCCACGCTATTGAGTCAGAGCGAAGGATACACGCCGCAATGTTTAAGCAATGTCCATATCCCTCTATCAGGTTCGGGGTTGCAGAATTTCTTACCAAAATATCGCTAGGCTGTGTTTGAATAGCCGTCGCAACCCGGGTTAGCGCCGTTGTATTTGATTCAAAATATAGCATTGGTAAACAAGAGAGCTATGCTCAAATATATCAACCCCGTGCAACTAACTTGTCCCATTATGGCGTCATATGGACGCCATTTTCGATCATTCGGCTCGAGTAGTGTAACGCAAACAAGCCTAATTTTAGTAGTTTTAAATGGCTATTGGGGCAGATTTAAATCAGTAGTTATATTCCCGAGGGCGCAGAAATCCGATAGGATGTCTCAATCAGTATCGAACCCAATACGGGGCATTTTACATTAAGAACCCACGCCGCTCGGTAACAAACATAATATAGACGCAACGCACGGTTAGTAAAGTAAAGTTTATTTCGGTTTTTCGTAACACTAAAACAAATATATAGGCAATGCAAGTCAACACACACACATATAGCCTACGGAAAATCGGGAAAGTAGGCAAAATCTTAAACTATTCAAGACCTGCTGATGCTAGGGCTACCAACCGTCCCGGGAATGGCGGGGACAGTCCCGGATTTGACGTCTGGCGTCCCGGTGGTCCGGAATTTACTGACAACCGAAGCGTCCCGATGGCGTGACAAGACCTCCGTGATGATGTTTCCATTAGGATAGTAGACAAACACAGTTTCACACTACAACAGGCCTAAATGACTAAAACTAACTAAATTTTTCGACAGTGAAGGCGACGTCAAATGGGACTGTAGCTAAATATTGATGACATTGTTACATTAGAAATTCGCCCTTTTTAGACACTCCAGGCTCCAGCTGCATAACTGAATTGTAAACGTCCTTACCAATGGCAGTACAATGAGAGAGAGAGATTTTATTATTTTGTCAACCAAAAAATACAGTCATCAATAAAATAGCCACAGCCACAATTTTGAGAAAAACGCAAAAAACAATTTGGAATTTTTTCATTCTTGAATATCTATTCTAGTCTATCTATTCGAAGTGATCAATATTAAGTTTAACCCTGAGAGATGACTAATGGCAAAACTTGAACTATTTATATAATATTTTTACAATAAATTTGTGAACAAAATGAGGGGATGTGATGGAAAATTATACCTAACTGATACCTGAATTCAATGGGGTTCGGACGATAATAATCAGAAGAAAATAAATAAATTGGCTATATACACAAAGTGGATCAGGGACAAAAAAATTAATGTGATGAGGATGTGTCTGAGCGCTAATAACAAATAAAATAAAGTGCAACCCAGTGGACATACACATTAGACAGAAACACATTGGATAGGGCAAGAGGAATTCTATTCATAGGTTTGTCATGATCTGAAAATGTTTAAAAATTGCATGAACTTTATACATATGTTTGGGATTTTTGCAACCTTGCACTCCAAGAATGTTAATACTTATAATGTACTTATCAATAAGTTTTAGCAGGTCGGGTTTTGAAAATGTTTCTGACTCACACAAGAGGATCAATCAATAGAAAAATTCAATAATTCACATCTTGGGAATCGTGTCTACAAAACAAAGCGAGCAATGATTATCATAGAAATAGTGAACATTTTTATTTAAATCTTTGGTGTTACAGTATGATTCATGAAACCATTACAAACAAACTAATAGTCTAGAATTTGGAAATAATTTGATTAACCAATAAAAAGAAATGATACTTCATATCAACTATCAAATAACAAAGACATGAGAAAAAGACCATTCAATTGATCAAGAATAGCATGTAAATACCTTAATATGAAAGACATAGAAAAGAAGTGCTATTCGATTGATCAACAATTAAAATTTTAACAATTAAATAACAAAGACATGAAAAAGGTACAATAATTGAAACTTCAGCAGTATGTGTACCAAGTGACGGTTAGCCCCATATTTCATTCCGACCTTCCTCATCTTAGTTCCATCACGAGCTCTGAACTGCCCATGTCAGCCAAGCGATGGCGACTACATACGAGTGGCTGATTAAAAACGCAAAAAAATAGCACCCCCGTGTTATAATGAAAGTGTTATGTTGTTTCATATCGCAAAAACGATTAGAGGGAAATCCCCCCCCCCCCCCTCCAAATTTTCCAAAAGCATTCTCACATTTTTGTGCTTTTTTATATGACCCAACATTATTAGTTTCTGACACAACTGGTTCGTCCTGGAGTCGGCTGTTTCAATCAAACCCAAAACGTTTAAGAAATGATTTACGAGACATTCAAACTGGCAATTAGAGTTTAGTTTGGCATTCACAACTCACTGTAGGCCTATTGTTATTTTTTGAAACTTCATCTCAGTCAATATTTTAGTTAATACAGGTCTTGATGATTTGAATTTTTTGGTGGATTTGGCACATCGAATATTGTCATTCCCTTTTATTTTAATTTTTTCCATTTATTCGTACTCTTCGGTTCA